TAGCAGCCGAGTGAGCTACGATAGAGTTACCCTCTATCAACAGCTTATTGACAGTCTTGTCATCACTGCATTTGGAGTATGTCTGGAGTTACGCAGACATCCCAGCCGAGCGCAAACCAAAGTGAACAACGGCCAAGTCTCGCAGCAAGACTAGCCCGTGACCAAGCTGGTCAGCGTGATGGTGTCTTGGCTTTCACATCAAATTGCCATGTGCATGATGTAAATGAACAGCCCGCGTATTTGCTGACTATCAACTGCAGTGAGCGCCACCTCCCGACAAGTTGATAAGACGGGCAGCGAGCAAGCGGAAGGCTCTGGAATGGAGGCAGAGGTGATGGCAACCGCAAGTCCGACACGGTCGGCGAGCTGCACCTACGGAAATGCGTCACCACAGTTCTCAACTTCTGCTGGTGAGAGAAGTGAAACATACGAGCGGTGACGCTGCGCCTAAACCAAATACATTATCGAGGCGGCCCAGGGTGGCACGCCGTGGCGTCGAAGGCTTAAGTTAACCTCCAACTAGGTTACACAGGTCACCGGGCTTTTTTCGAGTCAAGCCTTGTCGTTGCTTTCATGTTCAGCTTTGGCGCCTCATCTTGACAGCTGGCGTACGAAGGGCGACCTACAGTGAGATACGCCAACAGATATTGCTGTTGCGACCCTGGCGGTTGCTAATACCGGGTATGCAGAGGACCAGTCATGCCGTAGTGGTGCTGATACAGATGGCTCTCTCCGGGACTAACATATGCTTCGCTGGATTTGGAAGAGCCAGCGGTTAACGGAACCCAAAAGCTACATCTTGACTGTCGCAACATGCCGTTTGTTTGATGAGGAAATTGAGAGTAACATCTTGATCTGGAAAAGTGGACAGGCCCGATCCCTGTGCGACATGGGATTAAAGATGTGGAGAGCGGGAGAGGCGAAGCTCGGTCCCGCACTGACCTGACGCCTCCCAGGGCCAGATTGCTGCGTCAAGCATCCGTAGATACTTCGATAGTGTCTCGGTGCGGTGCCACGGCATTACAGAGTTAGGTATGTTGCCAACACTGATTTCCATTCGATCTCCCTTCATGCTGACCTGGTCCGGCCAGGCAATGGTGGTGCCGTGCGCCGGGATCCCAATCCGATCTTGGGCATGCAGGAAGAAGGGCGACGCGGGCGGGGGAGACGGTATGAGTCCGGGCGCATACGAACACTCCCAATGCTGACGTCCCACGGCATATACGGCCACCATGCCAGGGACAAGGAACGGCTTTGCGGGCTTGATTGCTCTCTCTCGAGTGAGGCAGGACCATATATGGCAGCAAATAGCCCTCAATTGAGCGGTCTTGAGTGGTATGGCCGTTCAATTGTCCGTTCCTGAGCTGCATCCCCGGCTGCGAAAAGAGTGGACTTGGGTACGGCCGCCGATTCCGGCCGCGGGGTGTTCTGCTCTGTAGAGCGGTATGTATGCAGGCACGGGCGGCCGCGATGCATGATTTGGTGTTCCTCTCAGGGCCCCGAGAGACCCAGGACGTCACCTACCCGTAACCCAGTTGGTTTTGGGGGTTTCATTGCCGTGGGTGTCTTTGTGTGTGTCGTGCGTGTGTGCGTAAAGTTACACTCATATGTGGAGTGCCTGCAGCTGGTTGATATTCAGTTCCCCAAACGTTTCAGTGTCGTGGTTGGGAGGCACGGGGGTCATCTTTTTGTCAGCTTCGCCATGCACCCAACAGATGGGGTTGCACTTGCATGCAGAGAAGAAACCCTGACACTGTAGATTTGAATCCGAGGTTCAAATAGTAAATCGCCTTTGCAATCCAGCAAATAAGCAGGAGGGAAGGAGAAGGACCTGTAGACTCGGAGCAACGTGAGCGAGTCACGCCACCGAGCCATCCACTGAGCCACCCGTCCTCAGAGGGCCAAGAAGCGAATCAGGGCCTGTAGCAGCAGGGACGTTGGTCGCGACCGAAGAGCTATCGAACTGAGGAGATAGAGAAGTCCTGCGTTCCTGTCGATGATTGGAACCCCCATCGTGTGCCTCTTAATAGTGCCACCCACAGCCATCCGACCAAGCTATAAGCTCTGGCTGTTGACTGGAAAAGGGGGGGAATGATCGAGGATCGATCCTGATGGAGGTACGAATTAGGGTACCGCACCGCACACACCTGCAGGGCCGTTGAGTGAGGGTCCAGGGTGGGGTCAAGGCGTGAAGATTCAACCGAGATTTTGGGGGTTTCGGGCAAGAAGCAGCGCACTTTCTTGGGGCTTCAGGCTTCACCGCATGCAATTTCTGATAAAAAGACAGTCTGATTGCTGGCTAATGAGTTGAATGCGGGATTGATACTTCGTACAACGACCCTGATAGCTAAGCAAACCCTTCGTACCTTTGAATTCGATGTCGCCAGCGTGTGCAGAAGGGCGGGGCGCCCTGCAACGTTGTCGGGGAATAGGTATTGAGGTGCTCTCACATTGACTCGAAGTACATAACCCGGGAACCCGGAGCTCGAGTGGAATCCCATTGTAGATGAGCCGAGTCTCCGGTTTAAGACCAGACTATTGTCTGCGACAAGAATTGCATTGGTTTGAGGACAAAGTAGGACAATACAGTTCGTTTCTTTGAAAGGCTCTTCAATACAAAAACGTGCGCTAAGTTACGCGACTTGGTTACGGGTATCGAAAGATCAAGGCGGAAGGGACGATAGGGGCCCCTGTCGGGGAGGGTGATGGCTGCCGTGATTGGTCAAGATGAGAAAAGTTAGCTGCCAATCGTCAGCGAAGGCGCTTAAAACCCTTGCACCTTCTCCACATCCCGCCGCCGCCATCCAGTTCCCTCCCGACCTCCGACCCAACCACAACCGTCAACGAGCACCTTCAATGATTTGCAAACACTAGGTAAGACTGCCGAGTTACATGGTGCTACTCCTGAGAACCTGTTCGCACTGCCCGTCGCCAGTCCGAGTTCGGGGGGTCATTTCAGATTCTCTCAATGCGAAGCAATGGCAAGCAAAAAGGCAGAATCAGGCGTCATCTTAACTGCGCTTTCAGCCATCGAAAAACGGCAGAGATGCAGGCATTTGTGGGGCAAAGCTAGCATTGGCATCGAGTGATCCCGCCTGCAGATCTGCAATGGCTACCACGGTACGGAGTACTACAGGTACCTTACCGCTTCATTCTGGGTTCGCTGCTACGCTACGGAGTACGGACAGCTTGACAACCACCGAGCACGCACAAACAGACCACGACTGGCTATAACGTTAGCCTAACCTTACCTACCTGGCAACGTCACGGCCTCTGCCCAATTTGCACTATGGCATTGTAACGTAGTGCGCTAGGTAGGTACTGCCCGCTCGGGAGCCATTTCCGGTCCTGGCCATGCCTTGGGCCTTTTTCCTCGACTAGGTTGGAGACCACCAAAGTTCGCCATGCTCGAAGCGATTTGAAGATAGCAAAGAGGGGGGAGAAAAGGGGCACGAACAGCAAATCATCGAACCTGGAGAATTGGTCATGCTTCACTCTGGTTCGGAGCCATCGACGATTCGCGACCACGTCGTGGCGAATGGGTGGTCCTGAGAGATACCTGCCTAATTATCGCAAATATCAGAGATACCCTGTGCGCCGGGAGTAGCAGGCCAACCACCGGCTGATACGGACCGCTGCAAAGCTCTGCTCGAGTCGGTGGGCTTTACAGTACTGTATCCGTACATGCTACTGTACCTTTGCCTGCCCTCCAGTCAACCACTGATGGGAGCCAAGTCGACCTCTGCCCAGCTCAGGCCGAGGATTCTTACTCGACGGCTACCCCCGGTCCCTTGCTCCCCTTGCTCGGTGCTAATGCCGCCCCGGTCAATGCGCATCTTGCCATCTTGGCTTTCCTGCAGCCCCCGCGACCAGATTCGCGCAATCATTTGCAATGGGCTTTGCAAGCGAAGAGGAGGCAACGTGGAATCGGAGAAGAGCAAGAGGAGGAGAGAGCAGGACTCTAATTTTATATGTGCTCCTGACCCTCAGACCCTGTCCAGTTACAGCTTGAGCCCCATTCAGCTTTAAGCGCCTGCGATGGCCTGCGTGCGACTTATTTGCTGTCACACCCCTGTAGTACCGCGTGCTTCTGTCTCTGCTTCTCCAGTTTCTCCTCTGGCCTGCAGCTCTCTCCTCCCGACGCACACATCGTGCATGAATCGGAGCGGGTAAAAGATTGTGTGAGCAAGCGGTTCGGCGCTCCAGCAGACGGGGGAGCTTAACCTTTACAACAACCAGGCCCAGGCCCAGGAACCAGGACCGGAACACTATTGCGGGTACAGTACTGTACAATACATAGCGTACTACCGTTGCTGGTGCCGGCGTGCTTTCATTGTTTCGCATCTCAGGTCTCTGCCGCACAACAAGCGCCGGGCTGTCACCCCCCCCCTGAAGGCACACCTGCGTCTACGGCGCCATCTGTGTGTGTCTCTCTCTCCACCATACCTAGCCTACCTTCTCGTCCCTCTTCTCGACCCCTCTCTTCCTCCGTCATCCCCCACTGCACCTTTCTCGTGGACCTCACGTCGCCGACAACGCTCATATTCCGAACCTCAACCGCCGGCAACCATTGCTTCCGCCTTGCTGGCACATGTTGGGATAGCTTCGAGGATCGGCTTTCGCAGGCGCACGGAACGTTGGAGGGACGTACTGCTTTCGGGAACGGACGGCGTACCGGTTCAGCAGACTTGGGTTCCATGTGATGGTCGGGGGTGGCATTGTGTAGCCTTGCAGCACGTCCTGGTTTGCCACTCCAAGTTCTGGGAGGACTAGTTCAACTTCAAGTCGGTATGTTCCATGTTTCCTTATACTCGCTTGCCCATATCCCTACGGGACTGGAAGCTCAGCCCCGGCCAATGTTTACTTCCAGCCCCCTATGACACACTGGGGCGATCCTCGTGTATGAGATGAGGGCCGACTGACATGATTGCGAACGGCTGTCTCACAGGCCTACCATCAAGAGAGCCTGGGACACATCTAGCTCACACCCGTTGGCCGTCATGTCTGTTCCCGGACATCACGTTTCTCGGAGCCGCACCGGGAACACTCCCACCGTCGAAAAGGGGCGAATGGTGAACATGGAGGGCTACACCATGGCGCCGAAGCCGAACAACGCTGTCGTCCGCTACTTCGAGCCGTGCGCGGCCACGGCCTCCATGTTCTTGTACGCGCAGGGAGCCTCGGTTGTGTGCTGCCACCATGACACGCTTGCGATAGAGAAGCGGTTCTCGCGGCACTCCGAGGAGGTTCAGCTACTGGCCGTCGACAACCACAGCGATATGGGCGCAGGGAGGCTGGTGGTCAGCTACGACGCGGGCCAGACAGCAATTGTTTGGGATCTACCGACGGGAGACGAAGTTGCTCGGTTTGCGTCCTATGAGAACCTCACATGCGCGGCATGGATGCGTAACGGCAACGTTGCCTTTGGTAAGTGTTATGGGCTGCAGTCTGCTGTGGTGAGCGCTTGGCTGACTCTCACCCAGGCAATACACAAGGCAATGTGATCCTCTTCGAGCCAACAACGTCAGAGCACATATCTGCTAGGACGATCGATCAGATAGCCATCACTGCGATATCGCCCGCAGCTGACTGCAGGACATTTGCCCTTGGGTAGGTTCATCAGCTCTTCCAACGTCTTGTGCAATAATCTAAAGCTAACTTTGGATCTAGTTATCAAAATGGCTCGCTTTTGATCGCTACTCTCCAGCCAAGGTTCACAATACTTCACAATCTCACCACCTCAAGGGGCCCGTCTCCAATAGTGACCCTATCATGGCACGCCTCAACACCCCGACAGAAATCCGACATGCTGGCGGTGCAGACGAACGACGGCGATCTCCGCGTATGGAGCGTGTCCAAGGCCTACAGCAGTGATGACCCGGCCAAGGTTGTGCGCATCCTGAAGAGAACGGAAAACTATCTGACAGGACCTAATTGGATGGGCTGGTCCAAGAACGGCCGGATTATTCAGTTCTCAGAATCGTGCGTCTATTGTCACCTTGCTCTCTGCTTCCAGTGTTCAAAGTTACATGTAGAGTTGCTAACCAGTAGCAGGGAAACAATATCTTGGGACGTGCGGACGAAGCATGTTACATATGACACAATCCCTACCCTCGAGACCGTTCGGGGGCTGGCCGTCTACGGGCCTGGAGCCACACTCTTCACCCTGGGAGCTAATAATACCGTCCAGCAATTCGACCTGAACGCACCGGCGATGATGGTTGCTAATGTGCAGCACCCGGCAAATATGCTCCCTCCATCGCCCCCTATATCGCTCGAGGCAGAAGATAAGGGGCAAGGCGGCAATGTCTCCGAGTCGGAATCCTCAGTCAAAATCGCGTTCCACCCGTCCGATTTGTCTGACGAGGACCACAGATCGCCCCTGGCTCGGTACATCCACACAGGTCATGGGTTGGAGGCTGAACCATACCGCCCAAGTAGCCCCGGATCAAGTGTTACCCAGTCGAGCGTGTCCATCTCATCATCCACGTCTCAGAAGATGCCGCGAGTTTACCAATCTTCTGTCGTTTCACGAGGCATGACAGAGAACACGTACATATCAGCAGGCTCCTCACTACGGTCTGGTGCTCACCATCGGGAGAGGAGGGATAGGGAATCCATGTCAACCGGAAGCTCGATATCCATGGGAAGTTCGCAATACCGCCATGGCCACCGGCCGTCAAGGCTGCGCCACGAGATTCCACGCAGCCCAGACGATTCCAGAGTGGTAGATCTGTTCAAGTTCACCAAGAGCCGCCTCGTTGACGTACCTTACAAAGCGCCTTACTCGACCGATCCGAGCCGGCTGACAAATGACGACCTTCGCCTCCAAATGCTGAGCACAATATTTGGGTGGAACAAGGACATTGATGAGCTGGTTCGGGATGAAATGTCGCGGCATCCGCTGGGTTCCACAAACCGCATCCTGCTGGCCAAGTGGCTAGGCGACATCAACACTGACATCATGACCATGGGCTCCCAGAACATGACTTCGTCCGACTGGATGCTCCTGGCACTCAGCGGTATTGGAGGACAGGAGTCCCAGCACAAGCTGGGTCGCGCATATGTGCAGAGGCTCCTTGAGCACGGCGATCTCCACGCAGCAGCAACAATCATGATTGGTCTCGGCGACCACAATGACGCCGTGGAGATATACATTTCACACAAGAAGTACATGGAGGCGCTGATCCTTACTTGCCTCTTCTTCCCGAAAGCCTGGGAACGACAGGAGCAGATCGCCAAGAAATGGGGTGAATGGGCGGTACAGCACGGCCAGCAACAATTGGCCATCAGATGGTGAGCAGATTTATGCAAATAGTGAGAGACGAGCGGCTGACATCGTAATAGCTTTGCCTGCACTGGAGTCCAATCTTCCGAACCCTGGACATCGCCATCCGCGCAGCAGCTCAATTTCTCAACCATCTCGCAGACGGTTCCAGAGTTGATGAGCCCGCCGCTGTCACCGCCAACAACGAACCACGGACCACAGCGGAGCGTCGCAAAGAACTCAGCGCTGAAGCTTATCACTTCATTTAGCGACCCGCAGGCCAAGGCCAAGTTCTTCTCGGGACATGGCGACGACGGCAAGACACCGATCGCAGCCGGAGCGACTCCCATCTTGGAGTCCGCTCTCTCACCCGGCGCTGACCCGGCAACGGCAGTTCTGCGAGGCAACCGGAGTCAGTTCAATACGCCGGCATCGGCCCGCCCGGGCCACGGTTTTGGCCGCAACCGGCTGCCCTCCATCGGAGAGACCCCTGACGCCAACCACCGTGATCGACTGGCTCTGGCAAACAAGAACGCCGGAGACGCAGATCTGCATGACAGTTATGGCAAGTCTCTGGAGGCGACGAGACCGAATACGGCTAGTCCGCGGTTGGTAAGGGATGGCTCTTCCAGGGCACAGCCTCCCCCGTCCCCATCCCCGGCGATTGTCGCTGCTCTGATGGAAAGCGGAACCAAAAGAAATGGCTCTCGCACTCGGATCCCCGAAGGACTGGACCTTTCACTCCCTGCATTCAAGGACTCCTTGCCAGACGATCTTACATCCCCTGAACAGTCGGCGAATTCCTCTGTCCGATATCACTGGCCTTCCAGGCGAAGGGGGCCGGCGTCCGTTGCCAGCTCCGCGACCTCGGCGGCATCATCGAGTGTTGCCAGAAGCCACCGGGGGTACGCGCCCCAGCATGGCAGGAGTTTGGACCAATATATCCACAGCCTAGACGCCGCCCAGAGCGCGAAACATGTTCGCGGGAGCAGCCGCGACGGCCGCCATCATGGGCGTGATCACAGCCAACCTCGTCAAGCGGACCGTGAGAAGTCGCGAGATCGTGGACGGGCCGTGGCGCGAAGCTATACGCCAAAGGGGGGAAAGAGATCTCCAAAGTCGCCGGTGCCCATGTCTCCCGAGGATTTGATCAACCTGGCGACGCCAAACCAGGACATGGAGCAGGCAGACCATGTCAACAGCAATGGTAGGCTGGTTGGTGTTTACAACGACGAACTAGAGCCGCCAAGCCAGCCCAGTACAGTGAGGAAGGTAGGCTACACCCATCGGGACGGCTCCCGTGTAAAGAGTTCGAGCCGGACTGCCAGTCGAGACGGCCGCGCCTCGAGCCGCAACCGCACCCTCAGTCCCGATAGACATGGGCTGCGAGAACAGGATCTCCGTGGCCGCTCTGGATCTCGCGGACCGCGGCAAAACAGATCGCCACCGTCACCACAGCCCATGTCGGCGGATCTGCACCGGAATCACTTTTACAACTCAGAGGACGAGGAGGACTACAGACAGGCAGTCGAAGCCCGTGAGAGGTTCCGCCGGAGAAACAACCGGAGCGGAAGCAGAGCCGGCCGGGGCGAAGAGCTTGCTTCCCCAGCGTCGACTCGATCCACTCCCTGGTCGCGGGGATCGACGCGCGAGAAGTCGGATAGCGTCCGGCGGAACACGTCTCACGCAGGCACCGAGGACTCGTCACGTCGCCATATCGGCGCACCATTGCAGACTCCAGCGCCGATGGATCTTGTTGCTGACAGCTCAGGGGACTTGAAAGTCATGAAGGACGAAAGGCAGCTGAAGAAGGAAGCGGCTGCACGTGAGCTTGAGGAGCGACGGAAATCCCTGGCTAGGAGGCCATCTGTCCCTCCAATCATCCACCCGGATGAGATCGCCTTATCACCGGCAGTACGGACGCCGCCCGCACTCCAAGAACTGCCGAGCACCACATATGTGCCGCCCAAGAAGGAGGATCTCCCCTCCCGCAGCGCCAGCGTTGATCCGACCCCAGCGAGGAGCATGTTCGCGAACCGCAACGGGCCCCTGATCGGCCTGCCGGCGACGCCGAGGGCAATGCGCCTGGTCTTGGAGTCGGATGCGTCCAAGCATGACGAGCCCGTTCCCCCAATCCCCGTGACTTTCGCCCAGGCATCTCCTGGGAAGTCTAACCAGCCGAGCCAAAGGTCGCCCGGCAGGCCCTCCCCGACCAAGGTGGAAAAGCAGGCTGAGCAGCAAGAAGAGAGCACCATCTTATTGCCGTCGACTGTCTACACGCCACCTCCAGCCACCAATTCACGGTTGGCTGCCCAGATCGGAAGGTCCATGTCCGCTCCTCCACAGGACTTGGTGCCGCCTCAGGGCCACTCGAGAGGGCACTCATTCTCCGTGCAGTCCCGGAGACCGTCCCATGACTCGAACGCCTTTGTACGCAGGCCGTCCCACGATGCGAATGCCTTTTCAGGCCGCAGGCCATCACACGATGCGAACATTCCGCCCCCGCCACCACAGCCGTCGGCACCGCCATTGCTCAAGGAGCTCCAGCACCTCGCCCAACCGCCGCCGCCACCGCCAGCTCCCCTGCAGCACCTCGCCGCGACCAGCCCGAAGCCGGTGGTCTACGGCGGCAGCTCGGGTATGATTGAAATCGTCATGGACGATGACCAGCAGCAGGCCCCACAGCAGCAACAGCAAGAGCAACAACAACAATCATCCATCCCAACCGCCATCCCCGTCAGCGAGACGACGGTGCCAGTCATCTCCCCGCCAGTGCCACGGAACGGACACGTCCGCGGGCGGAGCAGCGTGGACAACAGCATTGGAGCACGCATCTCACGGGCAACAGAACGGATGCGGTCAGTCAGCCGCAGCCGGATAGGGCGCGGCGGCGGCGACAAGGACGGGGTTGCTGGGGCGGGGGCGCGCACAAAGTCGCCCGACGTGGTCGTGGCGCCCTACGAGAGCATCCCGCCGGGCCCGCCCGTGTCCATGAGCTACCGCGTGCAGGCGCAGGTGTTCCAGCAGGTGCAGGCCCAGGTCGCGCAGCAGCAGGCGCAGAATGAGTATCGGACGGGGCTGCATCAAAGTGAGATGATCTGATCTAGTCTCCTCCATCCATTCTCCACTACACTTTTGTTTCATTTTCGGATTCTTTTCGATCCTTTGCATCGCGACAGGAGCGTTCACATGGCCGTTTCCCCCCCCCCCCCCTTCGACTTACGACGCCGTATCATCATCAACACCGCCTACGATCTGAGTAGGGGTAGGACGGGAGGTAGTGCCGACCACCGGACCGAACGGACTGGACGGGATTCAGCTGCGGTTTGTTGCCGATAGAGGAGACGGGGAGACGGACGGGAGGAGGTATATATAACAGGGATTCAACGTCGTCAATACTCAGCAAGCGTACAATCCATACCCGCGGACTTTTCCCTTTGGATCAGGCTGGCACCACGCCCCTTTTCTTATAGCGGACAGAAAGATGGAGATGAGACGGGAGGGGAGAACGAGGAGACGCCACGCTCTGGGTATCCGGGCGGGTCAGCACACGAAGGGGTTACAGGACAGGACACCGCTGGGGAAGTGGTGGCCCAGGGTAATGAGTTGAGCAAGGGGAATTGGGAATCCGGCGAGGAGGAAAGCCGGAGATAGGTAGCTTTGGCTGGTTGTATGTTTGGTGGCCGCTGTTCTTTGCTTTGCACTTGGACCTGTTAGGACAGTATCTAATCTTTTTTTCCGCTCTGCTCTTATTCTTCTTCTGCATATCATATCGAGTTTTGATTTGGCCTTTGTACCAGCCTTGTTTCTCGTCTACTTGTTCACTTCTATCTATTTCCTCATGAGCTGATGACACTTTGTGTTGGCTGTTGGCGGGTGCGAGAAATGATCAACAGATTGGAACATAAATTGCGGACATGGGATCGCACCCCTGAACATACACTTGAAAAAAAGAAGAGTACGAAAAAAGCAGCTGGATACAGCCGACTTGGGAAGAGTAAGAGGGCGGCTGGGTTTTACATTGATGCCTCACGGCACTGTGTTGGATGCAGATTCATGTCTGTTGGTGGGTTTGGCTTTGTGATGGGGGGTATGAGGTACGGATAGTTTGAAGGAAGAATTGACACTCATTCGTTTCTGCTGCTTGATGAGAACTGTTTCGAATCCGCTGTGGTGATCCATTTGGAAGGTGCCCTGCTGCTGCAGTTCTTGTTGTTCCTGACAATGGACGCATTGCATCTCGACTCTCGAGACTCGAGAGCGCCTCGATGTCTCCAAGCAATTATCAGCGTTTCTGCACTTTGTGCAACCCAAACAGCAAAATGAACATGTCTAACAATAAGAGGAGTCGATCGGAATCAATCAAGATCATATCCATATGCAAAAATATAAAGCAAAAAAAGTGACAAAAATTGGAGTCGACATCCCCATCTCGCTGCTCTGTCCCAAGCCCCCAGCGATCGTCATCCAGCGCGCCATCTGACGGTGAAGATGTCTCTGCACAGTAAGACCTGCCTCAAGTGTCATCTTCATTGCTTAGGGCCACGCGCAGCAATCGCAGGTTCCCCATGCGAGTGGGTGGCCACCGCAAGATTCGTGCTGGGCGCCGCTGGGGGGTTCTTATGGGAATGGAATAGATACAGCAAGAACATCGAGCGCCTTCTAAACCAAACTGACCATTACAGCCGAGATTTGGCGTGCAAGAACTAATACATAAGGTAAGCTCAGCCCCACTCAGGGGTCTGTGCCCCATGACCCAAGAATTGGGGTTGCTTATCGATACGCCTGAACTCTCGAGTCCCGCCTGCTTGCTTCGACACGTAGAACCAATGTCGAACTTGTCGATCCAACCTGGAGCCGCGCAACACGACTCCGCCCGACAGGACGCACTGCACATACGAAAAGATGCCTCGATACCGACCCTCCGCGCGGCAATGACCACTACTACTACCACCACTATCACCACCACAGCAACCAATGTCCGAGTCTAACCTCCCACACTTCCAGCAGCAACAATGCTCACGACAGCACCGCACCTGTACATCCGCCGCCCGTCGCCCACCACCGCCGAGTTCACTGTAACAACCTGTCCACCACCAACCATCCCACTCCGTCTACTACTCCTCGCGCTTCTATTCCTTCGCGCCGCGCTGCTGACAGCCGCCGTGCTGACCCTTCACGCACGCTTCTTCTCCTCCCTTCTCGCCCACCCGGACGACCAACCGCAAAAACGCACAGCCCTCACCCTCCTGTGGACAGGCGACATCCCCGGGCTACTCTCACTCACCCTGCGAACACTCCACACCTCCTACCCCGGCCGGGTGCTAAACGACCTGGTGGTTGCACCCGCGCCGTCCTGGGCGGTAGCCCTCGCTTCCCTCGCAGCGCTGTACGCCTCGCTGGGCGGCGTGCAGCTGCACACGACCGAGTCGGTGCTGGTGCTGCGGGGTCTAGGGATTCAGACGCGGAGTTCCAGGGGGTCTTTTTGGGCCGGGTTTTTTGGTTCTGACTACTACTACTACCAATCCCGGTGGTGGGCATGGGGTGGATGGGGATGGGGACATCAGACGCGGTTTATACCGACCGAAAAGATACGCGACGTGCTCATCAACGAGGCCTTTCGCGGGTTTGAGGTGCGATACTACCTTGTTGTGCTGGTCGAGGGCGAGGAGGACGTGGTGGTGCTCTTTCCGCGGCTGCTGCCTAGGCGGAAGATTGTTGAGGCGGTTTGGAGAGGGGTCAGGGGCTGTTTGTTTGAGGGTGCTGAAGGGCCGGGTGGGAGTTTTAATGCTAATGGTGAAGTGGGAGGGAGGGAGAAGGGGTGAGGGTGTTTATGGTTGGTCCTATCCCGAACTATTCAAAGACAGGGAACGGGGCTGAGGTTTGAAGTTTTCTTTTCACTCATCTACGCTGCTGCTATTCTCTACTGCTGCGTTGCTGCTGCTGCTGCCACCGCCGTTCTTGGCCGCTTTGATTACGCTTCGCCAGTTTTTGGTACTGGCGAGTTCCTCGGCGTTGGCGAATCCTTTGCTCTGCGCCCACTTGTCGTTGACCTCCTCTGGCGAAGCCATGAGCGGCCGTTTCAGGACGGGCACATATGCGCCTGTGGGCCTCGCCGTGTTGCCGCCCTCAAACACCCGTCGAACGTCGTTTTGCTTGCTTGCCGGTCCCGATTCGGCCAGCCTCCTAGACAGATCCGGCTTGCGTGCGACAGAGTCCAGCAGCTGGCTGGCCAGCAGCTCGTCCATCTTGCGCTCCCGCCAGTACTCCCAGAGCTGGTTTACCAGTCCGCTTGCCCCATGCAAGTTGCTGGGCTGGTCCTCCCCCAACCAAATCCAGTCTATGCCGTCCTTGAAGCTGATATCTCCTTCGCTGTCCGGGTCGTGCACGTCTTTCCGGTTCTGTGGCGTGTCCTCGTCTACCTTGGGAAAAATGCAATCCCACAGAACGAGCGGCACCTCTTCGGCCATGACATAGTTCGGTTTGCGCGGCTGCTTGCTCACGTCTAGCAGCTCCGTAACCAGGGACGGTTTCTCCAGCCCCTGCCCGACGGCGAACAGGATGGCAACCATGTGCCGTATCTGGTGCCAGAGGAATGCCGAGCCGCGGACGTGGAAATAGTATACTTTCGGATATCCCTCTCCTGTACATGTAGGCGGCCTAAAGTCTTGCTGGCTAAGGTAGGGTAGCGCTGAGCCCACGTTGTCGACCTCGACGATGTCGGCCTCGAACACCCTCCTCGTGAAATTGGTTATTTGCTTGCTGCCGTCAATCTTGCAAAAGTTGCGGAAATCGTGGACGCCTTCAAAGAGCTTGGCCGCCTCGCGCATGGCGGCAATGTCAAGCCACCCTTCTCTCGTGCCACCAGGAGCGGTCTTGGAAGACTCGAGCGACCCAGGCAGCGGCGCAAAGGCAGGCTGTGTAAAGAAATACCGGTATTGCCTTTCCCAGCATGAGAAGCGGGCCGAAAAGTCGGGTGGTAGTGTTGGCGCCCACGCTAGAACCCTGATATCTGGCGGCAGCAGCCGGTTGAGGATTTTAGGATAGTTGATCTCATCCGCGATGGGGTCCCATGCGGGCTTCCTGCCATGCTCGCCAACATCTGCTTCTCCCTCGGCCTCTGCCATTTCGGCATCAGCATCCCCCTTCTCGTTTCTATCCCCTTCATCCCGCTCCCTGACTTCCACAACCGGCCGGTTACTTCTGACTCGGATGCCAATCACCTGGCCGAACGCGCTCACCCCCTTGTCGGTGCGCCCACACTTGGAGTACTCCCAGGGGCCGAAGTCCACCTTGTCTGGCTGCTCGGGCCAGATCAGACAGCTCCTGACTAATGCCTTCCACAACTCCTCTTCGATGGAAGGGGTGCTGGAACCGGGCTGGTATTCGAAGCCGCCGTAGCGCTTGCCTAGGTAAGCGAGCTTGAGGGCGATCAGACGGGTTGAATACTTTGCGGGATCCATCTTCTTGGTCTTCTTGTCTCTTTTCTTTTCTTTTCTTGTTCCTGCCGCGGCGGCTGGTGTGGCTGCTTGGTTCTGTATTGTCCCCGGCTTGTGTTTCTGGAGCTGTTGTTCCAGCTCTTTCACCCGCTCAACCAGCCGGTCTCTCGACCAGTCGTCATAGTCAGTCGACTCGGCCATCCTTGCGGCAGTGGTCCCCAAGTTGCAGCGACGTTGGTCCAAGGCGGCGCGGTTCACGATTGTTGAACTTGTTGGTCGTGATAAAAGCCTGACTATGCTACCATTTTGTGCTTTGGCCAGCGTCCACCTTACACCGGTGACAGCACCCATATGGATACGGCCATCTAAGATTTTTCTCCTGTTCGAAACTCCCCCTTCTTTCGACCGGCCGCGGCGCTTCAGAGTGTTCAGGTGCCTGACAGGTGGAAGGAAATGCCGGTGACATTGAAATAGCCCCACTTCAACACTTGAACGAATCTCTATCCATCTGTCGGTCAATGTTCTAGCTTATCGATAAGATTGCTAAACAATTGATAAGACAGCCTGCCTAGCTTCCTTCTATCTTCACTCTCCCGAGAGCTGATGAACTTATAAAAGGACGGATCGCCGTGTCTCTGAATCCCTCTTTATTCACCATGTAGCAGCCATCCAGGAAATGGAGGAACAGGCAATCACGATATTACTGCTAGGGGACGAGAGATGCGGAAAGTCGACATTTCTATCGTCAGTATCCTAAAAGACTCATCCCGTCACCATTGACCATGGCCCCCCACTGAAGCCCCGCTACAGGAGACTGAGCCAGGGGCGCCATACCCTCGGTGGTGCAGCGCCCATCACCCTGCTCAGAGACATGGACCAACCCTTCGTCGTCGAAATCCGCACTCGGCGAGGACAGTACCGCTTCCAGTTCTATGACACTTCGAGTCCCGAAAGCTGGAGACTGCTCCAGCCAGACATGGTCATCATATGCTATGATATAAGCCAGCGGCTGAGCCTCATCAACATGCAACGGGTGGTAATGCAACACCCCCCCACCCACGTTGCCCCTTGCTGCGGGAGTTAGGGTCTAATGCTCTCGTGCAGTGGATAAAGGAGGTCCGGTCGACGTTCGCATCGAGCGATGTCCTGCCAATCCTGGTGCTGGGCCTCAAGCGGGACCTGCGATCAGAGGACGACCCCAATGGCATCATCTACCCGCAAGAGGCCTACCGCGTGGCGCAGGAGATGCGGGCGGACAAGTATATGGAATGCTCGGCCGTGACTGGCGAGCTGATGACCGAGGTGTTTGACGACATTTGCAGCACCGCCCTAAAAACCACCACGCCGGATGGAGGGCAGAGCGAGGGCGGATGTGCCGTCATGTAGGCCTCTCAGCAGCTTTTTTCTTTTAGGCAGAGCGTGCATGACCAGAGCACGCCTGGCTCAGTAGCCATTCTCGACTGAGGGCATCGCCTCGTCCTCAACCTCTTCCCCTTCACCCTGCTCAGCTTCATGCTCGGGGTCGTCGCGGCCGAGCACCTCGACAATGATGTCGACAACCCTGTTCTGCTCCTCCTCGCTGAAGCGCTCTTCCATGTCCTCGATAGCGGTGCTCAGGACTGCAACAGATGTCGGTCGCAGGTTCAGGATGGAGAGCACCTCGCCCTTGGTCAGGTCGCTTGGCAGGTTGGCCTCGCGGATCTTTTCCAACAGTCGAGGTATGACCTCTGGGCTGTAGGCTTGTGTTTCTTCCTGCTTCTCCAAAGGGCTGGGTTTCTGCCGTAAATAGGCGAGTACCTGAGGATGGGTTGAATCAGTCAAAGATGGTTCTGGAGATGGTTGGCAGGAAGCTGGCCAAGACCGACCTCCTTCATGATGTGGTGCGCATTGCCCGGCAGCCGCCTGCCGTCCTGGGCCTTGCTTTTCTTCCTCTGATCGATGATGTGCTGGTAGACCTCATAGTTGGAGAGAAGGGCGTTTTGTGATTCGAGGATCTTCATTGTGCTGTTTGTCGATGCCCCACTCCGAAAGGCTTTGTCAAGATCTTTAAGATGTCACTGTGTTGAAACTCCGTACTCCTTCCGGTATACACAATGGTATCCGTATGGATCCCAATCTCTAGCGGGACTACCTCCGTACAGCTCCAAAATCTGATGCTGCCAAGAAAGGGTTGTTTGAATGCCGAGCAAGTCCTTTCTGGCTTGTGGTTTCTCTTCCGGAAACCCTCAAAAGACTTTCAGGTGGATTTGGCTGCCCCTCCATTGTCTGAGTGAGAGAACCCCTGCTGAAGTCGCTCCTGACCAATGAAAGCCAGCATAACAGCTTCCCCGCCACCTCAGGGTCAATGCAGCCGAACGAAAAAAACTCGCGTCATTGCTTAACCGACAATGATTGACCCAAAAAGACCAGGAAATGGGGTACGTACCCAGTGTAGGACTCATCCGAGCTACGTCAAACCGTTGCGGCGAGACCTTTCTGATTCACTACCAAAGAGAAATTTTCAGTGTTTTATGTATTTGCCTGGCTGCCCCGCGGTCGGCGTCCCACCGATATTTGGGACGAGAACAATTCTTAACCCACTTCCCCAGCCAGCACCACTTCCCATGATCTTCCTTGCTGGGCAACTTCACACTTATCGATTCAAGATGGTTCCCTTGTGATTCCTCGTTGTTCCCCTCTCCTTCTCTTCTCTCCCCTGCCTAATCCGCCGTGGTCTCTCACCGCGACTGCCTCGCAATCCGACCAAAAGTCCGCCGCGTTTTGGGCTTTCGTCTTAAAGTTGTCCAGGGATCCTCGGCAATATTTTTGTTAGCAACGGCACTGGCTGAGGAAAATCTTGGCCCATTGTCAACCGGTTTGACCGTCAGGAACAGCGACCGTTCAATCAATTCCTTTCTGGTATTGGTTGTGCCGTGATCGAGAGCTTTGCCGTGAGCTTCATTGGGGGAGCTTTGTCCCGCATCCTGCACCCCAATTCTCGGTTGCCTGCCGCCGCCGCTACCGCTGCCGTTACCGCTTTCGCCCTCCGATCCAGCTTCCGCAATCTCTCAGACACTTCGCACCTTCTCAGGCTGGTCAGGCCGACCAAGTCGCAATCATGGTTCGAAACATTGTGGTCCTCGGCGGCAACTCGCACCCAGCCCTGGTCGAAAGCGTATGCAACATGCTGGGGCTTCCGCCATGCAACCGCATACTGACCAAGTTCTCGTCCGGCGAGAGTCGGTGTGAGATCCAAGATTCGGTCCGTGGCAAGGACGTCTTCATCATCCAGACTGGTCTTGGCGGCAACGGCAGCAGGCTCAATGACCACTTCATGGATCTCTGCATCATGATATCGGCTTGCAAGACTGGCTCGGCGCGAAGGGTCACCGCGGTGCTTCCTCTCTTTCCCTACTCCAGACAGCCTGATCTCCCCTACAAGAAGGCGGGCGCCCCTCTGTTCAAGGCGGGATCCGAGAGCGGCAAGAAGGACTATACCTTTGAGAGCGTCCCGGCAACCCCTGCGCCGGGAATTCCACAGAGCGATGGACTGGGCAACGCCAATGACATCACCAACCGTTTGCTCAAAACATCCTTGACCAACGGGGCTGGCGCCATGTCTCCGGTGAAGCAGTCCAACGGCGACGCCTACTTTGGAGTCAACGGTGTCAATGGTGTTAATGGTGTTAATGGTGTCAACGGTATCAACGGTGCCCATGGTGTCAATGGTAATTCCGTAGCCACCAGGCATCTGGGCAGCTACACGACGCACGACTATGAGAACGTTTCACACGTCCATGCATTCCAAGCGAAGCCGGGGTATAAGCAGTGGGTTGCGCAGGCGGGAACGTTGGTGGCCAATCTTTTGACTTGCGCGGGTGCGGATCATGGTATGTCGCCTCTGGAGAGTTTGAATGTTGCCCATGGTAGACGCTGGATGGCCGGATATTCGTACTTTGCCCTAGATTATAAGTTGCTAACATATATCATCGCAGTAATCACAATGGACCTGCATGACCCTCAGGGTATGTATATCCCGACGGAAGCAGCTTATTGTCCGTTTCATGCCAAGATTGGCGGGTCTGTTGCATGAGGTCCCTCAAGTCGTCTTGGCCATTACCATCCTCTTGGCACAGCCCTCCCGCAACGTCCCCAGTAAGATTGCTAACTTTTCAAACTGTGTCACAGTCCAAGGATTCTTCGATGTGCCTGTCGACAACCTTTACGGAAGACCGCTTCTCAAGCAGTATATCCGGCAGCACATCCCGAACTACAAGGATGCCGTTATCATCAGCCCCGACGCTGGAGGCGCAAAGCGGGCAACGGCCATTGCTGACAGCATGGGCGTACAGTTTGCCCTCATCCACAAGGTAATATCTCCTCATCTCCCCGCCTAATCACTTACCAACTCGCCGCAGGAACGCCGTCCAACCAAGATCACGGACCGGCAGAATGCAAGCATGATGCTCGTGGGCGATGTTGCCAACCGTGTCTGCATCCTTATTGATGATCTCGCGGACACGGGCAACACAATCACGCGGGCGGCTAAGCTCCTCAAGAAGGAGGGCGCGACCAAGATCTACGCGCTCCTGACGCACGGCGTCTTCAGCGGAGATGCCATCAATCGCATTCAGGCCTCGGCCATTGACAAGGTGGTTGTAACCAACTCGGTGCCTCAACACGAGCACAAGGCATTGTTGGGATCCAAGCTCGATGTTTTGGACATCTCGCCCATCTTCGCTGAAGCCATCCGGCGCGTTCACCACGGTGAATCCATCAGCGTACTTTTCAATCACGAGTAACCGCATAATCCTGGGAGTTCAGCGACAAAGCAACAAAATAAGATGCATGGATCATTTTCGGCATGACTTGACATGGTGATCACATCTGGCGTTCATCTCTCGGATTTCTCGGGTACTGGGTTTCCCTTTCGTTGGGCCATATACAGAAAAAGACACTGCATTCATGGCGGCCATTGTGGAATGGCACTCTCCACGCCATTCGTCTAAAATCCGAGTATGGTTCTCTTCTTATAGGCGTTTTGGGAAGTCTGCTCTTTTCTCTTCTGCCGAAAACAGCGAACCCGGGGTTGCGGCGATGGTTGCCTGGGATTACTACACCTGCCATGCAACGATTTGCATGCGCCTTTTTACCGTTGGGGCAGTAGGCATTCCCTCTATTGCACCTGATCGGGAATGGATCCATCTCATTCTCAAGATCTTGTCGATCGCTCTTATAGACAAAGTGCGAAGACACACATGTCCATATATTAGGGGGCATCCTGTCTCTACCCAGCTATGTATGTACAGTTTGGCTAGGCACAAGCAAGTCTGCCAAGTCTGTGCGCCTTGCTGTGTATGTATGTGCTACTGTTCGATGAGATGAAGAGTGCTTACTATGAGACAGGCCTGGAAATAGAAACAAATACAAATTAGAGTCAAGCGAGGCCGAATGTTCGGTGTTGATTCTTACCTAGTGCTTAATGGTAGTCTCGAGTCTCAACCCCACTCCCCGGCATTTGGTGCCGGGTCGATCCCCAATCCGGAGCCGATCGGAGGGGTTGGGTGTGCCGTGAGAGCCGGGCTTGGCGCAGTCTAACTAAAAATTCTAGAAATGACGAAACTTGTTGCGCCGCCCTCATTGTCATGTCTCAGATGGAGGATATAACAGGGCGAGAACTGGTTTGTTGTTCTTCCCTCGTATGATAGAGTTAAAGTTAAATATACCCAGCCGGGCCCAAAGTCCACCGTGAGGCTTGCGATAAACTTGGGCTTCGTCTACTGCACAAACACTGATGGATATTTACTCGATGATCTTGTGTCATGCATTCCGTCAGCCAGCCAACCAACTAAGTTCTCCTTGAGTGCATCACACATCGCACAACCCGCCACGACTTCCGTTATCCTCCACCTCCTATCCAGGACCTCCAACATCCCAGAAGCTTGATTTCTTACTACTAGAGTTTTATACCGTTTTGGCGTTATCAAACCATGGCCTCACCCACAGCTGCCAGCCGACGGCCCGGCCCCGGTCCCGTCCCCGGCCCTTTTCTCCACCCCGGCGGCGGCGGGGGTGATATTAACACTAGCGGCAGAAGAGCCATGTCGGCGTTTGCATCCACAACCATGTCGATGCCGCACTATTATGGCTCGGGTTATGAATCGCCCATGGACCCGGAGACGACAACGGACGATTTCGAAGCCGGCAGCACCCCGACCCCGGCAAGCACTAGTCACCTGCACCGGGCCGGGCATACTACTACTACTGCTGCTGCTGCTGCTGCTACAGGCGCAATGGTGCAGGAGGGGAATGCTACTAATACGAGTAGTAGTAGGAGTACCCAGGGACGGGGGGATTATTTCACCAGGGGCAACGGGGGATCGTCGTCGCCGCCGCCGCCTGCGACTGATAGCCTCAATGCGGTTGTTGTGGCCAAGGCAAGGGGGAATCCTAATAGGAAGGTTGGACTGAGGGATCGCATTGCGTGTTTTCAGTGGACGTGGTTTACTATGACCATGGTATGTCCCTTTCTTCCCACCCTGAAACTTGAACCGAGATCTTGCAGCTAACGCAAGAGTTGTCAAGGCAACCGGGGGCATTGCGAATGTGCTGCATTCAAGTATGGACATCTTCACATCACTACCACCCCCTCCTTTTTCTGTGCCTAGGACTATGCAGTCGTTAGTGACTAACTCGACCATGCAGTCCCATACAGGTCCCAATGGCTTACCGGCATCGGGCTGGCCTTCTTCTTTCTGAACATCTGCCTCTATGTCATGAACTGTGTTTTGATCTCTCTCCGGTTCTACTGGCATCCGGGCTCCCTTTTCAACTCGTTTACCGACCAGCTTGAGTCTTTGTTTATATCGGCAATCGTGAGTGTACTCCTCAAACCCCCAAATATACCCCCTAAGTCTACTGACACTCTACCACTTGAGATCGTCTCGTAAGTACCTCAGTACAGCACTCTGCCCCTGGCTAAGTCCGGAGAAACCCCCCCTCGTTCTAACTTGCACCCCAGCGCAGCCACCATCCTCATCACCACCTGCCAGTACGGCGTGCCCAACGCCGGCCCGTGGCTGCTGAGCGTCGTCGAAGCCTGCTTCTGGATCTACGTCGGGGTAAGCTACCTAGTCAGCGCAGGGCTGTACTTGACGCTCTGGTCGACTCAGTACGTTACCAGCATCCTCCCCACTATATTCTCTAACCAGCACTTACACAACGCAACGAAACCCAGAGCCTTCCCCATCCACACCATGACTCCCGTCTGGGTATTCCCAGCTTACCCGCTCCTCCTCACGGCACCCTTCGGCAGCAACCTCGTCTCGGCAGCCAACAAAACAGGCCGTCTCGACGGCATGAACACAGTCGCCGTCACGGCCGCGGCCATCACAGTGCAAGGCATGGGGTTTCTGATCAGCTTCATGATCTGCGCCGCCTTCCTCTACCGCCTCATGACCCAGAAACTGCCACGCGACCACCAGCGCCCGGGCGTCTTCATCTCCATCGGTCCCAGCGGCTTCACCGCTGCGGGGATCGGTAAGACCATCCCCATTTTCCCCTTAATGGCAAGCTCCAACTGATATTGTACGATACAGTCCAACTAGGCAGCCTAAGCAGCGCCATCTTCCCCTCAGGCCTGGCAGGCGCCGAGCACGCCGCTTCGATGCTCCGCCTGCTGGCCTACATGGCCGGGCTCTGGCTGTGGGGGCTCAGCGTGTGGTTCTTCCTCGTGTCGGTCGGGTCGCTGTGGAAGTACCTGCGGCCCGAGAACAAGGCCAAACTGCGCTTCCAGATGACGTGGTTCTCGTTTGTGTTTCCCAATACCGCTCTGGTGAGTAGTACCTCTATTAATAACCCCGCCTTTGTTTTCTGTCCCTTCTACGGTATAGTACAGTACATTGCTGAAATGCGCTTTGTGGTGTTGCTGTAGGTGACGGCCACCGAGGCACTGGGCACCGCCTTTGACAGCACCGGCCTCAAGGTGTTTGGTTGTGTGCTGGCCGCGTGCTTGGTGCTGGTGTGGATCCTGGTGTTTGGTCAGATGCTGAGATGTCTTTGGAGGAAGGAGTTGTAAGTCGACCGATTCTGTTGCTTCCGCTGCCTTTTATGAGCTCTGTCGGCCCATCGAACTGACAAGGAACGAACCCTTAGACTCTGGCCCAAGGACGAGGACTAGGAGAGTCTTCATATCCAACTAGTCCATTGCAAAAGCTTGGGGAGATGTTTTTTGCAGATGGAACTTGCACTCGCTCCACTGCGCAACCGCAGTATAAACTTTGAACAGGTCAGGCAGAGTGTGCTGGGATTCTGGGATTATAAGCAAGGTTCTTTCAAAGTCAACCAGGCAGGATTTTTTTTGGTATTCAAGCAGCATCTGATTTTTGCGTGTAGCATAGCGGGCGGGCAGATACATGATACCCCTGAATAATATGGAAACGATGCATATCGAATTCGATTCCGGCAAAGGTTGCTGCTTGAGCATCATTTCAGTTGAACTTCGAACTCTCGCCTCGTTGCGTCGCCGTAGAGTCTATGGACCATTGAAACAGATTCCTCCACTTTTCCATGGATTAATCCTTGCCCAAAGACAGAGAATAGGGGAAAGTGGTCGAAGAATGACGATGTAGATAGGAGGGGAATATAAAGAAAATAAAGAATAAAAAATGGCAAAAATATGAGAACCTCTATGCGCCCCAATCCCATCCAGTGCAAACCCGAGGCCGTTGCAAGCGGTTCGGCAACTGCAAACTAGGCCTAGAAACACCCGAGCAACGAGTGCCGCAAGAATCCCAACACAATTGTCCTTCGCGCAGGACTGCCACTACGACAGCGAGATTGCTCTCAAATATCCTACTTCCCAGCTCAAGGCCGGAGGCCTGACAAGTGATCGACCGTCTTTGCCTGCCCTACTTGGTCAACCACGGGAACTTCTTTTTGCTCGACTCCGCCGTACCTCCAGAGGCGGGCTCGACCTGCAAACTGCGCTGGTAGATGTCCTAGATGCACCTCATGTCAGCGCGCTCTCATGAAAACCAGACACTACCACAACTAAGGGAAGAACCAACCTCGTCATCAGTCGGCATTCGACAATCCATGATCAACTCCCTGCTCATCTCATGCCGATGGAGATTGGGGTACGCCTGCCCCTGGCTCTTCATGATGGGCAGCAGCACCTCCCCGAGCACCTCAAACTTTTTCCAGTTGATGCGCTCGCCGTTTGCGCCCACAAACGTCCTGCTGCCCTCCTCGGCCGACACCAGGTCCCGCCTGTGAAGTGGCATGAAAGGGATGCGCGGCTGTGGCGAGTTCTCCCAGGCGAGCCGGTACGCAAAATGGCTCTTTTGCGTGCCCATCAGCAGCACCAACCCTGCGAAGCGCTTCCCTATATCGGGCGAGACTAGCGCCCGTGTCTGCGCGAGACGGTGGATGGCGGTGCCGTTGATGCCCGCCAGCACGGCGGCAAGGCCGTTGTAGTTGTTGAGCTGCCGCAGCTTCTGCGCTATTACCATGAATTTCTCGAGGCAAGGCGCGCGGTGCTTTGCCTTGTCACGTATCAAGATCATGTTGGCCACCCACTGGGCGATGTGGTTAAAGTGCGACACCATGCGGTTCACGTTCTTAAGGCCGCGGCACTTCTCCTTCTGTTCCTGGGACAGGCTGACATGCCGCACCATGTCACGGATGCGGATCGAGCTGAACATAATCCAGTCGATACGCGTGATCTCCTCGGCAATGTCGTCGGCGTCGATCTCCATGAACATGTGATAGCGAAGCTTGTTCAGGGGTAGCATCGCCGTAGGCACGAGGTTAGCCGCCTCGCGCTCGTAATCTTCAACTGTGTGGAATTGGAACCGCGCCAGCACCCGGCCGCCATGTGTCTCCAAGCCGGACAATCCTGAACTCTGTGATGGACGCCGCTGATTAGAGACGTTTGAGTCTTCCATCTGCAGGGAGCTCATCGACTCCGCCAGGCCGCTCCGGCTCTCCGTGGCGATATCCCTGCCTTGGACCTCCTCCAACGGGTCTGATTTCTCCCAACCCGTGTCATCGTCCTCCACAACCTTCTGCTCCAGGTGCGCTCGCATCTGCTGTGCAGCCGCGACAAACGCGGGCTCTGTCAATAACTGCCTGATCAGTTCTTCTAGGCTCCTCCTTGTTGCCGGCCGAGCAAAGTCGCCCGGGTACAGTGACACCCATTTTGCCACCACCTCGATATAGCGCATCTGTGCCTCTACCCTGATTAGATATTGCGCCGTCCTGTCAGTTCGCAGATGGTCCAGCCGTGCCCGGATTGCTGAGAGAAGCTCGCTAGGGGCAGCAAACTTTCGATACAAACAGAGAAAGATGTCGGCAAAGTTGTGGTCTGCTTTTGTCATCTTGGGGGCGAGAAGTCTGTCGACGAGTTCGTCGAAACTGACGCCTACCGCCTTGGCTGGCCTGTCCAGAAAGCTATCGTCGTTGCGCTGCAGTATCGGAATGTCCTCCGAGTAGCGGAATGATTCTCCGTCAGATTCGTCGACTTCCAGGAAGGACTCGCTTCCACTATCCAGCCGGATGCCCGGAGTGCGCAGCATACTCGAGACTGTCTGTCGCGGACCGTCCTCCGGGATGCTGCTCGACGAGGAAACATTCTGATAATCCATCCTCGGCGACCTCGAAGGCTGTCCTCTATACTGGCCTTCGTTGGCGGGAGGGAAACCGCGCAGGAGCGAGAAGTCCGAACTGGCCCGGCTATGCCTACTGTGCTGACTGATTGGTCGGCCATTGGCCAGCTCGAGATGCGGGTCGAGATTCGCCGTTGACGCAGCACGCCTCCTAGGTACCGATCCTTCCGACTTGTCCGGCGCTGCTCCTGCTTGCCCGTCAGCGCTCGTGCCACAGCCTCACACCGAAGGGCCCGTGACCGCCCCGACGTTGCAGCACCCAAGGTCCTGCGTGCTTACCAGAGATCTTACCTCGCCGGACATTCAAAGCAGCCCTGAGCATTGCTTGCATGCAATCCCGAGCGCTTCCAGGCGCGTTGGACGAAGTCACGTAGTGGCCAGCACACGTGGGGAATGCGGATGCGAGTCCGGACAAATCTGATTGCCGCAGCTCTTGGGGTGCGTCACACTTTGTAGCGACAAGAAGCGTCGGCAGAGAAGAATTGGCCAATGCGGCTACGCCATTAGAATGCCTTCTCTTGGAGTGAGAATGTGAGCAGATAGAGACTCACCCAATATTGGGGGAACTTCTCGAACGCGTTCCTCGTTCATTCCATCGTAAAGGATCATTGCACCATCCATGCGTGGCACCATGCGTCCTCCTATCTGTTTCGGCCATTGTACCGGCTGGTTTGGGTCTAATTCGATGCCTTCGAGATCCAGCTCAACGATTGTAACGAGGTACTGAGTGCCATCGACGTCGTGTGGCATTGTCGTAATATTCGAGGCTGGCGGTCGACTAGCTCGCCGCACTTGCTGTATAAATGTGGACTTGCCCACGCCTTCGGCGCCAATGACTGCGATATTGATGGCCTCCATGATGTGCTTGGGGTGGTCAAACTAGGCCAATAGGTGGTCAGCCTCTGTCATCCTGTGCCATCCTCTCCGCGGCCATCCTGATCTAGTTATCCGGTATTGGCGGGTGGCCAGGCGCAGGCTTATTGGGAAATTGAAGATAGACTGCCTACCCAGGGAGTCGGATTGGTGTCGCTCAATGATTCTTTCCGGGGTGGGATCCACGGCTGGCGCTCGTCATGGCGGTGACCGGCACTCGTGGTCGCGGGGGCTGCGCTTGGCGCTGCTAGGACTGGGGTTTCGAAACGAAGGAAAAACGGGTCGTCGATGATGGAAGCGAAGGAATCTCGGGCGGCAGCGGCGGGCGGCTCGTCAGCCAGGAAAAAGGTGCCCTCGGAGCCGGGGGCGGAGCTAAGTCGTCCGGGCTGCTGCTGCGGCGCGGCGGTTGACTCTCCAGCGCGCGCCCTGGCATCAGCAGCAGTGCCACTGCCAACACCGCCAGTGCCAGCAGCTTGTCGCAGCGGGGTAGCCAATGGCACAACTCCGGGGCGGTCTGAGACGGTTTGGTGAGTCTGTACCCACATTGCTAGGAGGACATCATACCGCTTCTAATAAGCCGATCCACGGTGGACTCTATGGTGAATGCAAGAAAAGGAAGGAGCTTGTTTTATTAGGTGCAGTTCTGTTTTGCCCTTTAGCTAGCTGCTTCTGTCAAGGGTCAGGGGGCTGCTTTTTACCTTGGCTTCGACGTGGAAAGAGCAAAGGAGGCAGGGCACCACATCCCCCGGCAAGCCAAAGCAAGGGTCCCGTCCCACAGCCGAGTTTCAACTGAATAACTTAAACGTTACAGTAGTGTAATTGTTTGTAACAATACGGTACTGTAAGGAGAGCAGACGCGGTTTCTTGGACCCGCTGCTGAATCTTTGTATTACGTAGCCTGGCGTTTGTTAGCGGCCAGGAAGTTTGTGCATTAGAAGGGTAAGAAAGGGAATCTTGAGTCTCGATGTTGTGGCTGTTGGGACTCTCTAAGGTACGTTTGGTGAGGATTACCTTATAATGGAAGTACTGCGGTTTTCAACTACCAAGTACTAATACTTGTCATTGGACGAAGGACCTTTCAATCAAAACTAGGTGTATGTACGAAGTAGACCTAGGGAAAAGAGAATAGAGATCGATAAGCTGGGAATGAATATCAATTGGTTTTCATGGGAACCTAGGGTCTTCTTCCCTCTGCTCTTGATCAAGAGATAAATTGTTCCTCTCCGCCTGTACATACAGTGTAATAAGACAGAGACTCTTGAGCCCCGTTCAAGTTGAAGTGAAAAGACCAATGGTACGGAGCATGGGGCCAAAAGTATTTGGCAGCTTCGTCTTGCCAAGACTGCTAAGCCCTCGATATAGTGAGGCTCGCATAGCTTAGCTAAGCCACCTATACTGGCCACTGTAATCCACTATAGTCAAGCCCACTTACAGGGCATGTACATGGCTAGCTATAGGGCTATATCAACACCCACTTAGCGAGGGAACGCTATCCCTATGGAAAATACAGTGCGTCTCTCTTCCTCTGGCTTCTTACACGTTGGCAGGCTTGGCACCAGTAGGAAGCTGCTAAATACTTTTGGCCCTATCCTCCGTACCTTATGTGATAGTTAGACTTAGCTGCCAAGCCTAGTGCCAGTTAGAATCGGAATAATAGCGGTATCCAAAATTCTGAAGGAGAGGTATTATGTGCATTACGTTACCCATTTGTAATTTCCGCTAGAACTACCTTACATAGTAAGCGTCCTGATTCCTGAACAGCCTTGAGCCCTCGACAGCTTGGACAGGCAGCTCTTGATATAGGAGAGTGATTCTTGTTGTAATCAGATGGAGCCTTTTGCTACTCCTTTTTCAAGACTCAGCGATTCCTCCAAGTTTGAGGAGTGAGTACGAATACATGCCCCCTTTTAGGCGCTGCTGGTCTGCCACATTGCATCGATCTGCATGTCCATCGTGTAAGTGCGATGCATTGGATTCGACAAAACACCGCTGCACCCTGCACCGTTGCGTCCATCCATCACGTTGCCGGCATGAAGGCTTGACTGCTTTGGGACATCCCACGACCGTTGGTGAAAACACTTGCTCCAGATTCAGCATTCTCGACTTTGGCAACCCTCATTGACGCCTAATTGGGAGTCTAGACGAGACATTCAGAAGGAATCGCGCCTCCCTGAAAGTTATCTGTCCCACACAAATACAGATAACTAGTCGTATCATATCAACACATATCTGAAAATTGAGGTCTTTACAGCCGGTCGGCCACATGAGAAGTCCCGTCGTCGAAGACCCTGGAGATGCACAGTGGTATGCATCGGAACGTCACAAGCAACCGGGAATATGCATCTTTCGAAAGTACCAACGTCTCGTATAGAAGTTGCTTCATACGGAAGTTTATTACCTTGCTAACTACAAACCGGTAACTGTGGAATTCAAAGACTCTACCTGCGCAAAAGACGGTTACACAGAACTCGCTCGGCTCATAAGAGGGATCGGGCTAGGTTACAAACGACTATACGGTCAAAGCTGGGAGATGGCTGAGCAAGATCTCGTCCTCGCAGTTTGCACTTTTTGCACCTTCCCAACATAACTCATTGGAACAAGGGTACGGAGTCAAACCCAACACCTTTCCTCGGCCAGACCAATCCAACCAAGCTGTCGATTCCCCAGACCCACACTCAGAGCTGGCCATCCGCCATCAGTCTTTTCGATGCGACGAACCGGGCAAGCGAGACGTCGTTTTTTTGCATGTGCCCCTCCCTCTCTCGCGTTAGCAAGTCACACGACAACTCGTGACAATTGGCGGATAAAGCCTCCTGTTTTAGGCTTCGTATTTTCCACATTTCCCTCATTTTTCCCTTTTTGTGTGGTTCAAGCACTTGCTCTGTACTGAGTATTGATTTCATGGACCAGGCCAAGAAATCAAGCCGAGTGCTGAGAATGGAAAAAGAGCAAGCAAACAAACTTGATCTCGAAGCGGAGCGGAGAGGAGGCCATGCGTGCTCCCTTCCGGCAGTAGCACAGAGTCAAATGACCCGACCATCCTACTAGCCTGCATCCGGACCCCTTGCAGCCCCGGCGCCAGGCCAGCGCGAATCGGGGGGGGAAGAGGACAAATGCCTGTTTTTCAGGGTTTCGTTAGAATAATATCCGGCATCTGATCCTCAAACTTTGTTGCTCGACTTGGTTGCAATGCTACATCCTCTGCGTCCGCACCCGTGTTCTTTGCCCTCTCTTCCCGTTGATTGTTACCACGCTCCTCCCACTAGTCCTGCACACAAGAGCCGGCCCCGGATCGACGCTTGGTTTGGTTGCCCTTTGGGATTTTATGGGGGCCCCAGGTCCCTTTTTTACTTTGGTCGAGTCCCTTTGCCATCTGACCGGGGCATCACACTACACTAATTAGCAGAAAGTGGGGGGAAGCCAACGGTACTCCGGTTAAGACTGGTCAAGTGGTATAATTCCCTTGCCCTCTCAGACGGTGACTCTCGCCCACCAGTCTCGGGCCACTGTAAGAGGAATTGCTGATCTGACCAAGCACAGGCACCATCTTCCCCGGGTAAACCTACGCCGACTCGCCATACAGCCTGGACCGCACCGTTTAAACCCCGCTGGCAAGGGGCCGAGGGACGGCTATTGACCATTTTCAAACGCGTCCTCCAAAGCACCTCGGCTCCGACTCTGAGCTAGTCTAAGCCTGGACCTCCTGTCAGGGCATTTACCAGGCGCCTAATACCCGTTTCAATCGTCCCGAGCTCATGTTCCTCAGCCAACCTTGGCCAATGCAGTTCAAGATGAGCCACGCCCGGGAGCCGGCTGCCGCCGCCCGTCGGTTGACCGGAAGGCCATCCAAGGCCCCGGCCCATGTGGCGAGGGGGGAATTTGACCCCGACGAGTTGACTCGCCGACTGTATATTGTTCTCGCAGAACAGCAAAGTCAAGCAGAGCGAAAGCGACTCGCCCGAGGTGACCCGTCGGAACCAAGAGAGTCGAGCACTCGGTGCAGAGACGGCAGGAAACCTGGCTGCGAAGGCCGGCAAGAAGCCGCAGCGGCTTCGGCCGATCTCACGACTGAAATGAAGATGTCCAAGTCCGCGAAGCACAAGCCTTCTCCCACGGTCGTTACCGAGGCAGCCCCTGACGCCACACGACCTCAGCAAGGCGAGCAACACTACGTCCCGAAAGAAGCCGCGAAGCAATTCACAAGGACCACCACCGTGGACAACATGCGAAACAACACTAACCTCGTCCACAAGCTCTCCAAACACGCACTCAAATTCCATCTGGAAGGGGACAGGACAACCAGGCCGGGGGTGAACGAGACGGCTGTCGCACCGCCCGAGTTTTCGCGGGCGCTGCGGCGCAGCCAAAGTCAGCGAGACAAGCTCTTCGACCGGAATCAGTTTCAGCGGAGCCGCATCCTTGACGAAGCAGCGCAGATGGACCGCGGGACGCAGCAGCACCACCGGCATTCGGCGGACAAGCACACGCTTGAGGGCGAGCTATCCCGGATTAAATCGGGGGAAGGGCGCTCGAACCATTATCAGCACCAGCAGGCTTACGCCCGGCGGAACAGTACCGGCAGTTCGAACAAGAATGATTTGTTTGAGCAAAGAGCAGAGGATAACAACAACAACCGCCGGTCCTTCATGCTGATGGAGCCATTGATAGACGTCATTGAGGATGTCGAGGATCTGCCGCCGGAGGAATCGTGTCCACATTACGAACGGCGAGTGGACTGGACGCAGAGCGACGAGTCACGGGCACGGCAGAAACTCCATCTGGCTCCATTGCTGCGCAAGGCAGATTCTCTGTGGACGCTGCGCGGGCGCATCGCGGGGAAGGGATCTTCGTCGTCGTCGTCGGCCCATGAGAAAGGGGTAGGTGCAGAGGAGCAATGGTCGCCCAAGTCGCCCAAATCGCCAAAGGCCGGCTTCTTTGCGAAGTTCAAACGTTAGTCACTTGCAGAGTAGTGTCGTCTGCTTGAGTTATCCGACTTGGGAATCTTCCCGGGTGCGCCTTACCTGGATAGTCTTGGATGAAAAAGGGAGGGATGCGGGAATGTAATGTCTGCAGTAATGATAATAAAGATGGATGATGCTCGCACCGAACTCTTCAGTGGTATTCCCGTGTGTTCTCCAGGACCCAACCAACCCGGGCCCTGAGGCCATAAACCCGCATGATCTAAGCCAGCACCAAGACGCCATTGCTCTCCAATCCCCCAAGGTCCAATTCGACCACTCCAACTCCAAACCAAAGCACTCTCATTAACTCCGATCCCGCTAACCCCCCTCCTCCCTCAATAAGCGCTCGATAACCCCCATCTCCTCAGCCGCCACCTCCTCCCTGACCCTCCCAATCACCCCGCGCTTCTCCTTCTCCTTTTGCTGCTCCTCCTGCTTGGACAGAAGAAACAGCACCAACTCACAGAACTCGCGTACCCCGTCGCCCGTCTCGGACGGGTCTGTGCGGGCCTTGCGGAGCGCCGCGGCGCCCTTGCGCAAGCCCACGTCTCGCGTCCAGGGAACAGCCCGCCCCTGCCCCCGCCGCTGCTGCTGGTTGTGTCTACCGTTGGTATCGTCGTCTGCTGCTGGCGGAGGGAGGGTGGCTTGTTGAATGCGGTTGAGCTCCGCCGCGAGGGTGGGGTATTTCTGAAAGAGGCGGGCAAAGGCTTCGCGATGGTCGAGGAGGATCGTGTAAGGGTCGTCGTCGGTAGCGGCGGCGGATTCCTGGGTAGGGGTGGGGTTTTGCGCTTCGGGCTGGCGCTCAGGCGGAGGCGGGTCGGGCGGGTGGTTTTCTTTGTGCTGTTTGTTGCAGGCTACGGAGCAGCTGTTGCGCTGATGGTTAGGGGAATTGGAGTGGGTTTTGGTTTGCGTGTGCTGGCCCAGAGATCGGAAGGGGAATGGGAAGGGGAAGAGGAAGGGACATACTATGGCATTGAGCACCTCGGGCACTTGTACTTGCCCGGTTGAGCGCTGCATACACCGCACAGCTTGGGCTCGGGTTTCTTTGCCGGGGGTGATGGCGGTCCGGGACTTGCGCCCGAATCTGCGACGGCGGGAGGCTCCGCTGGAGCCGCAACGCTCGGCTCTGACGGACCAGGGCGGAGCATGGCGGTCTGCTCGGCTGGCAAGTCGTCGTCGACAGACAGCGTGGAGCTTCTGCTGCTGCCGGCGTTTTGGCTTGAAGGGTCCATTTCTCCGGAATTTGGTTGTTTTGAAGATAGAAGATACCGACGTTTGCACCGAGGTATGATGAAGTCGAATGTCGCGCAGGATCAGGGCCAATTAACGCGGTTCCGCTCGGCTGGTTCCGAGCTGACGCGCTGCATACCCGTTGCAACAATGGGGCCTGGGTTCCTTGCGTTCTGACTCGATAGATTCCTTCGGGTCGCGTGCTGCAGGTGATCACAGTAAGCGGCTTTCCAAGATTCGGTTTCGGGTGCTGGCGGTTGTATCCGTAAGTGAAAGTGGCGATTAGCAGTGGATTTGTCCAGTGAGAACGCAGAACCTTTAGAAGCTCGGGACGCGGTCTTTTCCCAGCGCTGAAGGCGGCCCGATGAAAATTTAGGTGGGTGCCGAGAACCGAGAACGATATGACGCAAAGTCGCAAACAAACCCAGGGTCCGCCGATCGGAATCGGAATCGCTTTTGTCAGCGGCTTCGATGATTGAACAGCCCTGTCGCAGGCAACTTGCGGCAATTCAGAAGCTCCGCCACGTCTTTGCATTCTTCCACATTCTCAACCCGCTTCCTTTCCTTTTTGAACCTTAAACTCACTGCGATATTCGTCCAACACCAACCCCGGGAATGGCACCCACAATGCCTTCTAACAGGCTATTACGAGGCCTTGGGCCTCTAGTTTCAAAAACAACTCGCCCAGCTAAGACATCAACAGCCTGCTTTCGGCTTCAGCAAACCGCAGCTGCCGTAAGACAAGCACACACTGTCGCCGGCTCCTTCCCGGCCGCCGCACGTCTCCGTCCGCGACTGCAACCGACGCACCGTCATTGGGACTTCCTATCAGGGTCCCGGCGCACCATCTTCATCCAAACGGAGAACACGCCAAACCCCGATGCCCTCAAGTTCCTGCCCAACTACCGGGTTCTTCCCGAAGGCATATCCTCGCCCTTCATAGAGTATCTCTCGCCGCGCTCAACCATTTCGCCGCCCTACCCGTCGCCGCTCGCCGCGCAGCTCATGAACATCGACGGAGTCACCTCGGTCTTTTACGGTACCGATTTCATCACCGTGACCAAAGCCTCCGACGCCAACTGGGCACACATTCGGCCCGAGGTGTTCTCACTTATCACCGAGGCCATCACGTCCGGGCAGCCCATAGTCAACGTGTCGGAGCGTGGGGCGGCGGGCAAGGAAGGCGGCGCTGCGGCGGCGGGTGCCGAGGACGGGCAGGAAATGCCCGAGGAGGACAGTCTTAGCTACAACGAGAACGACAGTGAGGTGGTCGGGATGATTAAGGAGCTGCTTGAGACGCGGATCCGGCCAGCTATCCAGGAAGACGGCGGCGACATTGAGTTTCGCGGCTTTGAGAACGGCTACGTGCTGTTGAAGCTGCGTGGCGCATGCCGGACGTGCGACTCCAGCACTGTGACGCTCAAAAATGGGATTGAGGGCATGTTGATGCATTACGTAGGTCTTCCCTTCCCCCAGGATATCGGTTCGGCTATTGGGATTCCCAGGGGTCCCCCGACGCGGACGAGGAGCTGACATCTGCGCAGATTGAGGAAGTCAAAGGCGTTCATCAGGTCATGGATAAGGAAGAGGAGATTGCTATGCAAGAGTTTGCCAAGTTCGAGGAGAAGCTCAAGGCGCAGAAGGGCTCGGTTCCCCCTTCGACCGTGGGCAAGGATTCGCTCGATTCTGTTCCTGGCTAAAACTGCCAGCCAAGCCTGGTGTTCCCTCAATGTTCGCCACCACATGCTAAAGCGAACTGATCTCCTGTTGTCAGCGTTTGGCAAGTCGAGGTGCTATTACGGCGTTATATCGCGGCATCATATAGAGCCATTCGGAGAATGGAGCGCTGTTGAGGAGCAATCTCAGCTGAGGCGACATTTATCGCCTTGAAAGCTGAGTATCGATTAACAGTGGAAGTAGCAGCACCTCATAGGTCATGTCAACCTTGGTCGACAACTGAACCTCAGACATACTAGTCGCAAAGCGGCAGATTCTGGCAAGAGTAGTCGATAGTATACTGATCATAAGTTTCAGCAACCACTTTCCAGATTTCTGGGTGTGATTCGACTGCTTGCCCAGTCGCTCTGTCCCGCCTTGCTACGGGAAGGACCGGTCAAGTGGCGTTAGATTGCACCCCGAATAGTCAACGGAGTTGTATTGTGGCGAGAGCTGGAGGATCATGGGTCTATCACGATGTCTTTCCCCTCTGCCACGGACTTCTTTCGGACAGTTCAGGTATACTACCTATACAGTAAGATTCCTACCATGGCCACACATACCTTCACGCCATCACTAGTACTAGAGGTCCTCGGCGTCGCTCCACGTGTAGACCTTAATCAAAGTCGAAGCCGGTCGAAGCTTCTTTGGTATGCGCCAGTCCACGTCCGGCAAGTGGTGAGTCTTGAACCAAGGCCTGAGTGGCTGAAGCCATTCTCCTTTTCAATGCCTGTGTTCCCATGGAGCGATGGATGAGCCATAAGGCACCCAGACACTACTCGCCTATACTTTCTGCTGTGAGGGACGCAACTGTCCGGAATGCTGCACTGTGGAGGGATAGAATAAGGTAGTACTACGCTGGGGTGTGTTACGATGTGGGTTCCCCTTTGCCTCTACCACCAACCAGACCAAGGGCCGCTGACCCAAATCGATCGAAAATCCGGGGTAAATCCCTAGCGAACCGATTACTACACTACACTACACTACACTACACTACCTTGGTTAGCTTTCCGGTCTTGAAAGACGGAAACATCTACGCCGAGATGTAACGGATCTGTGCTCGGGCTTCCGCGGGGTATGTACCGCTGGCTTGCTAGAGTAGCACCAACCTATGTTTGAAGCCGAGGGCGAACGGCGTGTTCTCTGCTAACTTAGGGGGCGCGTGTTGCTTGAAGGGTCGTTCGGGAAACTCCAAGAGGGAGAGCAGCTTGGACATCCATCATCGTAATATCTGGGGTTGCTGCTGGATGTAGGATGAGGTAGGCGCATTTAGGCTGATGAGTGGGCCGTCTCCGCCTGGAATATTGGAATTCTCTTTCACGGGAGACGTCTAATTCTTGCATTGGCGATCTGACATACACATGTCCATTTTTACACGCATCAGGGCGGGTATGGGTTCCGTCCGCATTCGCCGCCGCCATCTGGAGACAGTGATCTGGAGATGACGCTGCTGGGTGCAATGATCAGGCTACCGGTTAGATGCGGGATACCCATCAGGTTCTGGCTTTGGCTTATATACCTAGATTCAACCACTTCGGCGCCAATGAGTCTGTTTCGATCACCTAGCTGTTGTCCCTGGATCGGACGACAAACGCAGTGACAGGAAAACGGTCTTGACGGCAGCCCTCAACGATCGGGCCCCTCGTGATGCATTACGGCTGTCGGCCTCCAAAAACATCCACTTGCCTTTGTCTAGGCCGGGCATCGTGCCGAGTCAAGCACCGACGACTCTTCTGGCCCGGGCATCCACCATTCGGTAACAGCATCAACGCCACGGACGGCCATGGCCAGTTGCGGTGTTGCGGTAGTCTCACCCTTCTCAAGGGCATCCCTAGTGCGGTCGCACCGCAGGACGCGGCATTCCCCCTCTCCTTCACTCGTTTCGCCTAGCCGTAGGGTTTCTATTCGTTTTTTGGCGGTGACGGGAAACTCGACAGTGCAGGTGTGCATCTGAACCATCAACGGGCCGCTGAGCTGATTTAGAAAGGAATTCATGCTTTGGAAGCCGTGTTAGTTTGCCCGCAGTCTCGTGAGTCCGGAGGAGCACATCAGTTCGGTGAGCATTGGCTCCCTAGGTTCTAAGAGTTCTGCACCCAACCGTTTTGGGCCGCCTGCAGCTCAGCGAACGGGTCCAACAGCTGCACATGGGCCGTCAACCTGTCTGCGGAGACGAACTATATCTCGGTCCATGCATGGCGGAGGCGGGTTCAAGCAGACTGAAGCAGTCCATATTGTTGCCGGCTTCTCAGGACTCAAGAGTAATCGTAAAGAACATCAAGCCATTCGGGCAGCAAAAAGCATCACGTGCTCTAAGCTTAGCCCTTCAAATCCAAGAAAGCCAGACAGCTGGGGGGTGGAAAAGTCGATGAGGTGAATCGACGTACAGAGCAACTTTTCTATATCTTGCTCTCTGTCGACGAAGTATCGTTTCGCAATCAAGCGTTCTTGGTACGACCGCACACAGGACCACTGTGTATGTAATGTTTGAGGGCGTTCCCCGGGAACCTTACCCAATGATGCCGTCTCGAGCGCCGCGCATTGGACAAGCAAGGTCATGACCCCCTCCTTCCCCGCGCCCCAGTCGAAGGACCCCTGGACTTGCCAATCGGAGGTCATGCAGGGATCAGGGATCACTGGAGCCTTCGCACAGTATGGATGTGGACTTGGATACGTACTTTGATAAATCACCTCAGCTTGTTCTGTCTAAGTCAACGACATATTACCTTAGGTGGGTATGTACGACCACCTGTTTTATATCACCAGAAGCAAGCTGGAAAAATTGAGCTTGACTCTCTTGGCTTGAAGCCGTTTGGGCGCACTTGTGGCGTACTACACGTGCATACCTTACACATCCTTAGCTCTCCAGTCCGTCTCACTGTGGCGTATTATGTGCTGTAACTTACCAAGCCGTCGACCCCAGGTTGGAGAGCTCGGTGATGGAACCGAACACAGATCACAGAGCGTCATACTGGAAACAAAAGGAGCAAAAGACCTAAAGTATGCCCTAACGGCGCCCCGGATCCTCGGTTCAGCAGGAACCACTTGCAGATCCCCTTTTGTGGTATGTGGAGTCTCCACTAACCTCGTGCCACCTCCAACGACACGACTCGGATTTCCTTTGGTATCGTTAGGATGCTAAAATGCCCTTACTTACACGTCCTACATGCTGCTCAAAAGCTTGTTGATTCGAGGAGAGGGACCATCTAACCATAGTGTGTAACAAGTTCAACAAGTGATACTGTGCAAGGCACCGTGCACGAGAGGCCGAGATTCCTCTACATTACACTTTAAACGTCAAAACTGATGAATTGCTTCATCCATGCATTGCCGGTGAGTGGACAGCCGGGCTGCAATGCTTCACACCCCACCGAAGAAAGGACGCCACATTTTGGTTGTCCATGGGGTGACCACCTGCGCGTCCCATATACACAGCAGTGTAGAGCGCAGCACCCTCTCTCATCGATCAATGCCCCCTCTTCATATGGGCTTCGTCGTCTCCACCTCCTTTTAGTGTAGACTATGATTTTTCGTCATTCGCCCCCCTGCATCCCGTTCCCGAACGCTCGCGGTCTTTCTGCACGGCCGGGATGTGCAAGAGGTCCACAAACGGTGTCTTTGTCTGCAACTTCGAGAGGCTGTCTCCACCATCGACCACTAACAGCTAACAAAAGACGACAGTTCGCACGAGACTACCTCGTCTGAGATCTTCCGTCATTCTCGAATCCAAGCTCGAGGGCAATGCAGCACGAAATGACCAGGATTCCATGACCACGTCTTCGAGTCTCTTGATCTTGGTCTTTGTTATTTGCCACGGTTGTCGGCGGATTGAGTGAATCGGGCCTGGGGTCGTTCTGGCCTGGCTCGCCTGCTAAGACCTGGCCTGGCAACCACCGACAAGGGTACATACTGGCCACTAACGATCAGCGGCCCTGCCTCCAGCTTTCCCCGCTCACACCTTATGGAACCCTGCCCAGAGCACGTTGACCTGCACCTCTCACATCAACCTTGAACCTCGACACATCTTCACTTTTTATCTTTCCGCCTCCCGTCCCGGATCACCCTCCTTCTCTTCCCATCCCGTGCAAAGGCGGCGTCGAAGGCGCGGGTATTTTTTCAACTTCAAGTCCCTCCGCGACGCACCAAACTCGCGGCAACACGCAGCACGCTCTCGCCCACATCTGCTGAGCCTCTCGTGCCTGCAATGGGAAATCGTGATTAGCGCTGTCGCATCCTCCCGCAGACTCAGCGCACACCATACCGGGTCACACATTGTCCCGCACGGCATCGCATAGCCTTTACCTCCAGGTCGGGTTCTCGTGAGATAGGGCTTGGGGTTCCTTGGCTGTACACCCTGTCGGTCGGAACCACTGCAGGCTGAGCCGTCCTACACTACCTCCCTATCTATCCACAGTCGATCAATTGCCTCTCGCTTTGGGCAAGAGCTGTGCCCGTAATCGCTGCACGGGCAAGCAGCCTTTGTAGGCAGCCCTCCGATCACCGTCAGGCTCGATTCGAATACTAGTTGTCTCTTTAGCATCCCTTGTCACGACTTTTTCGAGCTGCATTTCAAGAAAACATAGATCTCTGGAAGGAAATACCCAGTTAATATAGACGATAATCCGGCCTGCGCTCCGTAAGTACTCCTATTCTTCTTCCCAGTCCGTCAAGCCGAACATCCGACTTCACCGTGCCGACTGTTTCTTCACCCTTTCGCCGCTTTTCTCTGGTCGAACTCGGAACCCATCTTCAGTTTGATGGCGTCGGCGTATCGAGCTGAAACCCTACTTATTACTCTAATTCTACGCTGACACTGGCCCTTCAGTCGTCCTGTCCAAATTCGCCACAACAACCTCCTTCGTTTTTAGCATCACAGCATCTTCTGTCGTGATTCGCCCCTTGCGGCTGCCTGACGCGCACTTTTTTCTAGGTTAACAGTGTGTGTGAGCCTTCGCATCCATCTTGTCGAGTTTCCTTCCAGAAACGGACTCAACCATGAGCTCCGGCGGGATCAAACCTGGCGTCGCGTCCAAGCCGGGACCGGGAAGCTTCCCGGCTGGTGCGCCCAGCAGCCAGGCAATACTGCTCGAGAAGCTGAATCGAAGGTCAACGCCAGATTCGGAAGCACTGGCAAGCTCGGATGACGAACCAGACACTCACCGTCAGGAAAATCCGCCTGCGTCGGCCCAACCACCAAAACCCGTGCGGCGTGCGTCTTGGCTGAATGACACTTCCCAGCCTGTTCCCCGTCAGAGGAAGGAATCTTTCGCCAGCAGCTCAATGTCACCGACAGCCTCCCACCCAACTACGCCTTCTGCGGAGTCAGGGGTCACGGCTTGGGGATCACATTCGGCGTCGGCTGCCGTCCTTGGCCGAGCTCACTCAGGAACTGGTTCATTCCCTTGGGGAGCGGGGATTTGGAATGCCGAGAGGAAGGAGCCGCCGTCGCGTCTGACCGAAGTCTTACCTTCCCCGACTTCGGCCGTTCCGCCCGGAAGCGGCTCGTTCTTCGCTTCTGACGGTGGGCTGACACAGACCTCGCCTGCACCGAGAGATCCTCCTAGCTCGCAGATTCCATTCGCAATTCCCCTGCACCCGACGCCAAAGGCTTACCGTTCGCAATCTTACTCGGTAGGCCAACTAGAGCCGGAGACCACTGCCACTTCGATGGCTCCATCTACGATTCTGGGTTCTCGCGGTCGGCCGTTTCCGCATTCTGGTCTCCAGCACCGCCCTTCTCGGCCTAGCATGCTGAGTGAGATGTCGAACGATGGTACGATGCTCGGAAAGGTGAACGAGGACGACGACGACGACAGCACTGGTTCGCTCCAGGGCAGTCAGCACCAAGAGCAGGCCAAGACCATTGAGATGCTCACCCGAGAGAACATGATGCTGCGCCAACAGCAGCAGTATCAGAATGCTCGCCTTCGCCCCCGGGCCTCTACAGCTTCAGTTTATGGGCTGGGAAGTGGTTACTTGCAAGACCCTGTCCCTGAAGAGTCGGATTACGCAATCGACGAGCATGACGAGGCGAATGACGGATCTGATGTGGCAGCTAGAAGGAGCCTCGCACGAAGAATGAGCGAATATGGTGTCGGTCCGTTCAGATCCCCATATCAACTGGAGAACAGGAAACTGGAGAACGTCAAGAAGGCGTATTGGCAAAGTTCACTGGGGTTTGGCGGACTGGGGGACTTGCCCCAGAGCAGGCGACACTCCTTTGCGGACGTACCAACGCGCCAAGCCTCGATCAGCTCCATCGGGGAAGCCGTCCAGGCGCATGAACAGATGGCCCAGGATGTTGCTCATTCACAGGATTTTCTAACTGCGTATCCCGACAACACCAATTTTGCGATCAATAACCAAGGTAAGATATCCGGAAGATGTCGTTCCAACGGCCCTCTAACTGTGCCTTTAGTTTCCCCTTATTTTACCGGTGGCCCGCAGCAGGGGCTTGCACAGACGGCATACAGCAGCCACTATCCAACACCATACACCGGGATTCCGAGCAGTTATGCCAACCGACAAACCTCGCCCCACCGGAATATGTATGGCATGTCACAACCTCGTCACAACCAGTCGCTCCACATTGTCCTTTTCAAATGTGCCAGGGCAGATGTATTTTACATTCAGGAAGGTACCGGCTTGACCGTCAAGCCTGGCGACCTGGTGATAGTGGAGGCCGACCGCGGCACCGACCTCGGCACCGTTGCGCGCGACAACGTAGACTGGCAGACCGCCAAGGAACTCAAGGAACATTATGCCGAGGAGCAGTATAGGTGGCTCATGATGTACTCCCAGAATGCGGCCGCGGCCCAGGAAGGTTCCGGAGCTGGTCTTATGGCGGCCTCTAACGGACTCCAGGGTAGTGCCGTTGGCGGTATGGGCCCGCCGAGCCAACACCATATACAAGAACCCAATGCCGGCGAACTGAAGCCGAAGCTGATCAAGCGGCTTGCGCAAAGCCATGAGATCCATGCCTTGCGGGACAAGGAAGGAAATGAGGCCAAGGCGAAGCGTGTCTGCCAGCAGAAGGTTAAGGAGCACGGCCTTAACATGGAAATTTTGGACGCCGAATTCCAAATGTAAGTCTCCGATTGCGCTTCCTCTACCAGATGTACCCTAATCCGATCTTGACGCTGACACTCTTTGTACCAGGGACTGGAAGAAGCTGACCTTTTACTACTTTGCCGACACCTACATCAACTTCAACTCGCTCGTTACCGATCTTTTCAAAATCTACAAGACACGCATTTGGATGTCAGCAATCAACCCTGCGTCCTTCGCCACTCCCACTCTAGGGCTCCAGGCTCCAAGCGGTGTTGGCCCCGGGGCGGTCGTCAACCGTGGGTCGGCTACGGCCACGCGCCGCCAAGAGGCGCAGCAAGACACACAATCTACCTATTCAGGATCTGGTCAGGCAGGCCGCGGCGCTCAGTCGACGTTTCAGACCGGATCAAACTATCCGGTTCCCAGCTATCCCTACAACCCATATGGCGCCTTCGGAACTGCCGGTCGGGCAGGGGGCATACCGTACGCTCCCGGCACGGTCCAGGGCCTGGATTCGTTCACGGGTGGCTTCACCCAAGGGGACTATGCGGGGCGAGGGCGCTTTCCTAGCCCACAGTCCGCCGGAGTTGTGACGCATGACCAGGTTGTGCCGACTCTTGGAACACAGCCAGATTTGTTCGCAGCATTCCAAGGCCTGTCGTTGAATTCCCGCTAGCACCAGGGCGGCAGTTTCTCTCAACTGAACGATATTAATCGTCTTCCTTCTTTGACTTCGAACATGTTGATTTCCCAGCGTACAAGACTCGATCATTTAGTCCCGCGATACACAAAAGAAAGAGACTACGGCTTGAAAGACTTTGAGAGGCGGCCGATCCTTCGATTATGAGGCAATGGAATATGCCAAGATGACGAATTTGTTTTGCGAGAAGGCAGAGAGGTCGTTAGCCGGTATCTTGCTCGGCGTGGGACGAATAACCAGGTCTTGGGCTTGTGTGGCTGCCCGGCCACGGTAAGGCAGGGCCGCTCAACAGTATGAATCTTCTTTGCGCTTCCTTTTCTGTCTCCTTCGGGCTTACAGGCTTTGTCTCGGGTTTAGTTAATCTTCTCATTAAAATCCTGGGCAGGTGATGGTCGGATACACTCTTTCCTTACTATTTCTTCCTTTCCCACCCGAGCGATGATTCGTCTTTCTGCTTTGACGAACTTGAAGACCTTGCCATAGACAGAGACACACAGAGAAAGAGAGGGGCTTTGGCACGAGCATTGCGTAATGTGGAGATTACAAAAGCGGACACATGAGCTTGGTTAGGGATGGGATACCTGTAAATAGCATTATAACGAAGATTTCTTGAGTTCGGTTTTTATTCGTTTTATTTATTTTCTTCGTTCTCTTCTTCGTTCTCTTCTTGTGCCCTCTCTTCTGACTTTTGCGGGATCTGTTAGATGGCCTCTCAATCCATGTGGTCCCAGGTGGTTTACATGTAGGTTAACAGAAGGCTGTTTAGAATGGTTGCTGGAATTCAAAATCCGTTGTTTCAGGATATGATTTGCGCTGCTTTCAAGAACCTGATGTACTACTCCGGGACTATTGGTGTTTTAGACATAGCAGTTGAGATCTAACCGTCGTCTACAGAGTAGCGTCAGACTTCCCACGCGTGTCTCGAAGCACCTTACTGCAGTACTTAGGTATTTTAAGCACAGTCAGTACTTCGTGAGCACTGAATTTACCTTCAACCTCAGATGCGCGTAGAAGGATGGAGGGAGATGCTTCAATGCAGTCCTAGTGTGCCTTCCGGTGTAGGTGGCACCCCGCACTTTCCCAACTAGCTGTGTTCATCTTGCCTAGGCGGAAGGGGTGGAGGACATGGAGGTATTGAGGGCGTCATTGGCAACTTCCCATCATGGACGAGAAGTAAGGTCATATCCACTCGGAGCCCTGTGCTCGCCGTCTTTGAGCTGTCTGGCTTGGATGATCACTATCGAAGAAGTGGTGGCATGTAACCTCCCGTCCCGGCTGAGCAGTGAGCACACTATTGATCAAGATCTCCGCGAGGTGTTCTTCCACCCGGTTCCCTCCTTGTCTTGTCCTGCCGTCCAGGTTCATTTGGAAGACATTTTGGCTCACCATGCCACCCAAAAGAAAATCTAAAGACGCCCCATCCTCGAATAATCCTCCTCCGTCCCGTGCTCGCGTTGATGGAGCCTCGAAACGCTCATCCGCCCCTGATGGCAACGACCAGGATAGCGACGCCTTTGTGCCTAAGCCGGCCAAGCGAGCCAGAAAAGCCCCGGCAAGGACCGCCAGACTCGACGCGAACATAGATGACGAGCTGGCAGATATTGGGCGGTAGGAATCACCTAACAGTCACTCGAGGAACAGCCTCTGACCATATCCCCACAACTATAGCGCCGGCTCCAAGCCAACCACCATCGAAGAGCATTTGATGGACCAAAACAAGAAATCCAAGGACTTCATCCAACACTTCAAAGAACAAGTGGCTCAAGGCCAAGACAGAGTTCTCGAGACGCTATCGAAGCTCAGGCAAGATCTGTAGGCGCACCCCAACCCCTTGCTAGGCACCCCTTCCCGCGAAGATTGAAGAAGATATCACGGCGTCACTAACATACTATCCCACTTAACCCAACCAAATAGCATGACTCACCATTCTTCACTTCCTCCACAGGAAGCCAATGACGACGGCCTATCCGAGATGTACGCAACGCTGCATGCAGCCGCTCAAACCCTTTCAACGGACGACAACCCCCTTTTTGAGCACACCCAGCTGCTCCTGCGCCTGAGCCGGTCCATCTTGAAGTGCTACGCTAAAACAGAGGCCGAGACGCGCGGAAATTACGGCACGGGGGCGCTGGCGTCACTGTCTCCCCGTAAAGTGTGGGAGCAGGATGAGGAGGGCATGAGCAAGCTGTTGGCGTGCGGCAAGGAGGTTGCGCTGAAGGCCGTCGAGGGTTGGATTAACCCCAGCTCTACGGAGGCCAGCTCTTCCGATGGGCCTCTTGCGGAGGGCGATGGTGAGGTGGATGGTGCCGAGGAGGTGGACGGGTTGGCAAGGGGGTTGTTTGGCAAGAGCAATGCCAAGGCGAAGGCTGAGAGTTGGGGACTGGGGGCTAAGAGGCAGATGCTTGCTTTGGCGGCGGTGGTTAGGACTTTGGAGCATGGAAAGGGTGGTGTTGACGAGAATCAGGGGCAGTAAAGGGGATCATGTATCGGGCCTTATCACATTGCAGGTGGATTGTAAGTAAGGTAGGTATGTGTGTGGTGAGGTTGCTTCGAGATGTGGCTGTGGAACGTGAATGTTTCATTGTCTTCGACATAGAGGAGCCGCTATAACTTGATTTGAAACTCGAATCTACAATAGGATTCACAAAGACAATTTCTGTCTGGTAACCGCTCCCAATAGTTCTCATGAAGCGGATCTGTAAGGTTGTGGTCGGTGAAGGCTCCAACTGAAGACTTGAAGTCTGGGAGCTTAAATCTGTGGAGCCCGGGTCATACACGCTAGCCCCAGTATGTACTAGCGGCTCAACCAACTGGTTAGGGCTTTCGCTTTTCCACAACTGCAAAGTTCCCAAAATTTTGTTCCCGACTCTCGATCACGAACTCGGCGGATTCCTTCGACCCTACTAACTACAGGAATTCGAGGTTGGTGCGTATGCCCTGCCCATTGCAATCGTCTTGCAAGCATTTCACTCGCAGCTTGCTCAATTTTTCCTTGCCTGATTCTGTTGGCGGCGAGGAGCTGACCGTGGAATTGCACAGGCAAAATGGGTGCCCTCAAGTACCTCGAGGAGCTTTCGAAGAAGAAGCAGAGCGATGTCGTTCGCTTCCTTCTGCGAGTTCGCTGCTGGGAGGTTAGTTGAGCACCCTCGAACGATTTGTGGACGGAGGCTTGAGCGGCTTTCTCGACGATGCGATTGTTTCCCGAGCAGCCTGGGAATCGCTCGTCATGAAACTGCGACTGGCCCCGTTCTTGCTATACACTCGTTGAACATTGCTGAGAGTGCATCAATATAGCTCCGCCAGTTGAACGTCATCCACCGCGCCTCGAGGCCCAGCCGCCCCGACAAGGCCCGCCGCCTTGGCTACAAGGCCAAGCAGGGCTATGTCATCTACCGCGTGCGTGTCCGCCGTGGTGGCCGCAAGCGCCCTGTTCCCAAGGGCGCCACTTATGGTGAGGACGATGTTCTTCAATCGGGATGCGAGCGGCTTTTGCGAACGGACTGCTGACCGGCTTTTCCTCGTGCAGGCAAGCCCACCAACCAGGGTGTAAACCAGCTCAAGTACCAGCGCTCGCTCAAGGCCACCGCTGAGGAGCGTGTCGGCCGCCGCTGCGCCAACCTCCGCGTCCTCAACTCGTACTGGATCAACCAGGACTCAACCTACAAGTACTACGAGGTCATCCTCGTCGACCCCCAGCACAAGGCGATCCGCCGCGACCCCCGCATCAACTGGATCGTCAACCCCGTCCACAAGCACCGCGAGGCTCGCGGCCTCACCGCGACCGGCAAGAAGTCGCGCGGTCTCAACAAGGGCCACCGCTACAACAAGACACGCGCTGGCCGGAGAAAGACCTGGAAGCGCCACAACACCCTGTCCCTCTGGAGATACCGGTAAACGGTCAGGCGAGGCCCGTGATGAACATGGCAACAGCGATGTTTCGATCCTGGTTCTTCTGTTTTGCGCAGTCGAGAAGTGGCATAACGGACAGGCTCGCATGCCTGGGGGTTCTGGCGAAGGTGTGCATCATATTGATATCTGGGAGCACCGGACTGGGAAATTCGGTTTAGTCGAGCAAAAAAGGAATGGACAGGTGCCCTACGGGGCAGTTTATGATATTTGTCCGCAACTCAGGCTTCTCATCAATTGCATCGTGATTACCCGGCTTGTTTGGAGTCTGGCGTTTGAAAGAGTCCACATCTGCCTATTCTTGTTCACTTCGCTGCCGCTGTGTCTATGCTCACTTCGCGGCGCATCTCTGTCGGTTGGGATGCAGACCAACCCCGTGTGTGCTCTTCTCAACGTCAATCTTGGCTGTTACCCCAATTCCCTTCCACAGTCCCAGAAGATCAGCAATCGACAGTACACAGCTTTCGCCAGTCATTCTGTGCCCATGTGTCTGCCTATTCCCATAACGAACCGGGTCCTAGGACTGTTCAGAGGCTGTTATCTCACCCCACAGGATCTTATGTCATTCTGGACGGTAATGGCCGACCACAGGCCATCGATCCGTAGCTTCAGGGTGACAACCTGTCGCAACCCTTGAATCACTATCTGGGTAATCATGGCTCGACGATGTTAAGGGGAGTGATACCTGTGAGGCAGGAGATTAAGGGATATCGCATCTACGTAGATCGATGAGTCAAGGGTGATCCGTACATGCCGCCAATCCACGATGGGGCACATCGACCTACATACAACCAGCCATGGCATATCTTTCAACACGAATGACCTGGCTTGCTCAGTCCCAAAACAAAAACAACCGCATCGCAATCTCCTTCACTTCCATTTTGCCCAATGCCCGATCACTCATTTTCCTTCTGCGGGCAAAATAGTGTGATCGACTTGATCAAAACAAGTCCAAAAAAGCGTCACCTGTAGGATTCGAACCTACGCTCCCGAAGGAACTGCCTTAAGCTGCTAACTTGGTGATTAGCAGGGCAGCGCGTTAACCACTCCGCCAAAGTGACTTGGCCTGTGTTGGATGCCTGCTGGTGTGCAGCCAGCCATTATATTCGCTCATCCTCTCAATTCCTGAAGACCTACCATACAAGCATCGCCAACCACATCGCTAATCGGGCCAGAGTCAAATGTCAGCACGTTCAACGGCGTCGACCTGAGCCGAGTTTTCCCAACTTCAAGGTGTGGTACGAGTTGTACTAGGATGGGAAATTTGCTAGTACTAACGTTCCTTGTCTATGACTTGGCCTCCTTGAAATCAGCATGGGTTTGCTATTACATAAGTGACACCGAGAATTGACTATCCCAACATCAAATCTAATTACGGATATCGAAGCAAGCTGCACCCCTTCACACTCTGCGAGCAGTTCCCATGGCCTAACCGGCTCAAGAATCATCCAGTCAGACGAGGGATGACTAAGTACTAGCTCTAGAGTGGCAAAACTGTTACCTGAAGCAGCATGACTGGGCCGGGATGAGTGCCTGGTATGTATCACGAAACGTGTCTTCGTATCTTGGAGAATGCTGCGTGGGGAATGCGGTCAAGAGACGGGAGCCATCACCATCAACGAAGGGCATGGCAAACACTCCCATGAAAGAGTAAAGACACCAGCATTATTCTAACTTGTTCATCACATGACACATCTGCTCTACATCACGGACATCAGGACGAACCTACACACACATCACCAAGCACACTCGAATCGAAGCCCGAGGGTAATAGAACGCGATCCCCTTTTTTGTTCTTTTTCTAAATACAGGCAAACAGGCCTCGGCAAGGCCAGCGGGTGCCGGGAGGCCAAAGCTGAGCCGCAGGGGCATGGTGAAGAAGGGAATCAAGGACTTGAGGGCTGACTGACGACTCCCGTGCTATCTCTCGTCGGGTCGGAGTATTCTTGCCGTCCAACCTTCAACAGCAGGTAGGTGATAGAATCTGCCATGTAGACGATCCATGTAGACGATCCGAGTGCGCGGGGGTGGGGGGTCGAAAAGGGGGAAGGGGCAGGTGTAAAACACAAAAACATGGCGGCGAAAGGCATGGAATGGGGGGAAAAAAACCGAAACCCGAAATCCAGTGCCGCGCGAACCCGTGTCCGCGAGTATGCAGCATGGATGAGAAAGGAACGAAGAGCCCAAGGCAAGAATGCCAGAGAAACCGGATATCCCGTCGTTGACGAAGTGCATTGCGCAGTCCTCTCCATATAATCGAGAACCAAGGACCTGGTGACATCCTGCCGCTGGCTCTGCATATGCAAACCTCAGAGACAATCAGGATGCAGCAGCTGAGTACGAAATGGTAATCGGTCTTTCGGGGAGAAACACTGGGTGTGGAGAGTGTAGAGAGGTACCATCCCACTTGTCAACCACTGGGACTGAAGGCCCATGCATCGCCAAGGTGAAGGTGGCTTCGCAAGACCACGATAGAGCCTCAATTTCCCTCAAGAGAAATGGAGAAATTCTGTATGCAGCCGTCTGACTTTCCCGTCAAATCCTCGTCGATACCATTCCTAGGCATGTGGTGCACAAATGGCGTCAAGAAGATACGGCCGAAAAATGGACGAGGCTGGATGCTGGAATATCCGAGAGGATCGAACTCTGAAGCGCGAAAGAAAACCGAAGAGCGTGAACCGAAGAGACAAAGGGGATGGCCATGGGGAAGACTGATGAAGAATTACGTCCAGAACGCTCTATGCCGTCGCGACCGATTTCGTACCTATCGAGCGGATAGTGTACAACAAAGCGGAAACTCCCCGAGACAAGGCCGTCATGAGTCTCGAGGGCCGCTTGAGCTCGATAGTTGTTTGTCGTCGCCTAGCGGTACCACACCGCGTCATAAGAAAGCTCGATATGCCGTGAGAGTCGTCGCTAGTGGTAACAGTGCAAAATAGGAAATATTTCGTTACGGTCATAGCGGTCGATGTCGCCTTCGTGACTAGTGTGCAGTGATAAAGGAGACGTAACTAACGCAGGAAACCAGGCCCAATTCTTGTAACGCCCATCCTAAGCCAGATGGCTCTGCTACACGGCGCTGGGTTAGAGCCACTGAGTCTCGCCGCTCCCATTTCCAGCGCCCATGGGGAACTGGGGTGGAAATTGCTGTGCACGCGGCGGCGGCGGCGGAGCCTGAGCTTGCGGAGGAGGAACAGCAACCATACCACTGCTCGGGAATGCAGCAACCGCACCGCGGGCGCCATTCACATTCGCGCCATTGATGCCGTTAACACCGTTGACACCATTGGTGTACCCTCCAGCAGCGAGAATCGAGGTGTTGTTGTTGGACAGGGCGCGATTGTGGCTCGGGCGAACAGAGGACTGGCCACCGGAGGGATCGACAGGCGTTGCCTGTCCATTGGTGTTCGAACCACTACGAGAATCGTAGGCCTGAATCTTGGCCTGGATACGGCGGCCATAAGGCGTCGCGCGGATGGCTGGGAGACTCGGGCGGATTGTCTCAACCAGACGATGTTTCATGACCGGGGTGGCGTAATCAAGAGCCGTCTGAATGACATAGTTGGCGAAGGAATCGCGGAGCAGGCGCTCCATCTCACCAGCAGTCAAGAGCTCGTTGACGATCATGTCCTTGGACTGCTCGGAAGCGCAGCGCAGACACTTCTCCACAACGTTGGAGCTGAATTTGTGCTTGGAGAGCGCGATGATGCGGCCTTGGAATTGGCGTACGACCGGCTCGGTGAAGCTCTCCTCATTGAGGTCGATAATGTACTGGACAACGTAGTTTCCAAACGGATCCTGCACGAGGGCAACGGCATGAGCAGTGATGCACTCGATCAGCCAGACCTTCTGTGCACCGTCGGCATGATCTATGCAGCGCTGGAGGACGCAGCAGCCGTGGCGGTGGGTGCCGACTTCGACGCAATTTTTGCCGACCGCGTCGAAGATGAACGAGGCGTCGGCCGCGCTCAGCTTGTTCAGGCACTTTTGAATGACGTGGTTGCCGTTGAGATCCTGGATGAGCTCGACAACCTGGTGGCGAAGAGACTCAATAATGATGTTCACCTGAACCGGCGTGGTCACATGCTCGATCATCTTCTGGAGGGCTCGAGTACCATGCTGGTTCAATGCGATTCGCACCATATCCGCGGATGCATTCTGGATCAAGACGGTGCGCTCATCGTCGCTGCAGTACTCGAGCAGCTTCTGGCACAGATAGTTACCGAAAGGATCAGTCATCAGCTCAACAACGTGCTGGTTGGTCTCGAGCCAAATCATATGAATCTGGTCAGGGATGCGGTTCTCGAGCTGCTTCTGCAGGTAGCGGCACCCATGCTGGTCCTTGCACAGGGAGTAAATCGTACCGCCAACCTGCTCAAGAGGCAGATTGTTGAAGCGAGCCATGGCTATCATGATCCATTAGCATTAGAGTTAGAGAACAATACATATGAGAGGTATGGCAATGGCTTACGAACCTTCGCTGTCCATCTGGCGGCGGCTCTGAATGACTCGAGCTTGGCTGTCCTGAGACTGGCGAGGAGCTGGTGCCGGGCTATAGAGAGGGGCATAGCCGGTGAAGTTTTGCTGCGAATACATAGGGGAAGAATTCGGGTTGCCGACAGACAGGTTCTGCATTAGCATGGGAAGATTGTTGTAGCCGGCAGGAGAACCGTTCATGGGATTTCCGTTCATGGGATTGTATCCCGCGGGTGGGGGATAAAACGGATACGGAATCGCCGCAGTTGGCGCAGTGACGGCCGCGGCAGCAGGAGCAGAAGACTGAGGCTGAGTAAGAGCAGGGCCGAAGGGAGGAGCGCTAGCTTGCAGCGTCGACGTAATGGACGGGTAGCTGGCAGGCTCGCGAGCGCTGGCCAAGGACGCATCGGCCGAGAGCTCACGGCTGTGGCGGGTCGGCATGGCGCCAGCGGGGATGCGACCAAGGCTAGCGTTGTGGTTATGGAAATGCTGCTGAGCATGATTGTTCGCGTTGGCACCCAAGCCCGACGAGCCATTGGTCTTAACAGTGGGAACGTCGTTGGCAGAATAGGACTGCTGGAGCTTAGGGGGGGAAGCCAAGATGTGAGTCGTGGGCGGCGAAACAACCGAGGATGCCGAGGTATCCGACGTAGCCGCTGCCGTCTCCGGGAGGAACTTCATGCCATCGATGGAGTGACGAACGCTGGCGCGACTGCCGATAGTGCTAGCCTCAGACGGGGAGCCGACGGAAGGCGCCCCGTTGAGCTGCGTGGAGCCGATGGTAGACATGCTCTGCCGATGACGATGCTTGTTAATACTATTCCAGCTGCTTGACAATGAATTCTCTGAGGTTTGAGCAGGGCTAAGATCTAGGGTAGAGGAGGACGCAGTCGTCTTCAAAGTATGTCAACAAGCTGAGCCAACAACACTTCAAATGACAGCATCGAGATTGTGCCTCCTTTCTTTTTCTTTTGAGTCCACTTGGCCACAAGATGAAGGAGTACAATACGAAACTGGTTGGAAAAGTACAGTGCTGTTGCAGGGGAGATGAGTGATTGGAGGAGAAAAGCAGTGGAGGAAGATGGGTGGGAAGAGGTTTGCAAATGATTGTGCCATCTCGTGGGGCCGGTTCAGGCGCACACCACGTTAATCATAAGGTACGCGACTTCCCCGGGAACGAGATCCGTCTGAACAATGGGAAGTAGATGGAAATGTCGAGGCTCCCAGATGACCTGACTTTGGAGAGCTGCGAGGGAGGGCTTCGAAGAGACAGTTGGAGGAGTCGCAAGACAACACAGTAATCAGAAACTCACCATTGACGAATATGTTTGCTGCCGAAATAAGGATGGGAAGGCGTCGTTGTTACCAACCTGAGCCGTGGGAGTCGTTCTAGTTTCGCCCACGTTCGAATCTTCGTCTCCAAACAGGAAACCGGTCGTATTGTTGCTGTCCTCCAGCCCGATATCGCCCAAGTAGGTCCGAGACCGGGTTACGGGCATAGAATATCGATTGAGCCTGGAAGAGCTGCTTGTCAGCGACCAAGTTTGAATTGATACAGGTCAACACCGCTGTGGGAGAGAGATTACTGAAGCGTAGAAAACCCGACCGACGAAACCGATCACCGGCAGCGTTGGGTAATGAAGGCTTGAGTAAGGAAACTGCGAAGCGACGATGAAGAAATCGCGGGTAGACGCAAAGTGAAAGAGGTGGAGAGAGAGAAATGCCACCACTGGGTTGCAGGAAATTAGATATGGGGAAGGATAAGAAGGGCAAAGCAATCGAGGTTTGGTATTGTTTGGTCATTATTGAAGGAACAATCAAGGCGTAGGTGTAGCTATTGTCCTCCCCCGTGAATAGAGATGAGCGGGTTGTCGAAGAGAAACGGGGAAGGGGCACGTCGAGGGGGCTTGCCGACGGGGCACGCCGGGTGATAGGGGTAGAGATGACTTTGCACCTCTTTATTGTCCGCATCAGGGTACTCAGGATGAAAATACCCCGTAGGTTTCCATGAAGACCAAGAGATCCAACAATGGCAACAGTATGAGATAGAAGGCGGGAGAGGAACAGGCGGCTCACAAAGTTTAACAACCCTGAGGCCCAGCCTTACCACTCTCACTTTGGTCTGAACAAGTCGCATCAAAATCGATGAAAAGCACTTACGCGTTCGTTGAGCGATGGCTTGTGGGATCCTGGCGAACCGCCTCTTCCTTCTCGTCCTCGTCACTGTTCCTCCGTGAACCGGGCACTGAGCGCGACGGGAGCTGGTCATCAAAGGCGAATCGAGAAGGGAGAGTCCCGGATAGAGGCGAGGTGAGCAGTGAGCCGGATCGAGCAGGGCGATTGAACAGGCCGGGAGGTGAAGTGAGGCTCGAGGTTGAATATCGATTCGGCCGAGAGAATATCGATGGGAACCCGGAAGTCTCGCGGTATTCAGGGGGTGTTGTTGGCTCGGATTGATGCCCACCGAACCTGGCGTTTATATCCTCCTGCATTTGCTGGAGTTCCCTCTCCTCCTGTCGCTGCTGGGCGTCCAGCTTATGAATCTCGGCCTCGAAGCGCCGCTTGTGCTCCCGAAGCCGCTCGTAGTCTAATCTCTTCTTCTCTAGCTGTGAATGATGGCGTCAATGGTGGCCATCAAGTCAGCCGCAGCTTCTTCCAAGCGCAATTCTCACGCGGGGAGCCATCATTGGCAGCCAAAGTTCGCCTCGAAACAGAGATTTGGGTTTACGTTGTAGCCGCAAGCTGCCCGCTGCACCCGACATGGAAAAGGACGCAACTAAGGCGCTGCGGTAGAAGTCGAAGAAATACGCACCAGTTGAACTTTATGCAGGGTCTGCCGCGATCCGTGTTAGCCCGGCATTCCCAGCTTTTTTGGGCCAACGCTCTACTGTGTAGCTGCGTTGACGCCCTTCGAGCTTGTCAAACGTACCGTGGTAGTAGCAAAATCCTGCGGCTCGGCAGCGCGCGGAATCGTGGTAATCGATGACAGTGTTGGTACACGACCGGAATCAGTGGTGAACCGGCGCGGCAGCAGAGGCCCGTTGCGAGGCGGCGAGACAAACGCGTTGCTCACCTGGGCCTCGCCCTGGGGACTCTGCTGGGTGCGGAAGAAGTCGTCCATCTCGCTCGCCTTCTCTGTCACTAACGGTACACGGGTTTTTCATACACGACGCGAACGGATTGGACGACGGGTATCTTCCTCTCTAATGCCTATACCAAGAGGGCTTTGCGGTCAGCAATCTGACGCCGGCGGCAGAGTGCGAAGTTCGAATTGTGCGGTGCGGTGCGCTCGAGACAGGGGTATGTAGATCCCACACAAGTTCTGAAGGGACGGGCATTCAGGGTCACGAGAGGGCTGGGGAGAGCTGGGTTGTCCATCCCTGTCTGCTGCCCGTCTCTTGCGTCGCTGTTTGGCGCCGGCGCCGCCACATCTATGGCTTTCCGACACCCGCCTCAGGGCGCCGGGAACGGAATCGAGGTCCAAGGCTTGAGGCTGCAATAAGGCGGCAAGGCAGACAGGGGAGAGACCTGAGGCAATCAAGACGACCATGTACTGACCTGGAGAAACAACGTCTGTTGGCACAAATTGCGCCCTGGAAGACCAGGAGCCGCAGCAAAGGGGCGAAAACAGTACAGTATACAAAAAGGAGCGTGGTGAGGAAGGGATAGAAAGCGCTCTCAGGGTCTTTTGGGTGAGGTTCGGTTTATGGACAGCAAAGCCCAGCCAACCCCTGGCAGCGGCCCTAGCGTAGTCCAGTCTTGCGTGGCCGACCAGTGAACTTGGAAGCCCCTGGCCGGGTACATACTTAGGGCCAAGCTCCTGAGTGTGTCTGTGACTTATTGTACTGTAAGTGCTGTAAGTACCTCCCTAGTCACTGCGCTAAAACACCCCCGCCTTCGCAACCTGGAATTGGGTCGGGCCTCCTGCGGGCTACTTCGAATGGCTGTCACTGCGCAAAAGCCTTCAATCCCACACCACCTCAAGCAAAGTTACCGCGAAGGAGAACCCGGCTGATCCCTAGAACCTACGACGCCTCCAGCGGCTCATCGACAAAAAGAAGCCGGAGCCGAACATTGGAGGGGAGATGATGCGGTAGACGGATTGAAACACGGTGCATTCCTTCTCGCCGTGATATTAGTAGTGCCCAGCAACGGTGCTCCTTCCAGCTTCTTGCTGCCCAACATGGACGCCCGGGCGGCCTCAGATTCTCAACATTATGTCCTATTGACATACTGAGATAGGCAACCCATAAAGTTTGTGTGAGTTCTCACCCCTGCCGCAGTTGCCTCGGTGTCGAAGCGAACTTGTTGTGGAGTTTATGTTGGGTATCGCCAATGCAGACCTATCACGCTACCAGCCCCGGAGGCGCTCCCTTTCCTACCTTAGGTGTGACGGGAGATGTGCATGCTGGATGCGGGAGACAGCTCTGGCTGTCAGTTGATTTGATATAGGTACTCGAGACCCTGGAAGAACAATCTCATCTACTGCCCATTTTCCCTGCATCGATTGCTTCTGCTCAAGCCTACAGGTATGCCGACCGAGAACGGGAAACCAGACTGAAAGGGAGCCAGAGTCAAAGCAGCGGTGTACACATACCTATAGTGCACATAGGTAAGGTATTGATTCAAGGACGGGACAGCAGCAAGACGCTGCAGTACGATCCATGGATAGGACGGTGGCAGCAGACAGCTTCTTTAACTGCAACCCCGACGCACTCGCTGCCTCCCTTCCCCCACCCACTTGTCAAATTGTCCCACCTGTTGAGTGTTCGACCAGAATTGACGGCTGCGTAGTGTACTGTATGTCCGTACAGTACAGTACGAGTCCCTGAACCGTTGTCTTTCCCGCTGGCCCATCCTCCCTACATAAGGTACTGTCTTGTATGTACTGTATAGTACACTTGTGGTGGACCCTGCTTCTAAGGTTACCATCGGATCATGGTTTGATGGCAACCTGACAGACAGCGGCGGTTACACAGCACAAAGGAGCTAAAGCTTCATCAAAAAATGTGTTTCTGGAGTTTGAAGAGCTGAAGCTCTAACTGAGCTACTCAGAACGCGAGCAGGGCGGAAGAGGAACTGCCTCCGCGGCCTTGACTACCTAAAGGTAATGTGCGGCCTTGTGTCTTGGAATCCAGGAATTCACCTAGCAGGTTGAGAGCCGTTGAACTCCGATTCCGCACGCTCAGCCATTGACTTCGGCGGGGTATGAGAGCGGTGAACCGCGAGACGCAAGCAACAGGTAGGTGGCGATATAGCAGGATGTTATATCTACGCTCTAGGCCTTCCCAAAACTGGCGTCCAGACAGACCAACCGCACGGAAACTTGGAACTGGATGGCGAAGCAGTCGGACAGGGCATTTAACCGGTTGCCATTCATACGGAATGGACGGCCACTTTTGATAGGAATCTGCGCATCAAACATGGCCACCTTCCCCCGATGGCATACGTGCCGCCCGAAGCAGAGAATTGAAGCTCTTTGGTGGCGTTGCCTTCTTTGATCCTCATTTGCTTCAACCTGCTGGAATTGTTGATTCTCTTCTCATCATCTTCACTACCCCGCCAAACACCTGCAACCCCTCTTTTGCCCGTTGCAGTAATGCAGTTTGGATTCCTTCCTGGTGGAGCTCTTTATCCACTCTGCACATGGCGACATTTGCAAGCCCGCCCAACCCCAGCCGAGCCAGCCCCTTTCTCCTTGTTCCCCTCCTTCGCATCTGATGAGATGTAATCCATTCTTGTCAAACAATCTGCCACTGCTATCACTGTTAACCAATGGAAGTGAGCTTAGCGCGCTAAGCTACTAGACTTCTCTCCATTATGGTTGATGCCATCAAAGAGAGCAACCGGTCCTCGGCCTGTAACAGATCTGCTTGTGCTGCCCCGCAGGGCGCACAACTGCCCGACGAAACTGCATGGAGGGGTATCACCGAGCTCCCTGTCGATCTCGATGCAACCTTCATAGTTCAAGGCTTAAAAGTCAACCAACCCGAGGTTTCGAGGCTGAGGGCAACCAAGCTCTTCTAGAGACATGCTCTTGCCGGCCGAAAAGCCGTTGATAACAGTGTCGATACCCAACATTGACCGAAGCATGCCAGTGTTCCCCACCCAATGCTATGGCAAGTCTGGGGAAATCTGAGAGGAGCAGATCTGCCTATAGGACATCCACGGAAGAGACGGCTGCAGCTGTCGTGGAGGGGTTCTGTCTAGAGTCTGTATGTAGGTACATACCTATAATACCTTACTCCGTCAGCCTCAACCCCACATTCGAGCTGCAGGTGTGGTTTCGTGTGTAAAAGTCGGTGAGCAACTTGACCTTTATAACAGTAACTTGACCTGGTATGGAATTGTTGATAGAACTGCAGAGGTCAAGGTCAACGAGCCACGAGGTACATAACTCCAGAGTGAGAACTGCTGATGGTTACTAGAGCGCTCTGATTGTAGCATTGTGTTGATCGGTGAATCCAAACCGTGAGTGAAGGTCTCTTCAAGAGACTATTGTTACATATACCTATGCGCGACGCTCTGTATGGTCTAGTGCAAGTCAACGTGAAACGCATGTAGGGCGGTGCGATGGCGAGATCAATCAACGTTAGCGCCATGTTGTGAAGTGTCCTCGGAGCGGTGCTGGTGTGATCGAAGGGTATTGTACCACAAGACAAAGACCATGGACGAATTGACAACTTGGCTGCTGGAAAGGCAGGGTGACTCAGGATTCGATGCAGGTGTCGCCTTCTCTTCCGGGAACATTAGAACAAGTGATATAACTGTTGCCAGCACATCAATGCAGAGGAACTGCCCGCGACCCCTTGGGCGAACCTACGGTACCATGCCACTTCACTGCAAGGATAACAATAGGCATGCCTAACAATAAGATTAGAATAAGTGCCACGAGGTTGTAAGCAAGGCTACTGAAAGCCCGCGGTCCTGTCAGATAAAGCATGCTTAAACTCATCAGTGTCTTCTCGGCACCTTAGCCTCAGGAGGCTGGCGGAGGTATCGTGGTACTTGCTCACCTATCTTCTGCGATCCAGATAAGGGATTTCCCCAGATATTATTTCCAGAGAATCAGAAGACCGTCCTGCACTTTCCACTGAAGATGCCATTCCTCAGCCAAGTTTGTTAAGAGGCTCACCTTTAAGTTTCGTAACTGAGGTCGTATTAAACTGTGGGGCTCTTGGCACACAGCGGATTACTCACGTTCGCTAGTAAGGGGACCTTGCCGCTTGTAAAGCCCCTCTCGGGCCCCTCTCCTGTCGTCCCCCACCTAACGTTCACTTATCGCTGCTTATCGGCGATAAACCAAATATCGCGGGGCAAAGGAGAGAAGAAAAAAAAAAAAAGGTTGACAGCTCGGCTCTGTCTACCATTCAAACCCCCGGTCGCGCTCGGCAGGCCCAAGATGGCTGCAATCGATGACGGATTTGAGGCTCTTTTAGAGCCCTTTTATAATGGCAAGAAGCTAACAGACCCAATATCGACAAGAGAAGACAAGTACCAGCTTCTGCCCGCGTTTCTCAAGGTCAAAGGTCAGTTTGCGCCAGATCAGGTCACTGTAGCGATGAAAAGCAGTCAGATTGGTCTTGACTAACTTTTTTTCTCGTGAATAAGGTCTTGTTAAGCAGCACATCGATTCATACAACTTCTTCATCGAACACGACATTCAGAATATCGTTAGGATAAATCGCTCCATTCGAAGCGATCAGGAGAAGGATTTTTGGCTCGAGTTCACCGACATCCGTGTCGGCACGCCGACGCGCAACGACCAGGATGGCGACTACAAGTCCACCAGCGATGTCACCCCCAACGAGTGCCGGCTTCGTGACATGACATATGCTGCGCCCGTCTTTGTCGACATTGCATACACACGCGACAGGACCAAGATTGTTCGGAAAGACATACAATTGTGCCGGATACCCGTCATGCTCAAGAGTGCAAAATGCTGCCTCAGCGGCGCCAACAACGCGCAAATGGAGGTCATGAACGAATGCCCATTGGATCCGGGGGGCTACTTTATCATTAATGGCACCGAGAAGGTCATTCTCATCCAAGAACAGCTCAGCAAGAACCGCGTAATCGTCGAGACGGATGACAAGGGCGGCGTAACAGCCTCGGTGACGAGTTCGACACATGAACGCAAGTCCAAGACGTACGTCATTCTGAAGAGGGATTCGAGCCTAAAGAACGACCGCATTGTTCTCAACCACAATGTCCTCGTCGAGCCCATCCCTATCGTCATCGTTCTCAAAGCTCTCGGCGGCCTGTCCGACTATGAGATCATGGAGCTTGTGGCTGGCGGGGATGCCTTGTACCAGGACGACTTTCTCATCAACTTCTTCGAAGCGACAAGACTCGGCGTGTATACCCAGCAGCAAGCGCTGGAGTACGTTGGCGCCCGGGTGAAGATGGGTGGTCCCAAAAAGGGACGATTCACAGCCGCACCGCGGCGGAGTCCAGTCGAGGAAGGGTTGGACGCGCTGGCGAACCTCATCATTGCCCACGTCACGATCGAGGACCTCGACTTCTATCCGAAAGCAGTCTACATCGCCATGATGGTCCGGCGCGTCCTGATGGCTTCGCACAACCCAAAGCTGGTTGATGATCGCGACTTTGTCGGGAACAAGAGATTCGAGCTGGCAGGGCAGTTGCTGTCTCTTCTATTCGAGGATCTATTCAAAATGTTTGTCTCCACCCTGAAGGGGAACATGGAGTATTTCTTCAAGAAGCCCAACCGTACGTCGGCCTATGATCCGGTGGGCCCCATCAGCAGCCAGGGCCAATACATCACTCAGGGCTTGAACAGGGCCATCCAGAGCGGAAATTGGAGTGTGAAGCGCTTCAACATGAACAGAGCTGGCGTCACGCATGTGCTGAGCCGCTTGAGCTACATTTCCGCCCTTGGTATGATGACTCGTATCAGCAGCCAGTTCGAAAAGACGAGGAAGGTCAGTGGGCCCAGAGCTCTTCACCCTTCACAGTGGGGTATGCTCTGTCTATCGGACACGCCAGAAGGTGAAGCCTGCGGTTTGGTGAAGAACCTGGCGCTCATGACCCACATCACCACCAACGCTGAAGAGGAACCGGTCAAGGACTGCATCTTTGGACTGGTCCGCGGTGTCCAGCCAATCCGAAAACAGACGGGATTAGGGCTGCACGGCGACGGCGCCTACGTTATCCACTTGAACGGCACCCCGTTTGCCTTGACGCGGAACCCAAAGCAGTTTGCATTGCGGTTCAGGACTATGCGCCGTCGTGGCCACATTTCCCCTTTCGTTAGTATTCATCTCAACGACCGTTTCTCTGCGGTGCACATCGCCACCGACGAGGGGCGTATCTGCCGGCCTTACATCATAGTCAAGGACGGAAAATCAAAGCTGAGGCCAGAACACCTGAGGCTGCTTCAGCTTGGCAAGGCGACCTTCGACGACTTTCTCAAACAGGGTGTAATAGAATACCTCGACGTCAACGAGGAAAACGATGCGCTGATTGCGGTAGGGGAGGACGACATTAATCGTTCGACGACGCATGTGGAGATTGAGCCCTTTACTATCCTGGGTGCGGTCGCAGGCCTCATCCCATTCCCCCACCACAATCAGTCTCCCCGGAATACATACCAGTGCGCCATGGGTAAGCAAGCCATCGGAGCCATCGCATACAACCAGTTCAACCGCATCGACACCCTGCTCTACACACTCGTCTACCCGCAGAGGCCCATGGTCATCACCAAGACAATTCAACTCATCCACTACGATAAGCTCCCGGCGGGACAGAACGCAACGGTCGTCATCATGTCCTATTCGGGCTACGATATTGAAGACGCGCTGGTGCTGAACAAGGCGTCGTGCGACAGGGGCTTTGGGCGGTGTCAGGTGTTCCGCAAGTACACGGCCGAGCTCCAGAAGTATCCCAACGGGCGAAAGGACCGGCTAGGAGCCATCCAAAAAGACGAAGATGGCAAGACCATTGCTAAGCATGCCTGTTTGGACAGAGACGGCCTTGCTGTTGTGGGGTATCGGGTCCAAACTGGGGAGACCATGATATTGAAGGAAACGCCGATTGACCTGACTTCAACGGGCATTGGTAACGACCGGGGGTCTGACGGCTACGTCCCGGCAGCGATTAACTATCGCATTGCCGATCCGGCCTACATTGACAAAGTCATGATTTCCCGGACCGAGAAGAACAACGACATAGTCAAGGTCCAGACGAGACAGACGCGCCGGCCAGAGATAGGCGACAAGTTCTCGTCACGCCACGGCCAGAAAGGCGTCGTCGGCATCATCGTCGAGCAGGAAGACCTGCCCTTCTCTGATTCGGGCGTTGTCCCCGACATCATCATGAACCCCCATGGTTTCCCGTCGCGTATGACAGTCGGCAAGCTGTTTGAATGCCTCACAGGGAAAGCAGCGGTAGTGGCCGGACGCCGCGACTACGGGTTCGGCGACGCATTCCGCTCGCACCCCGTCGAGGAGATGGGCAAGGTCCTCATTGAGCACGGCTTCTCGTGGGAAGGCAAGGACTACTTCACGTCGGGCATCTCGGGCGAATCCCACGAGGTGTACCTCTTCAACGGGCCCATCTACTACCAGCGGCTGAAGCACATGGTGCAGGACAAGATGCACTCGCGGTCTCGCGGGCCCCGCGCCATCCTCACGCGGCAGCCGACCGAGGGTCGGTCGCGCGACGGCGGTCTTCGTCTTGGTGAAATGGAGCGCGACTGTCTAATTGCCTATGGCGCCTCGCAGTTGCTGCTGGAGCGTCTGATGATCAGCTCGGACCAGACCAAAGTGGATATTTGCGAGCGGTGCGGCCTGATTGGGTATAGAGGGTTCTGCCAGACTTGCCAGAGCAAGAGCACGGTTACTCAGATGACCATGCCCTACGCGGCCAAGCTGCTGGTGCAGGAGCTGATTAGTATGAATGTGGGCGTGCGCATCGAGCTGGAGGACAAGTTCCCCCATCCTAGGTAGTTGGGGGCCAAGTTCCTCAATCCTGGGTAGTTGGGGGGCAAGTTCCTCAATCCTGGGTAGTTGGGGGGCAAGTTCCTCAATCCTGGGTAGTTGGGGGGAGGAGGTATCCTTGAGGTGTGTGTGCATCAGCCGGCGTTGAGGGCTTGGGATAGGTGCGGAATCCATGTTCGTTCTTGAGGCGTTATAGGTATGGCGTCTGGAAGGGACACTTTGAGTATATTAGACTGGCGAACATGGTTGGCATCTGAGCAAGGGCGTAGAACCTGTAGTCATCTTGTGTGATGATATGCAAGTGCATTATCCCCCGTGTGGAGGAACGGAAACATGGGACATATGTTCATCTAGCCTATTGTACTGTGTTGGGTGCATCGTACCAGCTCTATAAAATACTCTCTCAACACCCCGCAATCAGCAGTTACAACTCGCTATGTATGCCATAGACCATCCAGATGCCACTCAACCTACCCCTCACCCCTATTGACAGATGACCCAAATCAGACTGTATACGTCGCCGGATAATAATCACATCAGTATCATATCCATATCCTAACGAATAAGACACACCACCCTTCCGCTCCTTGTATCAACCGACCAAACCGGGATCGCCACCTGATTCAACTCAGGGGTGGTTTTCATAATGGCACATCCCCATTTGCAACCGCATCACTCTCAACAGCCCTCAAGCCACCCATCCAGACCTCAAACTCGACCGCTCCTTCCTGGCTCTGTCTTTGTTGTTGTTTCTGTTGTTCCGGGAGAACTTCCTTCTTCTTCTTCTCCTCCTCCTCCTCATCGTCCTCCTCGCCACCCTCTTGGTCCTCATCCTTTCCCCATTGTTCTTGCTGTTGATGGTCACCTTGCCCTCGCACCCCCGCCCGCGACGACGATGATGACAATCCTGGCCCCGACTCTCTCGCATGCGGCGCAAACACAACCTTGAGCCACCTCCGCCAGGTAGTCGTCGCAGTTGCTGTTTTAGAGTTGTGCTGCCGCTGCCGCCCGGGCTGACGGAACAGGGCGATGCGCGCCGAAATTTGAGTAGTCCATACCAGTCCCAGGGAGGGTGTCTTGAGCGGGTGTTGGTACGGGTGATGATGATGGGGCGGTGAGTCACCCCACCCCGTGAACCACGCTTGTTGGTGGTCGAGTAACAGGGCTGGGTGGTCCTCGGGTTGAAGCTGGGTTTGGGGTTGGGGTTGGGAAAAGGGCGCCAGCGGTGGTGGTTGCGGGGTGCTTGATGGTGAAGAAGAGGGAAGCAGATTGTCCTCTGGGGTCTTCTCTATCCCCAAGGCACGGCTGCGGGTTGCAAGAGGGCTTTCTTGCGTCAGCCGCGGGTGCGGGTGCTTACTGTGGTGAGCGTAGAGGGATGAAGATGAGCCCGGGGTTTGGCGGACCGCGCTGCTGCTGCTGTTAGCACCAGAGGAGGAAAAGCGGTCGGCTACCTGGTTGGCGATGACCACGGCCAAGTTGTGCCGCTGCGCGAGCTCGCGGAGGTGCATCCCTAGCCGGACCAACTCGGCGGTGCGCGCGCCCATGTTGGAGCCCGACGAGGAGGAGGCCGAGCGCTCAAACTCGGCCCGATAGTTGGCTGCCACCGAGTCGAGTACCAAGAGGCCGATCCCGCGGCGCTCAATCTCGACGGGCACCTGGAACGAGAGGATGTGGTCTTGGCTCTCGAGGTCCGGGGTGATGGTGCTGATGATGTTATCGAGAGAGGGCCGGTCTGAGGGGGGAAGGCGCTGGAAGAGCGGGTTGGCCGAGAGCATCTGGGAAAGGCGGCGGGTGGGAAGCGGAGCCTCAGTGCTGATGTACAGCGCCGGGCGACCAAGGCCGTGAGGAGGAGGCAGCTGCACCGACAGCAGGAGGGTGAGGAGAAACTGCGTCTTGCCAGTGCCGGACTCGCCCGTGATCTCGGTCACGTAACCCGAAGGGATGCCGCCACCCAAGGCGTCGTCAAGGATCGGGTCGAGGGTACTGATAGTCTGCCATTGTGCGGCGAGCGAAGCAGCCGTGTTTTTCAGTTGGCGAGCAGAAGTGGTGGCAGGAGATGGAGATGCTGCTTGTCCTTGTTTTGGACCCAGCACACCAAGATCGCCATGCAAGGCATTGAGCACAGCGCTGCAAAAGCGCTTGACATCAAGCAGCGGCAGGTTGGTGCGCTTCCCAATGTCGACGGCGTCGAGGGTCAAGAGGTCGCTCGTCGACAAACCGTGTTTTTCCAGCGCCGGAAGCAGTCTAGCATATTGGCCGACGGGGAAGTGCGGCAGCACGCGCAACAGATCGGTCATGGAGACGCATCCGTGTGCTGCCGATGCGGATGCGGCCCGGTGCTGATGGGGATGGGATGGCGTCTGGGAGGACTCGGGCTCGTCGGGCTCGCTCGGCGCCGGAATTGTGGAACCGTCATTGCGTGCCGATCTTCCGTTGACCACGGAGGGAAATTCTGAATTTGTGGATTTTCAGCAACGACACTCGCCCGAAACGACACTGTGCACAATGCACATGTCCCTCCAAGAACGGATCCATCTTTTTGTCCGCTGCGGGGCTGATTAGCGCCTGTCAGTCTTGGCAGGGGCTCGTCCAGTGTTTATGTGGGGTAATTAAACTTGAGGGATCGGTTGCAGGGTTCAAGGAAATTGGCAGGGGTAGGCAAGAGCAACCTGGAGGTTGGCTCTTGTGAGGCAACAGCTTCGGAGAGCTTTTAGGTCCTGTGAGTTGCTTCGTCCAGAATCAATTGATTGCAACCTGGAAGTTCTTGACTCCTGCACGGTAGCGGCGTGCTCCCTATCTCATCAATGCACTAACGTTAACTGTTAAAGGAGCCGCGGAATCTTGCTAACACACACATGTGTTCGCACCTCCGTTCCCGAATACCGTAGGCGCCAGGCTCGAATACCTAGGCTGGGTTACCTGCGCCTAAGGTGTCAGGCCCCGGTCAGTCAGCATTCAGCAGCCCCTAACGTTAATTAACGTTAGCACCGAGTCTTGAATTCTTCCGAGTTACCCGTCAATTATACTCCTCGGTGGAGGCCCCGACTTCGTTCATCTGTCCTGCCATGCACGTCTTGTACAGTTTTCTCCTTCCCTTGTTTATCAACACCAACTGCCGCGGCGTGGATACGTCCTCCAGCCGCCGGTAACCATGGGCCTTTTCTACCTCTTCGGGGCTGCCCTCTTTGGTGCTTCTGCTCAAGGTCTAGTCTTTACGGGGCCGCGACCGACAGATAGTACAGATCATCTCAACGCGCTTGCAGAAGATGGCTGGACACCAGTCCCCACGCCCGGCCCTGGCATCCGCGAAGTCCTCCGACGGCAAGATAGCCTGGCGTCAACCTACCTTGTGGCGCCAGACAATACCTGTGGTTTCATAAGCGGGAGGGAGAGTGAGTGAATCCATTTTGTTCAAACCTAAGGCTCTGCTACTCACCACTATATCCCAGGTGGGGCGTATACATGCGGCCAATCCAACTTGCGATGTGCCTTCATCCCATCCTCGGCCAAGATTCCCGGCGCGGCGGGCTGCTGCAACGGCAGCCAGTGCGCTTTCCGCGTGTCGTGCCTTGACCGCGAGGACTTGAAGTCCTGTGACAAGTCTTGTCAGGCCGACACAATGACCCTGAAATGGTCTGTTGCTCCGCTTACCCGCGATCTGGGTGCTAGGAACTAACACGATCAACAGTTCGGGATCAGCACGCTTCTGCAACACGGTCGCCTTTCCGCTAGGAGTCACCGACTATTACTGTGCCACACGCAGGATAGCAAGCGTCCAGAAGGCCGAGACGACGCACAGTGGCCAGCGCAGCAGGAGCATGGTTTCAACCGTCATTGGCGAAACGACCTCAACGTCAACCAAGACGAGCACTTCCAGCAAGCCGTCCTCTGGCTCTTCAACCTCATCGCCGCCCGAAACCGCCTCTTCAGATGCCGTCTCCTCGACGACCAGCTCTTCCGCAACCGATTCTACAAGTGCTGGCGCAGCGACTACCTCGGCAGATCTCGAAGTCGCCCCAGCCCCTTCGGCCCCGGTAGGCGCCATCGTAGGAGGTATCCTTGGCGGCATCGCCCTCCTTGCTCTGATAATCTTCGGCACCGTCTTCCTCCGTCAGCGGCAGCTGAAGCGCCTACAAGCATTGCAAGCCCAAGGCCCTTCGCCTTCAGCCGGCCAACAACCGCCCATGTCCCAACCGCCTTTCCAGCCACAACCACCAGCCAACCCCTTCGCCGACCCACCACCACCATCCCCCTATTCCTCTCAAGCCCCACCATCGCCTGCCATATCCGCCGTGTCCGCCCACCAGTCTCCCGTACGGGCATATGGCACGGCGGCGACGGCGGCAGCAGCAGCAGCCGGAGCAGCCGCCGCAGCGGGCACCTTCAGATCCCAGCAGCAGCAAACCCGCAGCAACCCCCGCTTCTCGTACGAGCAAATAAAACAACCACCACAAGCACAAGCGACTTACTACCCCCAGCCTCCCGCATACGACCAGGATTCTTCCTACCCCTACCCCATGCAGGACGAGACGTGGTTAGGGCTAGGTCTAGGGGAGCGACAACAACAAGCAGCACAGCAAAGCGTGCCATCCACGCCCGTCTCAACAATCCATGACGCCATCCCCGTCACGCCCGCCTCGGCACTCAGCACCGGCGCCGGCGGCAGCGGCATTGGCAGGGACCAGAGCATCAGCAGCATCAGCAGCGGCGGGAGGAGCAGCAGAAACAACCTTGCTGCGGCTGCGGCTGGTGGTAGTGGTGGGAAACAATATCAAGGACCGGGAGGGGGAGGCGGAGGAGGGGACAACAATATCATGGCCGGCGTGCCGCTCATCCTCCAGCCCGGCATGGGCATGCAGCGGCTCAAGCCCTCGGTTGTGACGGTGCGGCGGTCGCCCTCGACGAGGTCTGGGGCTGTCGGGAGCGGGAGCGGGAGCTAGTAGTGCTCGGTTCTGAGGGAGGTCCGGTTTTCAGGTTGGATTTCCCAGGGGGGGGGAGGGGGTTGGGGGGTAGGTCGACTGGCGTGCAGGCGGGGGCGGGAAAGAAGGAAGTGTAACGGTTTTGGAATATTCAACAGCTGTGCATGAATTGAGACGAATTTGGTTGGTTGGGCAAAGGGTTGAATTGGGAGGGAGGGAAATGAATCGGGGAAGGGAAATCGGGAGTGGCTAAGGGCGGCGGCTGTGTGCGATTTGGTTTGGTTTTTTGGAGAGATTATACCCTTCATCTTTTGACCGCCAGCCCTTTTATCCTTGGGCATCAGCGTCTTTCTCAAGATGCCGGAGAGAGGCAGCATCGCCGGACACTGCACAGAGGCAGGGTGGCGGGCTTGTATGTAAATATAGCATCGAGTGCCCATCTCACATATGGCTGTTGCAAGACTCTGCAGAACAGCCCATTCAAGTTCTTGTACTACATATCCACATCATTTACTCGATCGTGGTACACAACACGGCTCGTGCGTGCCTAGGGAAGGGTGCTGGTCCAATGCCTCTACAGCTCATCGTGTTGCTCTCAGCAATGGGTGCTTCACCGAGTCGCGGTCAGAAATACATCATGTTACAGTACACGTATATACATTCGAGACGCTACTAGGTAACAAGCAAGCAAGCAAGCAAGCAAGCAAAATGCAAAAAGATCCAACCCCAGGATATCATCCAAAATTAAAAGCCATACAAGCCAATATCACAACAGCATTGCCAAAAGTACAGACTCGGGACACACGCAACTCAGTAGTCAATCAACCTCAACTTCTTGCCCACCTCCCGCCGCCTAGCTTGCGTCACCGCCCGTTCCGACGGCTTGGTCTCGCCGTTATCGTAGTTGTCGCCCCGAGCTTTGAGGGCCTGCAACAGCATGCCGGCGTCAAAAAAGCCATCTGTTTGGCAGCCGTGTCAGTATGATTATCCCAGTTACAGAAGGACGCACAGGGGGTGAGAACAAGGAAAATAAGAAAAACTTACACCCTCCCAACTCATCATCCTCACTCATAAGCAGACTCTCATCAGTCGGACTCGACAGACTACTCTTCTGCCTCGTAAGGCCCGAGCCCTCATTTAGCCCGCCCGTGATCAGGCGCCCGCGCAACTTGGCTCTGCTCCCGGCCTTGTTAGCCGCAACCCCGTTGGCCGCATTACCGTTGGCATTGCCGCCGCTGCCAGCGACCCTGATCGAGTCGAGCTCCCTTGCCCTAGTCTGCCTGACGGCCATGGCATTCCTGCTGCCCCCGGCAATTCTTAGGATCCTCCTGATTTCCAACAGGTAGCTCTCGAGCGTGTCGACGAAGCGCCTCGTCTGCCTGTGCCGGGACGAGACGCAGATCGAGATGCCCTCGTCCTTGATAATGTAGCCGATGCCAAAGCCGTCGCCCGACACAGGGCCGAAACCAAACTGCCTCAGCGAGGGGTTGCCGCAGTTGGATGTTGAGAGGATGGTGGTGTTGAGCTTGTCCCAGCCTGGGTCGGCAAAGATCAAGGGCAGGTGGTGGCCGTTTCCGTTGGCGGTGCTGTCGGCGGCGCCCCGGCCGCCGCGACTGCTGCGCGAGGTGGTGCTGTCGCCGCGCTCGCGGCTTCGGATGGCGGGGAGGGGAGACCTGCGGCGCTCGCCGTCTAGCACATAGGCGGGCTGGTCTTCGTCCCTGCCGGGGCTGCCAACCAACGAAGAGCCGCCGCGGTCCGACATGCCCTCGACGGGGCTCGAGTAGCCATCGCTGCTCGTGCTGCTCACGGCGTAGCCCAGGTCCTCGTCCACGGTCCGCTGCCAGAGGCAAAACAGGGCGTAGAGGTGCCTGTCGCACCCCTGGGCTTTGGCGCATTCCTTGGTGGTAGTGACGTGGCGCTCGCAGGCCTTACGGAGCGCTTCAATCTTTTGTTCGGCTGGATTGTCTGCCCAGAAGGTCTGGACAAAGTTGACGGACTCGTCTGATACGGTGCGAATCGCCTCGGTCCGCCCGTGCAGATACATTTTGGTCATGGCGGGTTCGTAGGTGCACTCAACCCTGCCATACAGGCCATAGTAGGCTGCTTGGAAAGCCATCTGCACAAAGGCGTCTGGGGAGAAGCCCATCGACGTGATAAAGTTCTTCCCGTACGCGCTAAAGTCGAGGCATTCAAACTCGTTCTGCTCGATCAAGTCTGCTAACCTGGTCTCGGCGAAGCGCACAGCAATCCTGAGCTCCGGAGTCATGTCCCATTCGAGCTTGTGCGGGCTCGTTTGAACGTCGCCAAAACTGTCGGGATCGCGTTTGCACGGATCCGGGCTGGTAGAAGCCCACAGCGTCGGCGCTTTGCCATTTATTGTCCTCGCGAACCGCAGGATGGTATCGGTGTAGACGTCGCTCGCAAAGCGCAGCACTGTATGGCCATCGACGCCCGTGTGCTCAAAGTTGATCCCAGCGCTGCCGTTCTTACAAACGATGATCTGTAGCTTGTCGTACCATCGATTTGTGCATGTGCCAATCTGCACGCCCTTTTCAATCACACTCGTGCCGCAGAGCATGTTCTGGCAGAGCGCTGCTGCAGTCGTGGGCTCTGTATAGTCCAAGCAGACCACAAAAAGGGCGGTATCGACGATCCCCAGGCAGTCGGCGTTGTTCGACCCCGGCTTCCTTGTCAAGACATCCCTCAACCCAGACCAGACCTTCCTGTTCTCGGTGCTGAGAACGCCCAATGCACCTTTTGCTGCTTCCTGGATAGGAGTTTGCGCGGCATCATCAATGATGGTCTGCAGGTTGATGGCGATGTCCTTTTCCGACATGATCAAGTCCGAGTTATCGTCCAGGACGTCGAACCAGTAAAACTGTCCATGGCACATGACGATTATGTGCTTGGAATCGGGATCCTGCTCAATCTGGCAGCCAGCATCGGTTGGCACACGAGCGGTTCCAAACAAGCGCGAGTACTGGTACATGCAAAGAGGCGTCCCCTTGACGGTGTCAGGAGGCAACTCTTCTTTGCGGACGGCTCTGACAAACTCCAGGGCCGACACCACCAGGGACGCGGCCCGCGTCACTTGGTTGTTCCGGGCGGGTGTGGGGTCGTCCTCAAGCAGGAAGAAGGGGTTCAGGTTGAGGACGACGGGATTATCAAAGTTGAGATACGAATCGTACCCTGATTACGGTGTCAGCCAATGCATCCCGGCAAACGCACCATGGCGAAGGACGCACAAAATTGTTCGATATAGCTAGTGCGCGCTTCGGCATACTTCTTTAGCTTCTCGTTCAACTCTGGTCCCTCTCCCCGCAAGAACTCTTGCACTGCGTGTTTCGTTTCTGCGTGCTCCCTGGCGGACTGGAGCGGCCTGAGAGAGTCGAGGTATTTCTTGCAAGTGGCCTCAAGGTCGGGGATAGGCAACTTGGGTAGCTGGTCCTGGTGGGCGTATGTGACGCCCCCTTTGGGCTTGTCGTCCTGATAAGTGGACATGGTGTAATGCCGAGTCTTCACAACCGGGCTGACTGTTGGCCTGGGAATCTCGGGATACTCAGGCACAGAGCGGGGAACGGTGGGCGGCTGCACGGGGCTGTCGAGCGTCTCACCAAGAGACCTCGGCGATGTGAAGATGCGAACTTGTGTAGGCATTCTCGTCAGCTGGGCTCGACAAGGATCAAGCGTAGAGAGGCGAGACGAAGGTGCTGATGTTTAGGCCGCGCAGAGCTGTGCGGTAGAAGTAGTGGCAGTCCTGGAGGCAGTAGGGTGGCATTCCACTTGAAACGCTGACTAGTGAGCGCAATGCAATGGGTGAGGGAAGCAAGGCAAGAAGACAGGATGGATCTTCAGGAGAAGGGAGGAAGCTACCGATCCTCGGCCGGGATAGACTCGGGGATATAATAAGCAAAGCCGGCGGCAAGATCGGGCACGAGGAACTTGGGAGAGGGTACGGGCAGGACGGGGTGGAACCATCTCAACATTCTCATGGCTGCTCAGTGCTCACATCCACAGGTCCCACGCTGACCGAGGAGGAAGAGCTGGGGGCATCCAGGCCTGCCATTCTGCCATGTGCATGTGGAACTACCGGGACATGCGCTGGGCAGCGGAGCTTAGTGTGTTGGGGGTTGAACGAGGCCAGTGTGGTGACTGTGGTCCCCTTTAGGCGCGCAGAGGGCGGGGAGGAAAGGGACCATTGGACACGGCATCTCCACGGTGGATTTGCGAAGACTCCTCCGCAAGCCCGAACGCTCAATATGGATGCCGCCAGTGTGCTAATCTGCCGAGCCACATGTTGTCCGGGATTATGGGATGCGAAGTTGCAACGTACAGTGATAGGAACCGGGGCCAAGCGTTACCTGCGGCAATTCCGTGTGCTTCCCTGAGGAACGGGTCCGTGATTCTGCTCGTCGAGAATCCCGTGGTGTACGAGTAGGGGGTTCAGAGGAGAGGTCGAAAGGTCGAACAAAACGTGTCGCCGTCTACATAGACCAGTATAAGTGTGCGGTTCCTTGTCCTGGACTTATTTCAGCCACGGTTGCTGCCTGTTAGCGACGATTGGGCTGGCGGTCATCTGGCCAGCCGGCTAAGCTGGCATGGGACTTGGACAACAGCCAACATAAGTCATGCTTCATCTGACCTACAGGTATTGGAGTCCAGTGTACCGGGCTGGTCTCGTCTCAATGCGTCACAAGCTGGAAGACAGCTCGAGGGTGAAGGTGGGGGAGGAGTGAGAAATGACGTTTGGACTCCTACCCCACACTTTGGACTGGTAATGTACATACATACATAGTGTACTGTACTGCCAGTCCTGGACTCCTGGTTGAAATGTGCGCACTGCGAACTGCAAAGCAGCTTCTGGAGTGCCGGCAACGACGGCGCGCACTCCGAGCTGCAACCTGCCTGAAGCCTGCAAGAACTCGACGAGTTCGAACTAAAAAGAAGGGTTCCACAATCTCCCCGCGATTAAACTACGGGGTGCCCAAAGTTGCGTGCTGCTTGGTCTCTCGGACAAGAGGATGTTGCGCAGTGTGATTGTTGGGTAAGTTACCGGGTACAACGTGAATGTTTCATACAGCGGCAACACTGTAAGCATGATGCACACTGTACGGGATGGTGAAACCCTGCATAGCCGCACAGTATGATTACTGGTGTACATACCGTGGAATTCAGTACAGTACGTATTTGATACGATCCTGGTGGGTGGGGGTTGCTAGCAGAAACGGAAATGTCCAGATCGCATGCCCGAGGCCAAAGCTTTTGCCGGTTTGGCAAGAGAGGTGACTTTCTCTTGATCATTTGCGTTCCCAGATCCTGCAAGTTGGAACCTAATACAGTAGACTTGCGTCCGACTTAGTTAGAACGACAGCGGTGAAGCTGAGCTAAACTTGAGACGAACTCGAGAGGCCTGCCTCCCGTTGAGACTTGACAGACAAGCATGTGAACGTCACAATTGCCCGGGGATAGGACCCCGCACGAGATAGCATGCCATTAGCGCAAGTTGATCGCTCCCGGCCGAACGGATATGTGGGGCCCACCGGCTTGGGGACCGAGTGAGACAGGTACCTATGTACTTGACTACAGAGGTTTTGTTAGTCTTCGATAATATAAGTCGAGGCTCAAGAGCATCCATGAGATACGCAGATGCAGTTCCAAAACGGCATGCCGAGCTCATTACTAGACTTCTCACCGGTGCCGTGTTGAAAGGGCTCCATAATGTTGCGGCTCGCTTTGCACACTTAGAGACAGAATTAATAACCATGCAAGTGTTCAGGAGCTGTTTCGATCGGAGCAGAGCAAAAGCCAGTGGGTTTGACACCCTTAGGGCAGCGGCTCGGATCAAAGGACAGCGGGATCATTGACCGTAAACTATGCGTCTAAGTTACAGTACACGTACGTCTATCATGCTCCACTCTCCACCTACAGTTCAAGCCATTGTGCTACCGTCCAGCAAGTTTCCATCTGTTTCTTGTGCTTGTTGAAGTGGCTTGCGAAGCAAGGCTGTCGAACTGCCAAGACCCCCGCAAGCCACTGACGATACTTTTCACAGGGCTTACATACTGGTCCGTGCATGATACAGGAGGGGTGGAATTGAAACCTGGGGTAACTGTACTCCGTACAGTACTGCATAAAACACAGTTGAGCAGCCTTCAATCGGGCCTTCAATACGGTATGGCTGACTCTCCATCCACCAACTTGCCTCTAGCTTGAACCTTCCAGGTCGTTCGCATCACTGGACTGCGTGTAAGCATCTAACGGAATCCAATAGGATCGGAATACCTACTGTATGCCGCACGTGAGAATGCCACTCTGCCGTCAGCTTTTCAGGCCGGGGCGCGGGGAGATTCGCCTTATTGCAGCCAGGTTGTGTGACATGTACTGTACTTGTATGTACATACGGATCACTGGCCAGTCACCTCTAGGTCACCGGTGGACTTCCAAAAGCTTCAAATTTCCGAGCGGAACAAACATCAAGTGTTGGCGACGGGCCCCCCCCCCCCAAGTTGCTAACAGGCTCGCTGGTTGTCCATGTTCTGCTTGCTAGCAGTTTGCTGGCGGCAACTGATAAGCCCACAGGTACATACCTGTCAGCATGTAAAATGATAAGGCAAGGGACCTGGACAACACGTCCGGATTGGCGCGTGTGAAGGTGCCAACACGGAACCTAAAGCTACTGCGGCAGCGGCTTGAGCATGGATACCGCACCTCATACCTAGCCCTTACCTTACATGCCTGTGAAATTGAGGACAAGGCTGCCTTGAGGTGGCTATTTCATCAGCTTGTTGCGCAGAGTAAAATATTTATTAACCTTGACAGAAGTGGAGGAGGGAGTAATTGCCTAGGTTGAGCCCATCAAAGGTTGGAAGTCTGGTCACTGACTCACTCTGGTGTGTTTTCATGATGGCCGACATCTGGCGGTGAGACCGCTCTTGAGGTCGGCTTCCACTTTCTCTCGGGGTCTCACCGCTAACACTTCTGGAAACAGGGCCAAGCAACCAAGCAACCATCGACTCAATCATGTTCAAATCATGGTATGACCATCACGACGAAAAGATCCAGTTCTGGCTCGAGTTCCAGACCGTCCACGACGGCCTCGACGCCGACCAGAACCAGACCTCCTCGTCCCCCGCGGCCACCTTCACGCTCTTTGGCGCTCTTCCCGCCGAGCTCCGACTCAAAATTTGGGAGAACCTCATCCAGCCGCGCGTCATCTTAGCCGCCTGCTTCGACTCTCGCTTCCAAGACGAGAAGCGGGCGCAACTGGCCCAGCGGCCCAAGAAGCGCTCGGTGCCCGTGCTGCTCCACGTGAACCGCGAGTCGCGCATGCTCGCCCTCCGCCACTACGAGCCAGCCTTCTCATGGAAGCTCCCGACGCGGCTCGCGGGCCCGGAGACGGGCGTGCTGCGGTCCAGCAGCGAGGCGCGCGTGTGGTTCAACTTTGGCCTCGACGCGCTGCTGCTGCTGGGCGAGCTCGAGCCCTACGACCAGTACGGCTTCAACGCACCTATGGTCTACTTTTTGCGCAAGGACGACACGCGGCGCGTCCGCCATGTCGCCTGCGCCTTTGAGGAGCTGCACCTGAGCCTCTACGAGTCGGACCAGGTCTTTGGCTCCCTCTTTCACATCATCGACATGTTCCCCGCCGCCAAACAGCTTCTCATCACGAGCACGCCCCGGGATGCCGAGGTGCGCCACTTGGCGCTCCCAACCTCCGACAATGTTGTTCAAAAGCTGTGGTGTGCCTTCATGAACGGCGCTACCGTGACCTCTGCGCTCGCAAAGAGACAGATACTCATGATCAGGGAAGATGACTTGGCGTCTTTCATCACATCGAACAACTAGCCCCTTGCGTCTTCCTTCGCTATAACCGTTTCCTGTTTTTCTGCCCTCTATTTGATGGAGGTATTGCTCGAGGAACCCTCCTCGCTTGGTTATACCTCATTCCACGGTTCGAAACCTATCCTTCATGCCCCTTAGTGTGGCACCCGAGAGAAAACGACATCTTGCCCTTGGCTTGTAAGCTTCGTTTATTCCTCCGGCTGCGGACATTGATACATACAGCAATTTCACGGACAGTCCAAATTCCAATGAACCAGCCCACGCCACGCTCCGCAACAACAATCCTCTGACCAGGAAATCACTCGTGTGCGCATGGTACGGACGGTCCTTTCAGCATCCCGACCTGCCTAACATACCAGAACAGGCGTTTACAGGCGTTTACAATCCTTCCAACGTGTGGTTATCTCTCACATGCAGAGCCGGCAGCGTTCACGGGTCGGCCCGACGTCGACCGCCACTAAACTTGACCTAGCACGAAGTCGTATCCCTCCAGAGCTTAGTAGGGTGGCTCGGGGGGGTTGGGGGTAGGAGGATCAGGCTCCGGCTTAGGATTCGGCCTTTTCTGCAATGCAGGAAAGGGCAACGAGCAAGCGCATGCCATGTTTGGAGACCTGGGAAACCTGGTGTTAGACCAACGAAGCCTTGTCCTGTCCATCGTGCAACGTACTTTGGGAGTGTAAGAGCTGTTGCGTGGTTGGCTCTCGAGCTCGGGTACACAAGGGATGTCGCCAAAGGTTTGTTTGCCTCGACCCGAGTACGGACGTAAAGTGCGGCCCAGGTTCTAACCAAAGCTGTACAGTAGCACGGGCTTGGTCTGGCTGGTTGGCTGGTTGGCTGGCTGGCTGGCGAAGAGGAGAGTTCAGCGAGTTCTGGGTCTCGAAATGTCTGCCCATCGACAGCTCTTTAAAGAACCAGGCCGTCCAACCCTCCCCTCCGCACACCCCTTCATTGTCCTTCCGTTGGCGGTCCGAGCAAACATGTCGCTTCCCGGAACCGACAGGGGTACTGGCCTGTTCTTAGATGACATGTCCTCCAAAGTGAGACAACGCAACGGTCCTGAGAGAAAGCTTGCCGAAAATGGCACGTGGCATGCCATTTTTGTACGGGTTGACCTTTGGGGAGGGTCGGGCAGAGATGTGGTGGAGGGTTACTCCCCTCGGGCGAGTGCGCACGTCCTTTCCAGCGGCCGCCAGACTCCCACATTCTTCTAACGAGGCCAGCATATCTGGCCCGGGATCGCTCGGATAAACCCACAATCTGGTGATCGCGGAACGTCATCATCCTTGGGCAGTAACTGGCCATGTCTGGTCGACCGGGCAGGGATTGCTAACCATGTTGCGCTGGTCGGCTGACAAGGTGCGGGAACATGGATGATAGGGGGGAGGGTAGAGATTAAAGGCCCGTCTTAAGACCGCATCTTTAAGCCTCAGTGCGCCATTGCGGTGCGGCAGTATGTCATCAGCATGCGCATGCACATCCCACGGTTCGAACCCGCAGACATGGCTCGAGCCCTGAAGGCACCCCCCGGGTCTGTGTCGAAGAGCGTGGTGATTGCTGGGAGAGCAGCTTGTTATCTTGTGACTAACCCATGTACGATTTCATTTTCCAGGGAGAGATATCTGAGGTATCTTGAGAAGAGATGGATCCGGGACAACGGCGGGGGGTTTTCGGCAGCAACGCTGGAGGACTCTTGATCTCTGACCGACCCCTCTCTCGCGCTGATGTTCTTGGTAAGCCGTGACGGCATCATCTTGATCCCTGGATAACCGATCCACAGCTGACGCGACTCTGGCGGAAGCAGAGAACGAGGGGTTATGCAGCGCTGCGCGCTGTCAAGATCAAAGCGCGGGCGGCCGACGGCGCAGTTTGTGTGGGCACGGGATGTAGAATCTTTGGTTTATTATAGTGTACTAGTTTGGCATCTTGTTTGCGGGAACCAAACTGACGAACTGCACAAGACGGGCAGGCACCCTGACGGTTAGACGGCTAAAGGTAGGTGCGATTCGACGACGTTTGTCTGTGTCACTGTTAGGTACTGTACACTAGGTCCCCTGATCAGAGGACAAGGCAACTTGGAAACAGGCAGGAACTACTATACTGTAGTGGATACCTAGTAACTCCCATAGGGACTTGAAGTCTCGGAGCCTGCCAGACGTTTCCACTTCCCACAGAACCGACTTCTCTTTCCTTCTCCCTGCATATCGCTACCACAGGATCCGTAGTTCGAGTTTCGGCTGCGGAGGGAAATCAGGAGAAACTGGTTCATCGACCACCTGCCCTTCGACTTCGATATGCTCCAGAGACTTCGGTACCATCAGAAATGGAGCTTTAGCCCCTGACCCCCACAGAACGGCCCCAAAATCACATACAGGATGTTTCACAGTTGGCCTGTGGCAACCACGTGTGACCATCCTCATCTTGGCTAAAGAGTGGGACTAGAGATAATTTGATATCCGCTCATAGAATGAGGTCCTACGCAATTCACAGCATTGTGGTTCTGCAGTCAGCCCAGAAGTTGCAAGTTTCTGTTAGACTGTTTTGCCCGTCAGATGATGCTGACAGTCCTGGTTGTGTGCACACTTTCTGATGAGTCCTGTCATTGCTGTCGTTGGATTGGAAAGGAACGTTCAACGTTACGTCCCGTTCGGGAATCGGAATTCGGCTCACAAGACTGGACAGTCCCCACATCTATTGTATAAAAAAGGAAAAACGAGGAAAGGTTACAGGCATAATAAACCAGCACATTCCCTTAGATATACATTGTCGGCCGCGTTGTCCAATCTCTGTATATTACCACCTGCGCTGGGATCCTGAGTGCGTCTCTGGAAAACACCGCGTGTGTACCCTCCTCCTTCCTGTTTCTCCGCGTACTTGAAGTGTATCCGTACACACAGTTACACGTACAACGCACATGGAATACGTCTGAACTCATTAAGGACCGGGGAACGGGGATGGCCCCGGTACTGAGGATGGCCCGCATATGCCCGTCATTGAGAATGGCGTCCAAACGACTCCCATGTTTCTAGAACGATTCTCCCCTTCCACATATCCGTGTACTTGTACATACAATACCATCACGTCTCGCTAGTGTAGCTTGCTAAGCTTCCAGGCTTGTCTCTCTCAGGATATCGCATACTACACTAACACCCCTTCTCCCGATATTACCCCCCCGCGCCGTTCTCCCAGTTACTACTTTATGTACACACAGACATCTCCCTTATCATCCAATGCGGTGACACCCATGGATTTTGACCTACAGCATGTGCTGTTACGGTCACTTTTCGGGGCGGCATGGCATTTTCGGGCCGACGAGCTGAGTGGGATCTGGTCCGGCAGAGGTGTATGTATTTTCCTCTCTTTTGTTCGCTTCAAAAGTTATAAAGGGGCAAAAGTCTCAATACAACGTTCCACTCTGTCCTTCGGCACTTTCGCTGACTACCTGCTGACTAGCCCTTAGCGGTACCCAGTCCGGGCCAGTGTAGCTGTTTTGTGTAGCATGGACCCAGGAGCCGTTGAAGCCGGGCCGGCAGTCAGGATGGACATGGGAACCTATTCTTCTGCTTGGGTCTACACATGCCCTTATATTCTCGAGAAGATGTGTCACCACTGTATTTTAGCTGCTTAGGTAGCCTAACTGTGGATGGGTGGTGAGGAAGAAGAAAGAGAGGAAGAATGCCACGCAAAGCGCTTCGTCTGCTGGTGCACTGCAGCAGCAAGGTTGAACTGGGTGAAAGATCTGGACAAGGATTGATGGAATGATTGGCTAAGTAAGCAGCTAAGAGATAGTGGTGGCCCATCTTGTCGAGAATATACGGTAGTTGAGGAGGTCTATGTTTCTGCTTCACCACTGTAATCTACGAATGCCTGAAAGTACAAGGACATGGCTGTAGCACCTCAGTCACGATACTTTGTGAGGGCGCTATATCTGTTAGCGAGCCGCCCAGAGTTGTTCAGGTACAACAATGTGTATATTCAAGGGAATACAGTAAGTATATCCATCTCATCTAATAGATACCTGATCTTCTCAGGAGACGCACTAGCCGTGGTCAGTCTATCAAACCAGCACTCGAAATTACCTTAACTGCCTTCCCTCCACATTACTTGCAGGTCACATCCTTCCCACCGACATGAGACAAGCCCAGTTCATACTACCGATGTGCAACCAGCTCACTGCGAGTTGAGTGCGACCCTCACAGGCAACCCTCCCTTTTGTTGCCCGCCGTGCCACACTCACCCTCGTATCGCTACCCGCTCTTGCCCTCCACAACCGGCATCTTCTCCCCCTTATTGAGCCCACCACTACCACCGGGCGAACCGCTCCCGCTCGCTTCATTCATGGCAGCCTCCAATGTCCTGCCGCCCTGCTGCTCCTCACCCTCCTCACGCTCCAGGTCGCCCGTCAGTGTGACGGCACGATCCACGGCATAGGGCAAGCCGCGGTGGCGGCCGCGTATCATCATGGCGCAGATGACCACCTTGCTGAAGGTGGTGAACTTGCCACAAAGGGACGTCATGACGGTTGGATGGCCTAGGGAGAGGCCGACGTTGGCGCTGTTGAACAAAGCTTGTCAGTTTGTCCACAGAGAAGAAAAAGGGGGCCAAATCAGGAAGAGGGACGGGGAGGGGGTTACGCACTATGCTGATACGACCTCGAACATTATCGAGAAGACGGAAAATGCCTGTGGGTTGTCCAAAGTGCTGGTGTTAGTGTTGAGGTACCATCATGACAGGTAGGTGAGAAGCTGAGAAGAAGGGCAAAACGAACCGGGTCGGCAAAATCCGCTATCCTCGGCGCCTCAGCAATGCAAATGCACAGCGTCCCGAGGAAGATGTACCAGAGATCAAAGCTCAGCTGGTTGCGGATGTGCATGAGGACGTAAGACCTGCCGCTGGTCTCGTCCGGACTGCGCTCCTCCTCGTAGAGGCCCAGGGTGCGCTCCTCGTACGTGTTTGACGCGCGGATGCTGATGGCGATTGGGAACACCGAGATGTACATCATGACCAGCAGGCTGAACTGCACGGCCGGGTTCACGAGAAACAGGTTCAGCGTCGACGTGCCCGTGTGGCGCGACGATGCCGCCTGGAACAGCGCCGACAGAATCCGCGGCCCAAGCGGCAAGTCGTTGACGGCCGGGTTGTCCAAGTCGAGGACCACGATCAGCAGCACGTCGGCCGCGTTGAGCGCCACTAAGATGCCAAAGAGAATCCACGTCGGCCGGCCTGGAAACAGAAGAATCGAACACCGTCTTGGGTAGTCCAGTAGGAAGCGGAGTGTCTCGTGCATGCGCGAGTGCTTGGGAACAATGAGGGACATGGTCCAGATCACGAGGCGGAGTAGCACCGGGTACAAGGTCTCGCCTGCAAAAGCGAGAAAGGTCAGGACGATCATGGGCCAGGTGGCGTCCCGGAAGCTGACCATGGAGTCGGGCGTGAGGGTGAAGCCGAGGTTGTTGATCATTGTCTGGGACGAGTAGAATGCCCTGCGATATGAAGGAGGATGGTTGGTATCGAGGCAGGACACACAACCGTAGGAAGGGACGCCGGTGACGATGACAGAATCAGAACTCACCACCACGTCGTGTCCACTCCGCACGCCTGGAGCCAGTCAGTGTACTTGGAAGGGGCGTTGTGGATCCACGGCAGTAGGCAAACCACGCCAAAGACGTGAAGGCCAAAGTAGTAACCTGTGGCGCGCGTCAGCCTTTTCTTGGAGATGTCCAGGGGCTATGTCAACGTGGTACCGATGACGATCTTCAACAGGAGCTTGAGGCTCCGGTACTCGATACCGCCCAGCCGCTCCCGGTCTTGGGCTGTGAGCTTGTAGAAGCGCGAGTTCCGCCCCACGGTAACCTCCCTGGAGAGGTATGGTAGGTCTGCTGAGCGCACGCGGGAGACAGATCGACGGCTTCTGTCCCGGTTGGGGGAAGTGGTCTTGGTATGGCCGAGGATGAACAGGGATGCTGCTGCATGCTCGATAGACCTAGTATGGGACAAGCTTGGACCGGCATCGTCGTCGCGATGGCGAAATCCCCGCCGTCTTGTGAGCCCGCTCGGCCCAGTTCCCGCGCTCGGTACTGGCTTGATGGCGTCTTCTTCGTCATCTAAGCCAAAGTCTGTCAGCGAGTGAAGCCATTGGCTTGGGTCTGCAGGGGTGAGTACTACCATCAAGGTCACTGGCAACCGAGCCCCTGTCCACGATGGCATGCCCTGATGATTGTCCCTGTTAGTCCGCTCCAATGGGCAGGCAGGCTTGCTGCTTGCTTACCACTGTCACGCTCCCTTGGCGGCGGGACGTAGAGCGAGGAATTGCTGCGTGGCTCTCTTACGTCCTTTCCGAACATGATGTGGGCTGTCGAGCTCGGCTGAAGGGATTGATCCTGCCTCTCAACAGCTGACGCCGCCTCAGCGCTTGACGACTTGTCCTCGAGTCCTCCATTGTCCAGCTGGCCAGCTTCGCTATCGGCATTACCGAGGCGTACCGTAGTTTCTGGTTGTGCTTCAATGTCGGCTGACGGACTGCTGCTAGTGTTCGGCTTAGGGAACGAAGCCGCTGCGAGTGGACATCAGATATCAGCACCACCAAGGGCGGAGGAATAGACACATACCAGCTTGCTTGAAGTGCTTTTCGAACCAAAACAGACGAGCAAGGACAACAAGGATGTTGATAAACCCCAGGTTGGTGATGACCGGGATGACGTAGAGGTACACTTGCTGGTACGTCTTGAGGTCCTTCACGTCGACGCTAGAGATGTGTTCAGCACGCGGAGAGTGATGGGCGAATGCACTATACTACTATATGCGGTACAATACTTACGTGTTGAGGCCCGACTCTGTGGAGGCACTTGCACCGAAGAAATAGGCATCGATGGCAGCAAGGTTGCCATAGGGATACAAGATGACGAAGGACAGGAGACTGTTGAAGATAATCCAAGAGTCTGCGAGTAATGTGAGCCATTAGACACAAGCATTCGATGAGATGACTTACAGTGCAGGGTAATAAAGTTCAAGGATGGCTTCCACATGGTGTGTTAGTAGTGATGGATTGGTGCGACCGATGTGTTGGATGCAACACAGCAGCGTGGACGGGAACGAGCCGAACTGCACGCCGAATTGCAGCAGTTGCGGGAACAGTCCAGGTCGTTGGGACCTGGCGAAGAGACGGCCATCATGGATGCAGACCTTTATACCCCTTTCTACTCGGTCATTGTGACCTTGCTCATGCCGGGCCTTGCCCGGACGTCACAACACATACATATGGCTGACCGCTCGCAGGGCTATCTACACATTCCTATTTGGCCATCATGAAGGATGCCGCCAAATCGAAACAATATGAGCGACTTTCTTTCCAACTCCTCCCTCGTCTCCAGCCGGATTCCATCGAGTCTTGGCGAGATTGCTTGAAAGGTCCTCCTCAACAGGTTTCCGGCTAGAGACGGTCGGGAGCACAGCATCTTTGCCTCACACTCTCTCAGAGTTCAATGGCCGGGTTAGGTTCGGGTTGTTATTGAGCGAGCTACGGTTCCAGTCTGACAGGAAGGTGCCGAAACTGCAAGTAGAATCCTAAGAGATGGCAGGGTGAGGGATACCCTGTACGTGATATTGCGTGATGACAGGTTTCATTTGAAAAAGCTGTCTCTGCTGTCATGGCGATTATGGCATTGCCTATCATCAACTCCACGTGAAGTGTAGTCAATCCCAGGATTTGACTGTTAGGTTGGTTACCAATATCAGAGACAAGCAGGTTTCTTTTGGCTCAGGGAACGTTTATCGGGTTCCCCAATCAGTTGGGGGTTGGGAGAACCAGGTCGAATCAGCGGGCCTGATTCCGCGCACGGCTCACAAAATGGCTGGTGCGAACTCCTTTTCACTGGGAGGCCTCAAATGTGGTCTGTGTTTCGGTGGGGGTTTCCGCTTCCTCTTTCCTCTTCAACTCAGCTGCAGTGACCAACATGCAGTCGAAGAGGGGTTTTATAGGTTTGAGGTGAGCGGAAGTGACAGAAATATTGCTCGCAACAACTTGACATCTGGTCCCAGAGTCATGGACAGAGGGCATTGACAGAAGAAAGGCAGGACGTACGGACTACCCTACATACCCTATATACTCGTGGACTCTGCATCGCTGGGAGTTGCGCCGGCAGCGAACCAATTGGTCTCAGAAAATGTGTAAATACATACCTAACTGACAGACATCACTGCATGGTGAGTCCATTGGGAATATTTGTTCCAAACGAGGGTAGTAGAGACAGCCAGGATCGGTCATAAAAGTTACTCCTACAGAGGCTGATTCAGATAATCTTGAACCTAGAGTCCTTTTGGCATTCCTATTCAGACGCATGTCAGACGCATGTAGTGCTGTGTTCGACCCTTTCTGACCACGGATGCCTGGCTAAGAGCTAAAACATCATATCAGGGCCAAATACCGTACTCTGCTTGGTGTTGGAGTTTGAGTTCTAGAGTCATTTTGGCGTTCACAATCGGCCAGTGGCAGGTCCGATCCTATTGCCCGGTTTGGCAGTTAAGACGTCTCTAATAGGCTGAGCAGTGTTTTGTCGCTTTTCCTTTTTCCTCTTTTTTTGCCGGTCCGCCGGTGCCACCCTCCGGAGCGCCGGAGGCTCCCCGCTTCAGTTTGTAAAACAAAACCGCTCAGCCCCGCCGTGTGTCCACAAGCACATGCGGCTCACGTCTCTATTCAACCGGGTTTGATGCTCTGTCCCAGCTAGCGCCATCGAATGATGGACACCGCTGCAGTGGTGGATGCTCCTATGGGCCGAATCATGCGCTGTAAAATGCGAAAATGGCTCCGTCATACGCTACCGGGACGTAGTAAAATGCCTGCCCGTTGCTTCCTCGCAGCCGAGCGAGGCCGGACAAAGAGATGGATCAGCCGCTTTCTAGCAGCAAGTTACCTCGGCCGTGGGGTCCTAACTCCAACGCTACCAGGTATATTCCCTCGGGTTCTCGCTCACTTCCAGCCCTGGTCTAGGTACCTACCTATCCAAATCTATCCAAATCGAAGGCGAACCAGACTACATCGCCTGGAGCACCACCCTCGGTTGTCGTTCTTTGAGACAGAAGACGCGAACTGCCAACACAAATGGCTCCCATCAAACCGCATTGGACCCGCCCGTCGCACCCAGATGTCCAGGAGGTCATCTTTGCCGACGAGGCCGAGTTCACCACCAAGAGCATCTCCAAGATTGCTCTCCCTCCGTTTGGCCTGTTCGCCAAACTGGAATGTCCGCCTTGCACCCTCGCCGCCGAGCCGACGTATGCGACGGTCCAGATCGGCCGTGACAGGCACCTGGACCTCAACAGCGACTTGCTCTATATTAACCACTCGTGCGAGCCGTCTCTTGTCAGTATTCGCTAGTGGAGGAGAGACATTTCGGCATAACCATGGGATTATTGACGCGAAAGCTTTACCCCCATTCCCCTTAGATCTTCGACACGGCCAGTATGAACATCATTGCCGGCCCGAAAGGGCTCCGGCCCGGCGAGGAGCTGACGGTTCGTTCGTCTCGGGCATTTCCGCCGCCAAAACTAGGGCACCACATGAATTTCGGAACCTAATTCGGCCGTCATTTAGTTCTTCTACCCCTCCACCGAGTGGGACATGGCGCAGCCCTTTGACTGCCTCTGCGGCGCTCCCACCTGCCGCGGACGCATCAGCGGTGCTCGGGACATGGCCCGCCAGCAGCTTGACGGTCTGTGGTTGAACGGGCACATTCGCCAGCTGCTCGAGGAGCGCGAGGCGCAGGAGCAGGAGCAGGAGCAGAGCGGCGCTGCCGCGGAGGCGACCAAGGCGTCTGAAAATGGCGGCGCGGTCTGCAGCTTCCAGAACAGCACCGATGCTGCGGTTGGCGTTGAGGTGAGTGACCAGACCGCGCAGGCCCTGCGCGACGCCCTCGCCCACGCCGAGAAGATGGTTGAGGCGGCCCGCTTTGCCCTGGCCTCGTACGTCGGGGTTCTGCAGCAGCGCATGCAGCTGGGTGGTCTCGGCAAGGTCAACAACGGAAATGGGCGTTTTGATGCCGCGGCTTCCGCTGCCGCCGAGGTTGCTGCGGGTTCGCAGCGTCGAGGCCCAACGTCACGCGAGTTGAGCGGCGAGATGGGCGGCGATACGTCAGTGCAGGTCTAGGCTTCGCTGTATGTCAAGACAATGGTCGTTGCGCTACCTCGGTAGCCACCACCAACCTTGTCCTGCGTATAGCGGAGAGAATATCTCGTATTTGGCTTGTTTTACAATGCAATATGATCGATGCGGGTGTTGTCCTTGTTGTTTCCTGTCCAATCCGTGCCTCTAGGTCCTGAACCATCATAGTAGTACATGCAAAACGCCTTTCCCTTCCTTTCTCACGCCGTGCTTTGAGAGGATATATGACAGCCCAAGACAGCAAACGAAACCACCATCGTACAAACTCCCCAGCCTACCATCACAAAACCGACCGCTCAGATCATCATCGACCCTTGCGAAATCTCGCCCTGGCGAATGCAGGGCACGGCTCCTCTCCCCCCTTCATCCCACCCAACAGCCAATCCGTCAAGCCCACCACCTTAGCGCCGACCCCCTTCTCCCAGTGCCCTCCTTCCTGCACATGCTCAATGGTATGACTTAGGATCCTCCCCTCCTCATCAAAATCAAAGATAAACAGCCCCGTGAACTCCTTGGTACTGGCCCCAACAGGCTGCGCCGTCCCAACCGGTGCTCTGACCTCAGTGTCGCCGACATTCCCACCGTTCCCACTGCCCCCTCCCTCCCCCTGACTTAACCTCCCATCGGCATCCACATCATTCCTCCCCCTCCCCTTAACCTTACCATTCACCAACCCCCCCAACCAGCTGGTCCCCTTACCCTCCTTACCGCCCACCGTTCGCCAGCGTACAATCAGCTGTTCCGGCCCGGCGCGCTCACGGCCGTCATCGGGGGCAGCCCTGCCCTCACCATCAAGACCACCCCCACCGCGAGCGGCAGATGATGAAGAAGAAGCGAACGGGTGTCGGTAGACCGGGTGGTCAACCATGCGTTCCGAGAGGATCTCGAGCCGCACGTTGCCCACAATGGGCACCCTGTTCCAGGCGATGGGGCTGGACCAGAGCGCGGCGCGGTAGGCCACGCGGCCCGTGACCGTCGGCAGGTGCGGGTGCGTCGAGGGGAACAGGTGCAGGCTTATCTGCGGCGACAGGACCTCGTTTGGCAGCGGGGTCTGGAGCAGCGTGGGCAGGTGTGTCTGCAGGATTCGTAGGGCTGTTTTGGCGAAGCGAAGAAAAGAGGTTCCGTTAGTAAAGGCGCAAAAGAAGGAAGGGGTCAAGGGCGAGGGAAAAGGAGACGTACTCTTGCCGAGCTTGACTTTTCGGTCGTCTGGAGGACGGTTCGGGTCAGGGGCGGAGGTGAACCAGAGTTCAGGGAGTTTGGTATTCGGGTTGGAGGAAGGGGCGGTTGCGCGGAGGTGACTAGGAGATGAAGATTGAGCCGTAGTTGGGGAGGGCCGTGGCGGCTGGCTGTCTGTAGAAGGGTATGTGACTGGCCCTGCCGAGGAGGAGTGTCGCGGCAGTTGCCGCTCGATTGCTGCTATAGCTGTCCATCGAGGTTCTGAAACCGGGAATTTGTTACTGCGCCGGAAAAGGCAGCGCAGTTGCCTTGTCCTCGTTGGTATCGACATTTGGCTTTGGACTGAGGTTGCTGCCCTTTTGCCTTTGACTGCCTCGGCGACAGACTGCTCGGCGTTGCAGTGGTTGATCACTACTTCGTGATTTTAGGTCAATCCTTAGCTGTAAGTTACTGTGTATGTGTAGAGGAGCAGTGCAGCAGGGATGATGTCAGTGTCGGGCTGTCCATCTCCCTTGCAGCTGGCCGCTAAGGTACTGATTAGCGCCTCGATATAGCGGTACGTTCCCCTAGTTTTTGTCCTAACCTTATTCGAGCAGCTTCTGCCGAATCCAGGCGGGCATCTTCCAGACACTTCAAACTCTCGCCCTCATCACCTAGTCGAGTACTGATATCTCGAGGACAGGACATTGCCACACCCTGTCGAGTTGGGTTGAGCGCAACGCGTTGTAACAATTGTAGAGCATGGATTTCTCACTTAAACAAGCCCTGGTCAAGAAAAGGTTCTTGTCCATTCTCGTCCATCTAGGAACGGATCGTTTCCTGAGAACGGCAATAGATATATATGGCTTCCCATAGCTTGTATTATCCAGTCAAAGCATACGTACTGGCTTCAACGACCCAAAACACACCGGCTAGGTCGGATATGTGCAGCTTGTCGTGTGTGCATCGTGACCTAGCCATGTCGTCTGCCCAGCCAGGCTGACCGTTGTCAGCTGTCAGTCACTAACTTATCCGATCTACCTAATGTCAGGGCCGCTCTTGGGCCTCCATAGCTGAGATCCGGGGATGGCAGAGCCGCCTCATGTTGGCCCAAAAGGTGTAAGACTTGACTCTTTGTATAAAGCACCTTCCACTTCGCACCAGTCGTTCTTAGATGCCTGAGCTTGGGTTTGCAGATAGTTTAAAGAGACACTCCGACAAGCCACACACCGTACCGCCACCGCCCCGGGCAGTCGTCACGTGAAACGCCCCCTGGCTCTCCTTGATAGGCCCCTGCGTTATCATCCCCCAATCAAGCCGGTTCCACCAATTGTTCTGACGCCCTGACGCAGCCTTCCAAGAGTTCGCCGAACGTCGACCTGCTGCCTTCTCGCATCTTCAACTCCCCCAACAAGCCTTCGACGCTCCGCATCATCGCCTCTTGCATCAACCATTACCACTGCTTCTCGGTCCAGCCCCATAGTCTATCCATCTCACGTCGCCCACGATGAATCCTGAGTAGTATGCGTTCCCTTACAATAGTCTTGCTGCTACCTTCCGTCTTTGTTTGCTGACAATCTTCTCTTCTCTAGTGTCGTCTATGCCCAACCGCTCGACGACTTCCCATGACGCTTTCCAGCCAGCGGTCCTTCTCCTGCTTCCCATGCTGACCCGCTGGCAGATACGACTATCTCTTCAAGCTGCTGCTGATCGGTGATTCCGGCGTCGGCAAGTCTTGCTTGCTCTTGCGGTTCGCCGACGACACTTACACCGAGTCCTACATCTCCACCATCGGCGTTGATTTCGTACGTTTTTCGGGTGCACAGGCTGCAGCACGGTGGCACGTATATTGACGCTGGGACAGAAAATCCGGACGATCGAGCTCGACGGCAAGACGGTGAAGTTACAAATTGTGCGCCCTATTCCCAGCAATGCTTGGCCCTGACAGAACGAAAAAGAGCAAGGTTGGCTGACTAGGAAACCCCCCTTTCTACAGTGGGATACCGCCGGCCAAGAACGGTTCCGCACAATCACATCGTCCTACTACCGGGGCGCCCACGGCATCTGCGTCGTCTACGATGTCACGGACATGGACAGCTTCAACAACGTCAAGCAGTGGCTGCAGGAGATTGACAGATACGCCACCGAGGGCGTCAACAAACTGCTTGTAGGCAACAAGAGCGATATGTCGGACAAGAAGGTGGTGGAATACACCGTTGCAAAGGTGAGACTCGTTCTTTACTCTTGTTGCTCTCGGAACTACGTGCTTTGATAGCGCCCGCCGAACACGGCCTGGTAGTCGACCTAAGATGTCTTCAAGAGTACTGACCGGTACGTTTTCCTACAGGAATTCGCCGACAGCCTCGGGATCCCCTTCCTCGAGACGTCGGCCAAGAACGCCAGCAATGTCGAGCAAGCATTCTTGACAATGGCCCGCCAGATCAAGGAGCGCATGGGCAGCAGCATCGCGGCCAACAACACGAAAGCAAGCGTCAACGTTTCCCCCGGACACGGCGTTCCCAGCAACCAGTCCAACAGCTGCTGCTAGTCGGGCCTTTTGTTGTTGCTGTCGTCGTCAATCGTCATCTGCAATGTTCGCCAATTGATGTTGCTCTCGGGTGTTAATTGTGGTTTCTTGCATCGGATGGGTTTTCGGACATACGGGGCGTGGCTAGATCTGCGGAGGTCTGTCTGTTGGGCGGGGGGTGTGAAAGGAAAGGTTGGCTGCGGAGAGCGCGTCTGGTTTGTGGTGATAGAATTTCCCGGTGACTCGGTTTTCTGCACCAGATCTTGCGTAGTCTTTCTTGACAGTAATGTTGTCCAGAGTTTTTGGAGGAGGCTGCTTGAGACCTAATATAGCGGGGCAAAGCAGACGGGCCCCTGACACTACTCTGGAAACAGAACACCACACGACAGACCGGACCAGAACAGGGGTTGTTATCTCTTTTACTTGCTGCCCGCATCTTGCTGCTATCCCTAACAACTGCTGAATTCGTATTTGTGTATTTCAATGGGTTTGGGCATAGCTAACGGTTCAGTTGTGCTTGTTACGACTGTTTGTTCCACTGTTCAATCATTACCCCTCGGCTAATCGGTAACTCTATGTTTGATACGTCAAGAGTCTCTTGTGGTGGTCCAATGCGTTGTCGGTCTTTCAAGGTATGATAGGATTTTGATGACCGTCATGTATGTAGACGAGCAATGTGACGGCAGGTCACTTACTGTACAGGATCGGCCCATTTGAAGACGGAGCACACGACCAACCTAGCTAGGGAGGTTTCAATATAGGAAAATGGATTTGCTAGTACCATAAGAATCTCCTACTCACCGCAGAGAACTTCGCAATCTCTCTAACATCACTACTTACTTCTCTTGGCTGAACTGACCCCTCTGAGCTGACTTGCTTGGCTCCCAAGACTGATGCAGGCGTTCAAGTTCTTTAGAACAGCACGTTTTGGCTCCACGGAACTGATATGATATGAAATGGTATATACGTGTAGCATGGTATGGTATCATGAACAAGAACGCAAACGCCAGCACCCCCTACCGCTTTCGCTTGAAATCGTCGTCTTGCCCGGCCTGTCTAAGCCGGGCATACCAGATCAACAAATGTGACTCGTGGGAGCCCATTTGCCTTTGACCCTTCCTTGAGGGGGAAGACGGGAACGGGAAAAAGGGGGAAAGAGAAAGGGGGAAAAAAGGAAGATGTCTTAGACCCGGCAAAACAAGCAAGGCATAATCTGGTTCCTGCCGTCTTGTAATTTTCTTCATCTTCCGGCCACCAGCTCTGGCCTGGCCAGCTAAACCAACCCCAACCATTTCAAAGCCTTTTTCCCATCGCGATTACTCGCCTGGCGGCGAAGGTACATGGGCATCAGCCGTCTTTCTTCGTCGTCCTCTTCCTCTTCCTCCGCGTCGTCACCATATTCACCACCCACGGCGCCATCTACCTGAGGATGATGACGATGGTGGTAGTTGTAATGACGATCAGAGGTTTGGGAATAGGGAGTCGAGCTGATGGGGATGCCCTTCTTGCTGATAGTCTTCTGATATGTGCTCGTTGATGCCAGCCAGGCTGCAGGGGATGGTGACGTCGACTTGGCACGCCCGGATGACGACCCGAGGATGTCCTGTGCGGTGCTGGTAGTTGTCGTCGTCGTTGTCGTCATCTTGTTGGTAAAGCAGTCTGCAGGGGAAGACGGCGGGGTAATTACCACCAGGGACGGGCCTGCGGCTACGGAGGTCTCGTGCTGGAATGGGGAGGCACAACCGGTGCTATCCGTGAGTTTCATTTGGTGCCAGTACTGGTGCTTCGGCTCGTCAACCTTGAGGCTGGGCTGGGTCGCGGGTCTCTGTGACTGTTGTTGTTTCGGCCAGGGGTGCTGATAGAGTGGGTGGTCGGGGATGTAAAACTCCGAGATGGAGATGAGACTTTCCCGGATGGCAGCGATGAACGCGGCGGTTTCTAGGGCGCTAGCTGTGGCGGCAAGAAAGAAGCTTGCTTTGGAAATGGAGAAGGAGCATGAATTGTTGGACCGGGCCTTGGACGTATGTAGTCCTCCGGGATTGGGTGCGCGGGCCTTATCCTGGGGAGCGGTCGAGGGCCTGCTGGCTGCTGGATGGGGCGCTGATATTGAGGAACGGATCGGGGCAGCACCATGGCCATGAACGATGCCTACTACTTTCATCATCTCAGTGCCGATGAGATTCTGCAGAGCAGAGATGGTTTCGAAATGCTCGGCTTCATATTTGATGAGAAGGAAGCGAACATGCGGATTGGTAGAGAGGTAGGTCTCGAGATGGGGGATGATAAGCGCAGCGAGCAGATTTCGGTCCGAGAAGGGGTTGGTCTGCGTCTGCTTGGTCAATTTTTGCGCAGTAAAAGCCTGCATGGCGCTGAAAATGAGAAATCTGACTCTTGGTTAGTCGCAGAGAGTCAACGATATGGGCGATGCGACCACGTACCGCAAGTCAAGCCGTCCGCTTCGGGAGGGACCGTTGCCCTTTGACCCTAGCATTTCAATGTGCTCGGTCAGTTCTGACACGCGATCCTTATTTACGCCCTTCTCGGCGCCAATAGTCAAAATCATGTCCACTCTCCTTCCCCCTCCAACATCTGCTGTCCGACTGGCATCGCACTGAAGAGGTTTCCACAGGCTCACTGTCTCGGGGTCCGTGGCGCTCGAGGCCTTGTGACCATGATCCTGCACATGGTAATTGGAAGCAAGAAGTGATCGAAGAAAGTTCTGAACCGAAATTGCCGTCTCTTGTCCGATATGGAGACTGTAGAATGTCTTGTCCGATTCTGATGCACTGACAAGTTCTGACGGCGCCCGTGAGTGACCCGGTGTTGGTAGGCCGTGCTGTATCCATAGTGCTCCTCCACACCCGGAATCTCCGTCCGCGGACGGCGACTTCTCGTCTCTCAGAGCGTCCCCAGCGACGAAATGCTGCGGGCCAGTTGCTATCGGTTGCGATGCAAGGTGTTGCGGCGACTGCCGGCCGGGATAGTCGCCGTCTCTAAAACGTTCGAATACAAGATCTAGCAACTCGTCTACTGTCTCAGTCGAGAAGTGGAAAACGACGTCCTCGAGAAGTGGCAAAACTTCTCCGAAAGGCTCTTCCCCGGTCTGGGTAGGACTTGATGGGCCTGGGTTCGGCGGATACCCCCAGTCTTTTCCATCTCCGAAAGTCCTCTCCTTGAGCAACTCCATGCCCGAAATGCTTCCTGGGCCGTGTTTTGAGCCTCCGTGATCGCTCTGGCAACCGATTTCTATCAGGCCGGTCATTCCATTCCCTTTTGCTCGTGATAGAGCCGCGTCGGCCGTCCTTGGTCTTTCCAGGGTGAGTGGCTCGAGATGGCCAATTCGAGGTATCGGCGGCGATGGAGTGCGCAGTTCCAGCGATGGTCTGGTCGCAGTGGGTGAGGGAGTCGTTTCGCCGGCGGAGGATCTGCCTGCCGAAAATCCAGCGACGGTTTCTGCCGGCAGCTCGCCATCCTGAGAATAGGCACTAGCAGTGGAGGGCGGCTTCTGGGAGTGGAGTGTTTCGATGGACTTGACGACGGATGCGTCCAGCCTCTTCCCGTGGCGCGGCGGAATGTCGACGAGCTTAACAGTAAGGTCTATGTCGTGGCTGGCTGGCTGTAGGAACTCGGTCTGCTTGTATAGTTCATCCGCGGCTCTCATCGCACGTATGATAGGGTTATCGAGCGGGTTATCTTCATCACTGCTATATGGCTCCCATGAATCTTGTTCGTCCTGGTATACTCCCGCCGGCTCAGCCGGTTCCGATCCGAAGTCATCCGCCAAACTTGATGTACTCAACCGGCGAGCCAGCGGTTGATCTGGCAAGAGCCCGGCAATGCCGGTACTCACGAGCTGACTGAAGATGAGGTCTGCTGCTTCAACGTTACCGCCTGTTTGGTGTTCCATGATGGCGGAGAGACAGGTAACGTGGGCCCCAGCCGTTCCTCCATGCATGAATACAAGTCGCCTGTCGTTGGCAGCGGCTATGGGAGCTCGAAGAAACTCTAGGGCTTCGGCGTGCCGAGCCTGAGCAGCTTTGTGGATTGCAAAGATGAGTTGGCGGGCATCAAATGGTAGGTCCAGGGTGTTGTCTTTCATGTAGTGTTGAATACTCGGTAGAACCAGGATGTTTGGAGAGGCAGGCAAAAGACGTAACTGAGTCAGTACCAGCTCTGAAGGCCCCTCAAATGCGACTAGATGTCCATTTCGCCCCGGAGAGACCGGGCTCGCCATACTGGTAGCTGATGCTGGGGAGTCGAGGGATGGGTCGATTTTCCTCGCCTTCGACCAAGTATGTTTCGAGATCGCCGCAATGTGCGCTTTAATCCTCGGCCGAACAGACGGAGCAAACCTGAAAGGTTGAGGGCGAACTAATCGGGTTTCACAATAAGCATAGAAAGCAAAGCGGTCCGGCCGTGGTTTGCCAGGTTGCTCCAGAGCCAAGTGATGAACGAACCAACGGGCTTGAGGGTGACAAGCCGTGGCTTGAGAAAACGAAATCAAGATCTGCCGCGGGCAGTCTAGTTAACTGGAAAGACTCGAGGGAGAAAGAACATGAGGGGGTGGCTTGCTTGGGGTAAGAACATCAAGCAAGTGATGAGGAAGGAGCCTTCGGGTGATGACTGCAGCAGCCTGCCCGCTTTCCGGGGCTGTCACTGGTCTGAATTCATCTGGAGTCACGGCTGCACTGCAGTATGTCGCGCGAGGCAAACGGCGGCTTTGAGAAATCTGGCGTATATGGCGGGACACGCAGTCCATATACTTCATACTGTCTTGTATCTCGGGATAATAAAATTGAGAAGACGGCTAAGATCTCAACAGCACTAGACCGTGTATAGTACACATGTGTGGGGGTATAGCAGCTTCGTTGATGATTTCCAAACCGGGTGATTAACAAATCTACCTATTAGATGGTAGAGCTTGGGTTTTGCACCCCTGCTTGTTTTCTTCATGGAAATGACCGAGAAGCCTTGTCTTGGTGTGTTTGGGCAAGAAGAGTGAAGGCGTCTTCCGAACCTCTGCGGAACGCGTGCGGCTACCAGCATGCGGACTCGCATGAGAAACATGGTACACCCGTGATTGGTCATTGCATTTCGAAACAATGCTGTGCGATGTGAGGAGGATCCAGAATTCTGCACGCTATGAGAGCAGTGTAAGCGCTGGCCGGCACACCTCGTGCTGTCCAGGAGGAGAATGTTGGGTAAATGGTCAGGTTGCTGAATCCTCCATAGGGTGAGGCAGCTCGGGCAGCAAGCCGATTGTAGGGCTGGCATGAGGTAGCATCAAGCTGTCGGAATATCTGTGCCTAATGGAACAAACCGCAGAGAAGACGCGTTCTGCAGCCAGTCAACGGCTACAACCAAGAATACCACGCGCAGTTGGAGTGTAAAACTGGATGATGAGGTGAGCGATGTAATGCCGGATCCGAAAGGAAGACTGAACCGAAGCTTCGAAGCATCGTCTGAGTGGTCCATTTCAGGTTGCCTGCAGGGCGCTAAAAGAAGTGCAGGGCTGGTGATGAGGTGGAGAATCCCGCTGCGTGGTGGGTTGTCATCCACCGATTTGGTTCTTGGCCGCGGGCGCCTATCTGGGGCCCTTCGTAGCCTTGACGTTAAGCCCGATCTGGGGATGTCAGTGTAAAAAATACAAGGTCTCCAATGACACCATGATTTAGATCTGTCTCGCGCCCCCATTGACGTACGTTGGGCAAAAGTCAGAGGCTGTTGTTGGAGTCGCATCTATGGATGCAGCGTGCCTGTTTGTGTGCCCATGTTTCTAGAACACAGCAGGAAGGAGTGGATGCTACCTTACACTGCGGCCTTGGACCCTCCATTGTTTGTACGTACGGAGTCCGGAGTAGATATCCCGTGTCCGCCTCAGAGAGAAATAGTGTGTCGGAAGCCACCTCTGTGACTGAGAGAAAGGCCTCGCCAAGTGACTTGCTTGTCAATAGGAAGACAAGGAAAACACGTGGGGATCAAAGTATTGTACGACAAGATCCTAATTATTAGTTTGTCGGCTCGTCGGTTCGTCAACCCCAACGATGAGAGCCACATTTTGGTTCTCCTTGGAACCGCTTCAGCTGCGGCTGCCCGAATCTCCTGCTCCGAACTTCTTCCCCTCCGCCCCATTCCCTTTCCTTCCCCTCGTAATCACCCCCGAGAAGAGCAAGCAGCAAGTGGAACTGCTTTCTGGTGGCTCTCGAAATTGCGCGAGCGTACCATGCATTTTCAGGCAGGGACGCCAGCCTGAATCGCTGTTGGTTCTGGCCGCTCTCGCTCGGCATGTATTGTACATGTCGTGGTTCGACTGCCTGGGCCATGATGTCTCACGCTCCCCGACACTCCGGTCTGGGTCTCCACCTGAAAAACAACATCCCGTAAGACCGAGCGGGAGCTTGCATCTAGTTCTCGGTCCTGGCAATCAAACTTAATCGGCTGCGTGCAGCTAACAGAATGTTCGGCCAAAGTCGCCAATCCAGCGGAAGTCTATTATTGTTATCAGTCTTCTTCCATAAGAGCAGCTAGCTCGGCTTCCTCTTCAGCGCTGAGTAAGCCATTGCCGCCGGCGTCATCCTCTTTCTCGGCTTCGGCAGGTTTTTCCTGCTCCATAACGGCAGCGTCAAGCCCGGATTTCTCCAGCGGCCAAGTCCTGATCGTGCCGTCGATGCTTAAACTGCAGAGCCGCTCACTTGAGCCATTAGTACCCCGTAACATAACAAGCTCAGTGACCTCGTCGTAATGTCCCACAAGGGAACAGTAGAGCTTCCCCGAAGCGCGATCCCAGAATTTGACATCCTCATCTCTTCCGGCTGTGATAACCCATTGGTCTGTGACGGCCACGGCGCGCACGTGGTCCCCGTGGTGGAAGCTGTCCTCGCAGGTGAAGTTTCTTAGCCTCGATAAGCACTTCGCCGTGCCATCGCCGCTCGAAGTCCACAAATTGACTTCTCCGCCGTCATGCTCAAGCACGAGCTTATATACGGTCGTCTCATGCTCCACAATGGTGTGGCGTTCTGCGCCTGGTGCCTGAGGTGATGGCTCGGCGATTTGCTCCCATCCATCCACCCAAATCTTCCACCGACGAATGTGGGGGTCGCTGCTGGCACTGATTAAACAGATCTCGGTTTCGCTGGAAGAAGCGTGGTCAACGACAAGATCCTGTATACTGAGCATGTTGACGACGCTATCCTGCAGGGTGTGCAGTCGAGCCCCTGAGACGATATCCCAGACGAGGATCTTCTTGTCTGCCCCGCCGCTGATCAAGATATCCTTGCCGCCAATCTTGGAGCAAACGACGGCCTTGACAAAGTCTGTGTGACCAGTGTATCTGCGCCCCGGCGCCCCCGATGCCAAGTCCCAAGACCATATGGACTTGTCCCACGACCCGGCGAACAGAGTCGCCGAGTTGGGGCCGCCGACCGCAACACAGCAGACCGGGGCGGTTGGACCCCGGAAAACCTTAGTGCTGTCGGGATTCTAGACGCAGGAAAACTGTTAGAACCGATGAACTCATGCCCCGCTGTCGAGCTCGCATACATCAAGGTTGACTAGGCGCACAGCTCCCGCCGACTCGGCCACTAGGAGGGCTGATGATGGAGATCTGGGGTCGGGCACGGCGGCCAGAATCTTTGATTTCAGTTGAATGGGATTTCCATATTTGTTGCCAGCCTTGGCCGCCCGCCGCTGCCTCTTCTCCTGTTCGGCGCTGGGAGTTGAGTTAGCGAGTTCTATCACGACAAAAACCTTCCTCGTGCTTACACTTACTCGGTTTCGAAGAAGTGTTCGGCGTTTGAAGATTGCATTTTGTGGATTACACTTGATTTCAAGAATTAGTACACCCACGCCCCAACTCCTTTCCTTCTCTATGTGTCAAACTTAGAATGCTGTTTATGATCTTGTGGCCCCAGTTGCTGGTTGGGTATTTTGTGCCTGACAGAACCGAACACTGGTAGAAGCGGTCAGTCGCTGCCAGCCGGCAGCCTCGCGCCAAGAATATGTACCGGTAAGTGGGACTAGAACGTTACATACCGGTATTTCCATTTACTACGTAATTTCAAACCCAAGCTAAACGCGACATTTGTTATATGGAAACGCGGGTCGACGCGTCTCCCCTGAGCGCCAGCTAAACATCACAGCGACCACTCCAGTCTCCCCGCAACGAGAAACCATTATCATCTTCGAAACTAAACAGCGTGAACGGACTAAAATTCTACCGATGCAATACTGGATGCTCCAAAGCCATCTTATTGCAACAATCTCACTTACAGCATATGGCATCTCTCATCGCGTCACGGCCGCGACCACGGCCTGCCCATACACAGGGGTCGACACGATGTGCATACACGCCCGACGGCTCGAAACTGGTGACGGTCGGCTCCAACAACACAATTCGTCTCTACAAGACGGGCTTCGATGGTGAACCCACAAACATAGACGACTGCCAGGAGCAGAACCTTGCCGTGTCCACGAGCAACGATTTCTTCGTCGTTGGATCCGAAGACGGCACTGTCAGCTACTACTCGCTCGAGTCCAACCTGTTTGACCGTTTCCTGTTGCGCACTTCGCTGCCCGTCCGTGATGTTGCCCTTACTCCCGACAACAAGTGGTGCGCAGTAGCGAGCGACGAGCTGACCGTCAAGCTGGTTGGCATCGAGGATAACACAAAACTGCTCAACTTGAATGGGCACGGGAAGCCGACGAAACATCTGACGTTCGATCCCAAGGGGAGCATGCTGACGCTCTCATGCACGGATGGGGTCATCTACGTCTACTCCCTCACGGCCGAGCACCCGGAGCTCATCCGCAAGGTGGACGGCGTGATTGGCAGACTCGAAACGGAGTCCGAGGCCTCTTGCAGGGCCGTGTGGCACCCTGACGGGCGAGCTTTTGCCGTACCAACACCCACGAGGGACATCCAGGTTGTATCCAAGAACGACTGGGAGAAGCAGCGCGTTTTTACCAATGGGCATAGCGGAGACATCACCGCTCTGGCCTGGTCGCCGAACGGTGCGCTCCTGGCCTCGGCCGCTAAGGACAAGAAACTACTGGTCTGGTCGACCAAAGACCAGAGCGTTGTTGCACGTTACGAGTATCCGAATGTTATCGATATTGCTTGGCATCCGACCAAGAACCTAGCATCCTTCACAACCTCGGATGGCGAGGTCTTCATCTGCCCCGAGTTCGTCCCGGAGCAGTTTGCCTCCATGCTCAGTCTTCCTAAGCAGCCAGCCCCATTTATTCATGATCCGCTCGCGGAATTGACCCTCAATGGCCGGAGACCAGAGACCAATGGAACCAATCTTGCGTCTCGTCCTCGGCGCGGCTCACTGGACAGCCTCGACGATCTGCTCGACGCCGACTACGGGGACGATGATGATGGCTTTGTAGTTGACGATGATGGGGCGGGTTATACACTCAATGCGGGTCGGAAACGCGGTGCCAATGACGATCCCTTTGGACAGCGTCCCAGCAAACGCGGGAATTTTGTCCAGCCGCAGCATCATGTGTCTTTCCAGCCGGGTTCAACCCCCTGGCGGGGAAATCGCAAGTACCTGTGTCTGAACCTTATTGGGTTCGTGTGGACGGTAGACCAAGACTCGCACAACACTGTCACCGTTGAGTTCTATGACCACGAATTTCACAGGGACTTCCATTTCACCGATACGTTCCTCTACGACAAGGCGTGTCTGAACGAAAAAGGCACACTGTTCTCATGTCCACCGAAAGAGGATTCTCCAGCCGTTGTTTTCTACCGCCCTCACGAGACGTGGACACAACGGAGCGATTGGCACATAGAGCTGCCCAAAGGGGAAGCCGTCCTAGCCATGTCCCTTAGCGAAACCTTCATCACTGTGACAACAACTGGCAACTATGTCAGGATATACACTCTGTTCGGCATCCCCTATCGGGTATACAGGCCCAAGAGCACGCCAATCGTCACGTGTGCTAGCTGGAGGGACTACGTGCTCACCATGGGCAACGGCCCGGTTGGTGCAGACGGCATGTGCCGGCTGCTCTACAGCATCGAGAACATCAAGCGCGACGAGATTTGCCAGAACGAGGATACAGTAGCTCTGCCCGAAGGCGCCACAGTCAAAAGCGTATTCTTCTCTGACAATGGCGTACGTCTTCTCTTACCTTGACCCCTTCACCCTACTAACCGTCTTAGGACCCCTGTATCTACGACTCTACGGGCACCCTCCTCACTCTCCTCCACTGGCGGCAGCCCTCGAGGGCGTCATGGATTCCCGTACTGGACACAAAACTTCTTCCACGGCTCGCCTCGGGCCGAAAGCACGAGAACTACTTCCCCATTGCCGTGGCCGACAACAAATTTCACTGCATCATCCTCAAAGGCGGCGACCAATACCCGTACTTCCCGAGACCCCTGCTCTCCGAGTTCGAATTCTCCATCCCCTTATCCTCCGCTCCGCGCCCACGAAAGAAGAAGCCGAACAACCTCGACGGCAACGAAAACGAGCACTCGGACGACGAAATGCTCGACTCCGACGCCGAAGACAATGCAGATGGAGAAGGAGGGGGCAAAGCGGATAACGAAGCCCTGGCCCTTACGCAGTCGTATCTCCTCAAATCCCTGCACACGGCCCAGCTCTCGGACATGGTGTCATCATCCTCGTCACGGTCAAGCGCCTCCCAGCGGGCGCTGCTCGCCCGCCTGCAGCTCGACATTGACAAGACGCTGCTGCAGCTGCTGGCCGTCGAGTGCCGCGAGGGCGGCGAGGAGCGCGGGATGCGCGCGCTCGACGTGGTGCGGCTGATGCGCGACCGCAGCGGCCGCATGCTCGAGGCCGCCGGCAAGGTCGCCGAGCGGTACGGGCACAGCGTGCTAGTGGCCAAGATACGCGAGTTGGGAGAGGAGAGGGTTAGTGGGATTGGAGGGGAGGAGGAGGAGGATGATGACGAGTTCTGAGTTGAATGGATGGATGATTCTCGCGTACCTTATCTTGGGGCGTTTGGATTCCTTGGAAAGCACAGCCGTGGTGGTTTACGTTTGCAATGGCATTGATGATCCTTATGCCGCACATACGCCATGGCTCGGAAAACGCATGAAGGATGTGCGTGTCTCTACCTGGGTTCATAACAGGCCTGCCGAGGTGCGGCAGGGTGCCAATGTTTCCGAAATATCATGCACGTGTCATACATATGCTCCGATTTGCAAAGTTGCTCGAGTTTCTTGAAACCTGGGAGGATAATTGAAGCAGAAGCTGAATATCCGAGAGGCAATGCCGGCAGGGAGAGGGCATGGACAGCCCTGACCAACCTATTGTGAGAACTGGCAGGCAACCATTACCTTACATACGGTGAAGGCTCTCTATGGTATTTGTCCAGAGATGACGGTTCAGAACTCCTGCTCCGTTGCAGCAGCGGTGGCACACTCGATGAAGATCATAAGATGAAGCATTAATGGCCGAGCACGTTTCACCGCGTTTTGGGGTCCATGGATACGGAGACCATGCTTGAAAGCGCCACCCCAAAATAGAGCATGCCAGCTGTGGCATGATGGAAGATCTGATGCATCTGAGGACTGAGGACTGAAGAGCGTTAACATGGTGTTAGTCAGTGCATGATAGCACTTATCCAAGAGGCTGGCAGGCAGTGGCAGTAGGTTGCGGTTTCGGTACTTGAAGAGGGCTGACATCTGTTAGTGTAGCCTTGATTTTTGTATGCAAAAATCATCCTCTCGACTACCGCTCTTAACAAAACCAGAGGACAGAGCTTGTACTCCCAAGTCGTCTAATGCTTTCCTCGGGGACGACCTGGCGGACAACACCCCACCCCATCTGCTCTGCGATTTCTGATTCACTGATGTCTATCATTGCAACCTTTACCTACCTAGTTCTTCTCTCACCATTATCTCACAACGGAGAGCCTCGAAGCAGGTGGTTACGATATCCCTTGGAACAGGAAGTAGCTGATCATGCGTTTGCGACGTTACCAGGAATTCAGAGTGAAAGGGTGAAACACGGGTAACCTTATTGTTCCTCTGCTTTACTCCGTGCCCGGCCCGGGGGACGGGACCGTCGCACAGGGCTCATGTTGTCGACATCTGGGACTGGCATCCTATTACAGTAGTCAGATAGCAGCTGCAGGCTGGTTTATATGGTCGAGCGAGTCGCATCGTGTGCTTGTATAAGATCACCCGGGATGCAGCAGAGTTGCAGGGCTGAACAAGGCGGTCTCTAGTGTTGATGTATGTACAATACATACATAGCGGCGAGAGTCGACTCCTGTCTCACATAAGTATGCATGCTAGCAAGGATGAAGTCGGCGGCCTGCTTGAACTGCCCTGTGGCTGGAGTAGGTTGTTGCAGCGTCTTGCAATTGAGGGCATCGCGCGTCGCGACATGGAGTCAAAAAGCGCCAGAAGTGTCCATAGCGTTCCAATCACTACTCCGTACTAGATGGCCCGGTCAGGCACAGAGCAGCCTGCCCGCAGTCGGGATCGTTTTGCCAGAGACCGGGCCGCCCGTTGACATGCCGCTGAACCGTGCCGCCCATCCTGTCAAAGAGGACGCTGATTCGGCAAGTTTACCGGGTATTGTGTGCTTTTGCCGCTCATTTCAGCTGAGTTGAAGTCTGTATGTACAATACTGCACATGCCTTCGTACTCTGTGCCCAGCACTACGGATTAAATTTGAACTTCACAGATTCAGCGATCGGACGGGAGTTCAACATCATCGGATCTGGTTGAGGTGGGTCCGCTAAAGTTATGGGGAGTCTTAGTTGAGTTTGGTTACCGTAGGCCGCGGAAGGTGCCGGCTCTTGTTCAACAACACCATTCCCGGTCGCCATTTGCCAACTCCGAGCCTGGTCAGTACGATTTCGTTGTGATTGAGCATAGTTAAATGGAGCATACTTGACTCACTCCTCCTCTCAAATCTCAGCATTGTTGCTTAGCTTTCGGTTGAACGTTGTCCCAACTGGTACGCCGAACCCCGGCTTTGCTGCTAGGCATTCCGTCGCCAGATCCCAAAATGCTACGGGACAGGCGATGTGTTGCAAACCAACCTTGGGTTGGAGATCCTTACCAACGTTAGTAGCTGCTTGATCTGGAAGCTGCCCGGGGTGGCAGCCACCAGAGCAGGCCGGCATTCGGGCCATTTGCAACGGGGACTTGATTCCGTCTACAGTCTACACGTGTACACTACTTCTTACACCGAGTACGCATTGCCGTCTTCTGCTCGCCAAAGGTTATTCGATCTGAAAAGAAGCCAAAGCTTCGGGATGTTCTGAAGCTTCTTTTGCCTCGCCATTTTGGTTCGACCTAGGTACACTGTGGTGCAAGACAACTTGAAACGACAAACGCTCATCAAGGCATTTTTTGTATATAGTACATAGGTACTTCGTACGGAGTCCTCCGTATTCCAGCCCACACCTGTCCTATTCAGGATTCCCCCTCAAGTTGTGCCGCTGAAACGGCTCCCAACACCGGAGCCAAATTGAGATCTTTGGCTCAAAGCAGGTGATTGTCCCAATTCCCAGGCGGGTGGGTGCTGCACTGCTGCTTGGGCTCGGTTCGTCTGGACATTGCTTTTGGCTCCGCCCAATGTTCCACCCAGCTGTCCTGCGCGACATTCAAAACCATTTCGCAGTCAATCTTGGGGAAGGACATTTGAGGCGGGCCACTGATTCAGCAAACTGGTCCGGCCTGAGCAGCCCAATTCAGCTCTCTGGTTCCACCGACATTATTGCGCGCCTTGCCAGTTAGTGCAGTCCTCTAATTTTGCGCCAGCTTCTCTGTCGCATATCACCCCTTTCCTTGTGTTGCACTGGCTCAAGTTTCGAAGGAATTCTGTGCGGCAGGCGAGTTGGCCGAGTAAACGACTGCGAACGACATGTGAGCAGTTCTAACCGGCTTCTGCTTCTGGAAAACTGTCAGATCTTTGGACGGGACAATGAAACCCGGATAACGCTCGGACCATGCCATGGTTGCAGGTGCGCTGTGGAAATGGAAAGTTTGGGCCGCCAAGCAGGTGCACCCGCATCCGCCATCTGGGCGGCCGCAGACCCCTGTAACCCCTCACCAACCTGCCTTTCCATTGCCCCCAACAGCCCCCTAATGTGTGTGAACACTGCCTAACCTTGCTTTGCCTTGCTGCTTTGCACTACCGAACGAGGTATCCGTATCCTGTATCCGGATTGTATGGAGATCCTGTCGTGGAAGGTTAGAAAGGGCAGGCAAGATTCTGTAGAGTTCAAGTAGCCAACTACATTACGACAGCTGCATGCAGCTGTAGGCTGCCTGCGCCAACGATTCGGACGGACTGACAAGATCTAGCCACCATCTAACCTCGTCTGTTCGGGTCTCGTTCATGTTGAATGTGAATAATCTGAAGTTACCCCTTTGTCACTCTACCATGCCTATCAACTTGAGGAAGGCACTAACATATTACCATTGAAAGAGCAAGGACCACAAGCTAACCCCCTGTCTGCGTGCTCCCCAGATCGTCCCGTTAGTGTACTGTACCTCCCTACCACCCTACCATTTACCAATCAGCCGATCTCAGAGTCCACGGCCGGGGGCCCCGAGTCCTTGCGCCACCAAAGCCGAGATACGCTACACTAGTGTAGAAAAGACATCTCGCTCCACTTCCTCAGCGTTCACTCAACTCTCTCTGCCCGCCGTCTTGGTTCCCCTTTTTCCTTGGTCCGAAAGACTGGACATTTCGTGTCACGCCATCGTCCTGCTAACTGCCGAGAGCCCACCATTGTCGACGCGGCTGCCCTGCTAACGTACTGGTGCAGCTGCGAAGCCTGAAGTCGTGTCTGAGGTCTGGCCCGGGCCATTTCCAATACAATCTATCCGAAAGAGAGTTGTTCCTCCAAAGGATCGGTGGAGAGCGAGGAGCCCATGCAACGCGCTACGAGAAGCAGCAGGAAATGAGCATTGTCTTGAACACTACTGAAAACAGCCACCGAGTTGCGAAAGACCGGCGCGCAAACGATTGATGCTTGATTGGGAGCGATGAGGTATGGAAACTCGAGCTAGATTAGTCTTGAAGGCAATTGCTGCCATTCAGCGGTCATGTCTTTGGTGGTTTCTGTCTCCGACTCCCACGAGAATCGAGACCGGCGCAGCGCATTTGCGCCGGCTCTCCAGTTCTTCGCATCTTCTCCCGACGCCAATAGGGTTTCCTTGTCCCGCGCGCCGTTCTGGATCTTCAGTTGCTGACCATGTTCGTCTCGCTTGCAGGGCAGATGGCCACTGCCACTGAAGGTGTGCCGAGAAATCATCCGGCCGACGGGCCAGAAGAGCCAATGGGTGTGCGGACCGTTCCCATCATTCAAGTTGCGCCCACGATTCAGATGTCCGCTCCGTCCGCGACCGAGCCGATGGACATCACCACGCCGACGAACTCGTCCGCCCAAGCGTCAGTCTCCAAGAGCCCGGAAGGCGACGTGCAGGTGAACGCCAACGGCAGCGCAGGCGAACGCAACCACTCATCCTCGCAGAAAGAACAGACCCACACCGACAGCATGATGCTGGCGGCGCAAACAGCGGCAGCGCCGGCTGTCCATCAGCCAAAGATAGTCCAAACAGCTTTCATACACAAGCTATACAAGTGCGTGCCTGAACGACCCACTCTCACAATGGATGACGCTAAACCCGGTGGCAGCATGTTGGAAGACAAGTCGATTCAACACCTAATCTCGTGGACGTCCACTTCTGAAAGCTTTGTCATGCAACCGTCGCATGAATTCTCAAAAGTCTTAGCGTATGTCCCCGTCCGGCGGCGCCCTGGTACCCGTTGCTGACCGTAACAGGCAATACTTCAAGCACACCAACATCTCATCCTTTGTGCGCCAGCTCAACATGTATGGTTTTCACAAAGGTATCGGCTCCCATTAGACAAGAATTGTAGAGTATACGGCATTAACACGGCGCAGTGAGCGATGTTTTCGCCCATGGAACCCCCGAGTCTACTATGTGGGAGTTCAAGCACGGAGGCGGCAATTTCAAGCGGGGGGACCTTGTCGGGCTGCGAGAGATCAAGCGCCGAGCTTCCCGGCACGCGCTGGTGCATCGGGAGTACAACAACCAAAAACCTCCGTCGTCGCAGCCAGGAACTCCGGCGGAGCCCATGGCGCCCATGCAGGAAGGAGGGGACCCGAGACTCAGCAACCTCGAGCACACAGTCTTCGACTTGAGCGCCCGGCTGCAGCGCTACGAGGAGAACACGCAGGTCATGCACATCAAGCACCAGGCCATCATGGAGACGGTGGCCCGCTTGCTGCAATTTAATCACGACCTGTCACGGGCCGTTTTAGCCCTCTCTCCGGGCCCCGACAACCCGATACACCGGGACGGTAAGTGGATTGATTGTGGTGTCTTCCGCGGTACCAGTACAGCCTAATATTCTCCTTTTAGTGTCTGCCCTGCAGGGTGAGGTCCAGCGGCAAATGGACATGTTCCGCACTCTTGAAGAACCGCACGAGCCGTTCTTTGCCAGCACCCGTCCATACTTCTCAAACGTGGAGAACGCACCCATCTCACCGCGGCAACTACCCCAGGACGACCCCCGCAGAGCCAATTTCGCGGTTCCCCAACCTCGGCAGCCAAACTACTACCGGCCCTCTGTCCCCTCCAATCTGTCTGTCAGCACTCGTCGGCCGTATGGATCAATAGGGGGAAATAGCACACAGTCATCGCCTTCGTCGCTCCGTGTTCAGGCTCCGGCGCCCCCGCCACCGCCAGGTCCACATCCCTTGGCGAACGTTGAGCTGCCTCCTGGCAGTCTGGCCCGGCGGCACACCTCAGCCGACATTCGAGCCCATGGCTGGCAACCAAACCCGCCTCCCTTCGCATCTGGACCTCCCTCGTCGCAGTGGCCGTCATCACCAAACCGTGTACCGGGACCGGACGATCAGCGACTCCGGGACTCGTTTTCTCACTACTCGCTCCAGACAGCGTCGCAGCCGCACTCACGCCCTGCTACCCCTCCACCGCCCCATTATTCAAACGGTGGCATGCCTTCGGCGAGCGATACATTTGGCAGCTGGTCGTGGAACTCTGCTAACCGCGAGAACAAGAATCTGATGGTCAAGGATAGCTCGGGACCGCCTACAAGAAGAAGCAGCATGGCCCACATTCTAAACCCGACCGACACGCCTGAGCGCGGCGATGAGGACGGATTAGACCCTAGGGGCGACGACGACCGCAAGCGCAAGCGATTAGGGTAGCACGCCTCCACGAACTCGCTTCTCCATCCCTCGCCTGTGATAATACCCCTTCTTTTTCCTGTCCTAACGATACCGAAATTTGATGACATGTGTTAGGACTATTAGCGAACCTCATAAACCCCAGGAATTGGATATTCTTTAATACTAGTCGCTTTTTACCATTCGTTATCCAACCATCTGTACCGTACTATTTTACTCTCTTGAAATCCGTTTCAGAACTTTCTTAGTTGGGCAAAATCTCTTAGGGGGTCGGCGCAAAACTCATGACACTACTGTTCGTGATAGGACTGAAAAGGGGGGAAGTGAATTTTGATTCATTGTCTCCACTGTCTGTCTCAGTAAATCGTCGTCTAACATGGGCCTTCATTGCCTTCATGTTTTCTGAATGTTCTTTCGGTTTATTCCTCGGGGGTTTCCAGTTACTTGCATCACTCTCCATCTGTTTGTTGTCCAGTCCCATACATGACCGGTGGGTTCATCTGTCCATTTTATATACACCCTTCACATCGTTGAAGCGGCGCTACTGTTATTTTTCGTTTGGTCGTTTGTTGGCATGGCAGCATGACGGTCGACGGCACACGGCAGAGCCCCTGGCGCGGATTCCTGTACGATGGATGTATGGATGGCCAAGGTGGACTGGAGTGGTCTGTTTTGGTATTCGGAAATCCTAGCAGGGCGATGCAGCAGACATGGTGGACGTGTCACGGAGCAAAGAAAAGGCTGACGGATCTCGACTCATATACCCTACGCCTCGGAAGTGGCATATTCGAGGTTAATGTTGTTGATTAATTTGTATCGTTAGTACTCGTAGGTATCACCAGCACCTACTGTTTAGTAGTATCTTGGCGATTGTACCTGTTCTCTCGGGCCGGGGAGATGGCAAGCTTGGGGAAGTTTCGGAGGCGAGCTCAACTCCTCCAGGTGGGGGATGGCTGGCTCTTATCGTTGGGTGGCATTGTTCTGTGATATCACGGTCGTAGGCAATGCCCAGATCTTTCTCATATATTGCAGAAGCAGATGTTTGGGGGTAGTTTACAGAAAGCAAATACGGCGCCGTGAGACGAGTCTCTTGAGACATGCGCCAGGCGGCTGCCAGGTCTCTATTGAAAGGATATATGTGCTACTCTGCAGCTTTAACATTCATCGCACCCTCTCCATTTTCATTCTTGCTCTTCTTCTTGTTCTTCTTGCTCTTCTTTTTCTTCTTCCTCTCGTCAGTGATCACTCGCTCCTCCGCTACTTCTCCCGTCTTACTCCCACCCCCATCAACCTCCTCAAATATATCACCCTTGCCAACACCATCTTCACCATCCGTCGGTGCACCTTGTCCGGATGCGGCGGCTTCAATGGAACCCGCCCCCGGTGTGGGAGGAGGGGAGCTTGAACTCCCAAGACGGGCCCTTTTCCGCTCCGTCTCTTCCTCCTCCTGCTTGTCTTCACTTCTACTTCGACCCTGACTCCCCCTCCGACCTTCCTCAACAACCACCACAGGCCCAGAGACAACCTCCCCATTCTTCCCCCCTTTGTCACCATCACCCGCACCCGCACCCTCACTGGGACCGTTACCAGCAGTAGCACCCTTGACCTTGACCTTGACCTTGGCCTTGGCCTTTGTCCTCACAAGCGCCGCACGACCGACCTCCTCCTCACTATCACTCGCATGCCCGCCCCTTTCTCTCTTCCGATTACCACCACTACCACTACCACCAGCAGCAGCAGCAGCAAGCCTGTCCCGTTCAGCAAGCTGCCGCGCGGCGTTGCGCCCGAGGATTTTTGTCCTGAGCGCACGGTCCGCAGAAGAAGAAGCCAGGGATTTGTTCCCTCCTGCTCCTGCTGCCGCCGAAGCAGAAGGCGGAGTATACCCTATCCCTGCGTTAGGGGGCAGTGCGTAGGCCGGGTTCAGGTCTGCGTCGTCGTCGATTTTAGGTGATCTTGTTGTCGCGCTGTTACTGGCATTGCCACTTCTGCTGCTGCTGGTGAGTTGGGATTTATTTGACTTGGGGTTGGTGAGGGAGGAGAAACCGCCTCCTGGGCCCGGGGTTGTTCCTGTGGCTGTGGCTGTGGCTGTGGCTGTGGACGGTGATGAGGGTGTTCGGTGCTTCGCCAGCGTGTCAAAGATGCGCTGGTGCTTGGCCATTCCCAGAGCGATTCGGTTGAAGATTTGGTCAACATCAGGGGCGACCGGCAGCTTGGGCGGGTTAGAACCCGCTGACGGAGCCATGGCGGTTCCCCAGGAGAGGTGAGTTGAGATGGTGGATTGGTGGATGGGTGAGAGGTCGGGTTTCAAGATCAACGAAGATTCGATGACTGGGTTGCTAATTTCGATGAATGGGCTATGAGAAACAGGTTCCGGCGTTATGAGAATTCGGGCTGGATCATCCTGTATATTCAGTTTTATGTACTCCCAAGTACTTATGTGTCTTTGCGGAAGACGGAGGTGAACATGGCATGGAGTGCCTGTCAAATCATCAAATGCGGTATCTTCAAAAAGTTGGTCGTTATCGCAGAAAGCTGTCTGATTGGCTAAACAAGCGCCTGATATCTGGCTACCGAGTCATATGCAACTGTGAGTTTTTCGTCTGCAACAATACGAATTCAAACTGTTTATTTTTTTAGCTCGCCCCCTGAACATTTCATCCAGCTTCATCTACCCATTCCAGCAGTTGATCCCATAACCATAGAGGCGGTACGGTATTGACAAGCCGCGTATGTACGCCCTTTTCCGAAACTACAAGTGTTTTACTCATAAACGCATCCCTAATGTGAGAACACTTACGGAATAGTCCACAACTCCTCTGAGTCCGTCCTACCTCAAGCGAAATCCCCATCCTCAGCCTCGAAAAAGGCGACGGGCACGCCGTGCCCCGGCGCACCGACAATCTCAGCCTTGTGAAACTGCGCATACCAGTCTCCACGATACTCGAGTCGCTTGTACTTTTGTAGCAGCCGGACGACTGTGGTTCACACCATCAAGTCAGCAAGAACACGTCCGCAACACTGACAACAAGCTGGATGCTCAAAACCCACGAGTAAACGCCATCTCGGTCATGGCGAAATTCTGCCCCACGCAGATCCTCGGGCCCCCATTAAACGGCACATAATTCCACGCTTTTGGTGTCCAAGCGTCCCAGCGCTCCGGACTGAAGACAGCCGGGTCCGGGAACTTGCTCCCGTTCGCGTCCACCTCGGGATACAGATCCTTCCTCCGCTGCATGGCCATGGCGCTGTATACAACGCTGTCCCCCTTCAACACTATGATATCCGGCTGTCCCGGGCGGCCTGGCAGACTCGTGTCCTGCAGGGCGGCACGCACGTTGTAGGGCACGGCTGGGTACAGCCTCAGCGTCTCGTTGAGGGTACGCGTGAGGTACGTCATGCTCTTGAGGTCATCGTAGGTTGGCTTGCGGTGGGCCCCCACGGTGGAGAGAATCTCGTTGCGCAGCTTCGCGTAAATGTGCGGGTAGTGCGCCAACTCGTAGATGGTCCACGAGAGCGTGGCCGCCGTGGTGTCGCGCCCCGCGATGAGGACGGCCATCAGCTGGTCCCTGATGACCTTTGCGTCGCGAGTGAAGCGGGCAATGTTGTGCAGGAAGGTGAAGTCCTTGTCGGATTTGGACAGTTTATCAAGCTCAGACGGTGTGAGTGAGAGGGTGCGCTCGATATAGGGGGAGATGAATCGTTCCAGTATGCGGATGCCGCGGGTGTAGCGGTAGGTGGGCAATATGGGCCGGAAGGGGCTGCGAAATGATCAGCTTGAGGCCGGGATTTGGGCGAGGGCCCGTGAGGCAAGAGAACGAACGCTAGGATGGTGTACAGCATCTGAAGTCGCTGGACCTCCTGAAAGGCGGCGACAAACTCGTGCTTGGGACTGATCCATCGGACGTTAGCTCGCGAGTCGAACATGCCCGAAGCTGGAGTGGGCTCACTTGTCCAAGCTGTTGACACTCCCGCCTAGGAGAAAGTCGGTTGTCACATCGAGCGTCATGCGATAGAACAGGTCCATGGCGTCCACAGTTTCGCCAGATCCGGGAAGCTTGCTAATGAGTGTAGTGGCCCACTTGTCAAAGATCTCAAGATCTCGCACCCTGTCTTTGACAAACATGGGCCGTATGAGGGCTCTGCTGTCAGACCATTGCTGGCCATCGGTGGTGAAGATCGAGTCACCCAGGAATGGACTCCAGATTTCATGAAACCGCTCGCCCTTGCCAAACTCGGCGAACTTGGTGGTCAGGATAGTCTTCACATGCTCGGGCTCCCGCGTATTCAAAAAGCGAGTTCGACCTAGAAAAGAGATTTCAACGCAATTGGGACACTCTGGGGTAGCAAAGTCGAATTGGGAGTTGAAGTAATAGTCCAGCTTATCCTTCGTTTGGTAGTAGCCAGACCTGAGGACGAACGGAAGCCCTGGCTAAATCAGTCGTGTACAAGGGTTCAAGATTCCAAACTGTGACGCATTACCTGATATAGGGTTGGTTGCTAGAACTGAAGCTCGGACACCCCCGAGGCTGCGGATCCTGCGGTCGACGAGGGCCTTCCTGGTCATGAAGAATACGGTCAGGCAGCCCAGGACGACCGCAGTCGTGTACCACGGACCCAGGTTGAAGAGAAAGTTCAGCATTTTGATCTTGACGTTTGGTGCAGTCAATGGATGGTAGGCACTGCAGATTAGCTTGAGGCCGGCAAAGGGGATCTCATCATCCGATGGCCGTGTCAGAACTTAGAACTTAAAGGCTTCCATTTTAAAACCACTTCAAGAGGGAAGGACAAAGCAAGGCCTTGTGACGCTCAATGGAGTGCCTGATGGGGGGTTTGGTTTTCAAGGGAGAGCTGAGGGCCTGAGGCACATGTTAGAGCTTATCGTGGTGATGTGCCGCGGTTGTGGAGTTGGCCCTGGTAGCATTCCAGGTTTCTCCGCATTTTCAGACGGGTGATAGACCAACGGACGAAGGATCCCTGGAAGTTGTGTTCCGGATGTTCGACTTCAAGAACCTTGATAAAGTCGCGAAGCTGTCAATAATGAGTTGCGCAGCAAAGGTGCAGAAGTGTCCACAGAGTAGCCAGGGACTTTGACATTCAGTTTGGGTTGGAACTTGGGAGATGGAACTACGTCCTAGAGCATGGGATCTCATCAATGCATCATCCATATGCCGCATTGCCGCTGCCCCTTTCCAACCCTCTGTACACAACGGCTGCCCCATCCACCTTTTCTGCTTTCTCTCTGCCTGAGAATGGTCAGCAGATACTTACCACAATACAGTCCGAAACCTCATTACTAGTAGCCAACTAACTCATTGTCTTGCTGCCTGCCACAAGCTGTTATCAGACGGATTCGACTTGTGGTGCCCTTAGTTCTTACCGCCAAAGAGATATGCAAGATTTACGTAAGACCCCAAGTTGCGACACCAGTAGTTATGGCCTTGCAGTGTCTTAGGGGATCCCTCCCTCAGTACCTCATGGTGGGTAGTTCGTACTCGTGTCTTTATCGCTCAAGTTCGCCGCCGTCGGTACCTACAAAGTAACAAAGAAGGATACAGCCGTAGCTGCCGTATGGTCCGGTAGGATGGGCGTCTCCTGCCAACTAGTACCTGGGTACCTAGGTATCTCTACCTATCCGAGAGTCAGGATCCTATCACCTAGGTACTAAGCAGATATACCTCTCTCTGTCCAAGTTTGAGCCATCCAGGACACATACCACCTAGATTTTGTCTGATATTATATATACCAAGGTACCTGATTTTCCAGGTGAGCGCATCAATTCTTTGAAGTCGCCAGAATGGAAGAATCACCAAGAACATCAAACCCTGTCGAGAGCTCCTCGAGGCTCGAGTCTCGGATTGCAGGACGCGTGTCATGGTGTTATCCGCGACGGATCCGGACGCTGAGAATTGCCGTTGTCGTCCGGTGCTTGGTGCCAGTGTTGATCCGTGACTCACCGGTCCCGTCCGGCTCGAGTTTCCACAAAGATCAGGTCCACAAGCCTTGGTGGTTCTAATTCCAATTCCATGAGTCCACCCTATGTTGCACGTTTCATTGCTTGGGTGCTATCAAGAAATTTCGAGTTTGATTGTCCAACGTGTACGAGGGGACACCCTGAAAACCTGAGTGACAATAGGAAGAGACAAAGGCTACAGTCATCCTATGGTTTCTGAGGCCAATTTAAGCTGACAATCATGAAAGGCTTGATTTTCCCATGTCGGTTGAGCAAACAAAGGCCGTTGTCAAATCAAGGTCAGCAATGCTCTTGTTGATAGCAACTTAGGAAACCTTACCTCCGACTCTCCGAGTCACGTTCCGTGCTGCCAGCCCAAAACCAACCACTTGTGAAACCGAAGGACGGCCGGTGATTCAGCATCGGTTTGCTCATTGACGTTCGGAGCACCTTTCCTTAGGTACGAGGAGCAATTTGAGTGACCGGACATATGTAATCTGCTAGTATATAGCAGGCCCAAAATATCCGGTTTAACTATGAGTTAGAAATCAAGGTAAGCAACTCCTCCTACTAATAGAACTACTGATGTCATCTAGCGAAAGCAGCAATATGCGACTCGAGGCATACGTGGCCGATGTAGCCGCTCTGGTAACAGCTGTGACAGGCTAGGACTCGGAAGCCAACAGCCTCATCTACTATATAGAACCTCAGGAAGCGTCGAGTCAAGTTCCTTGACCCTCAGCACATCGGCCGAGTTGAGTCCTCCCAAGGGCAAACAACTCCAAGTAAAACCCTGTGACACCCTGGTGACTTACCTACCAAACGCATAAAAGCCATGTGCAAGCTAGTCAAATACATCCAAAGCAACCCGACCTGCGACGAGACATGCATCCAAGCCGGCTTCGAGCGGCACATCATACCGTGGGATGCCCTCCGGTCAGCAGCCTGCATACGGCAGCAGCAGCACGAAATTATCGCCATCCACCGTCAGTACTGCTGGTGGCACTTTGACAAGCTGCTCCTTGAACCGCGAAAGCTCGCCTTCGAAAACCATCTCAAAACGTACGAGGTTCCCCTCCCCGAAGGCGGCGGCACGGCACCCGCTTTGGGCCGGCTCAATTTCCATGTCCGCGTGTGTGTGCTCGACTTTGCCCCGATCCTGGTCATACACTTTATGAGGCGGCATTGGCGCGCCGTGGAGGAGCGCGTGCATACATGTGCTAAGGATGCAGGCGGCGCGAAGCCGGTGACGTTTCCGTGGGGCAGGATGCAGGAGGACTGGCTTGCTGAGTTCGAAGGCGTCTTGGACAGGGCAAAAGCGGTGTATTGCCAGGTTCGTGTCGATGTGCCGTGGGAAGGCCAGACGCCTGAGTTTATAGCCTGGTTTCGCAATCATCCTTACTACCCCTAACGTGATTCTAGGGCAGGGTGATGAACTCCAGGCAGGGTGGTGATCACCATGGTTTTTTCAATTTTTGTTAGGAGGCTGGGCGCGGGGAGGGAAGCCGGAAGAGATGGGGGCTGTTGGGTTCTCAGTTGACAGATGAAGCTCGTCAGTTGACGGCGACGACGGAACCACATCAAGGTAGGTTACAGCAACATGTAACGCTTTCCCTGCGAAGACGGCTCTGGGAGTGGTCTGGACCAGATGTCAGGTGCAGCAGAAGACAGCTCTGGTCAGAAAGAGTAAGGGGAATGTAAAAAGTTATAGTTACACGAAGACTCAGCATCAGTCATCACTGATGCTCCTCAACTCCAGGGTTGGCAACTAATCGGGGCAGCAGAATTGAAAATGGGCGCCAGGTCAATACCAAGGGCAACAAGTACAGTACATACAAGGTAGGAAGGTAGCTTCCAATAATCATCGTCGATTGTGTTTCCTGGAAAGAGGCCTCTCGACTTGTTGAGGTGGGAGTGCCAGATCTCCAAATTCTGTAGCCAAGTTCGCTGATCACCACAAACTTCTTCTCCATGCCACGACCCAAGGCCATGATCACAGTGAAAAAATTGGTAGCGTCTCTTTGAGTAGCGTGTCATCCTTAGTGCAGGGGCCATGCTAATCTTCTCTGTATCGTTTCAAATTGACCAAATGCCCCGAAGGGCGAGGAAAAAAAGGAAGAAGAGAGTGGAAGAACTGGTTGAGTGGGCGAGATTATATAGCTGAGCCAGCTGGCCCGTGCCCGTTTGCGAACTTGCAGACGCGCACGGTCCTTTCCTTGTGGCAAATTTGGCAACGCCCCATGATCATGTGCCAGTACGACAGTACTTCCAGATCACGGGCGATAAGATTCAGGGACAGTAAAAGATCTCATTGGCCCGGAAACTTCCGAGTTCAAGAGCGCCCAACCCGGAACCGTAGCAAACCGCGACGACGTGCTATCAGCGTGATTTCCAAAAAGCGTCACAAGGGGCAATCGCTGTGTCAACCTTCTATCAATTTTCGGACTTCACCGACTGCCGGCCGCATCACTTTTGGTGGCTGACTTTTGGGGACCAGATATACAATGTTCAGGTTCGGTCGCAATCGCGCATTGGCTTCGGCCTTTGCTGCCCCTAAGGTGCGAATTGCCTACTGAGCAGAGAGACCTCTCTCCCAGTTGGGGACCTGAAATTGACATTCTGGCAACCTAGCTTTCCCCCTCAGTCAGACTCCCCGGCATTTCCCAACAAAGGAGAGCGCTGAGCATCCACGAGTACCTTTCAGCCGACCTCCTTCGCCAGGTGAGAGAATGGACCTAGCACTCCACCCGCTCCCTGATAACACAACAGCGCCCTTCCGCTGACCGGCCAATGTGCGCGACAACAACAGTATGGGATTGATGTCCCCAAGGGCTCCGTCGCGAAAACGGCTGCCGAGGCCGAGACGGTTGCGAAGCAGATCGGTACCGACGACATGGTCATCAAGGCCCAAGTCCTTGCTGGCGGCCGTGGCAAAGGGACCTTCGACAACGGCCTCAAGGGCGGCGTGCGTGTTATCTACTCGCCAACCGAGGCCAAGATGTTCGCCGAACAGATGATTGGTCACAAGCTCATCACCAAGCAGACGGGCGCCGGCGGCCGTCTGTGCAACGCCGTCTACATCTGCGAGCGCAAGTTTGCCCGCCGCGAATTTTACCTCGCCGTGCTCATGGACCGCGCATCCCAGAGCCCCGTCATCGTCTCGTCGTCGCAGGGCGGCATGGACATTGAGGGCGTGGCCAAGGAGAACCCGGACGCCATCACGACCACCTACATCGACATCAACGTCGGCGTGACGGACGAGATTGCCCGTGGCATCGCTACTAAGCTCGGCTTCAGCGAGCAGTGCGTTGAGGACGCCAAGGACACCATCCAGAAGCTGTACAAGATCTTCCTCGAGAAGGACGCGACGCAGATCGAGATCAACCCTCTGTCTGAGACGTCGGACCACAAAGTCATGTGCATGGACGCCAAGTTCGGCTTCGACGACAACGCCGAGTTCCGGCAGAAGGAGGTGTTCTCGTGGCGCGACACGACGCAGGAAGATCCCGAAGAGGTGCGGGCCGCTGAGGCCGGGCTCAACTTCATCAAGCTGGACGGCGACATTGGGTGCCTGGTCAACGGCGCCGGGCTGGCCATGGCGACCATGGACATCATCAAGCTCAACGGGGGCCAGCCGGCCAACTTCCTCGACGTGGGCGGCGGCGCGACGCCCGCGGCCATCAAGGAGGCGTTTGAGCTCATCACGAGCGACCCCAAGGTGACGGCCATCTTTGTCAACATCTTTGGCGGCATCGTGCGCTGCGACGCCATCGCCCACGGCCTCATCAACACGGTCAAGACGCTCAACCTCAAGATCCCCATCATTGCTCGCCTGCAGGGCACAAACATGGAGCAGGCCCACCAGCTCATCAACGACTCGGGCATGAAGATCTTTTCGATTGACGACCTGCAGAGCGCCGCCGAAAAGGCCGTCCAGCTCTCCAAGGTGGTCAAGATGGGTGCGTGGCCTGCTGCTTTTTGATTTCTCTTTATGTGGAAGGAAAGAAATAACTGACTAACGCGACTTTTTTCTTTACAACAGCTCGTGACATTGACGTTGGCGTTGAGTTTACCCTGGGCATCTAAACGCTCGGTCCGCTTGGGTTTGCTCTCTTACTCTGTATGGTGGTATCATAATAGACTGGTGGCAGGAGGCAAGGATGGTGGCTTGATCATTTCCTCTTTTGTTTTACTGTCGCTGCTTGTGTACATTCCCAAAACCAATTATCCTGTGCAATGTGTAGGCTGATCTGGCTTTGTGTGGGGATGTACGGGGGAACACTAGACTTGACACCTGGGCAATGGCCACTTTCGATCTTGTTGTTTTGTCTCATTAAGCTAGAAGTTGGTAGATGCCATGTGCGGGTGATTCATGTTCATACGACAAGGGGGCATAGCTGTACTCGGTGGTCTGGTTGCGCTCACTTCTCTCGGTGTGCCTTTTCCGCTTTACTTGGCTAGCTAACATGCTGCATATGCCTCTTGCTGACCAGAGGATGGATTAGGTGCTTGGTTGTAGTACATAGCAGGGTCTAGATCGTGTAAGACTCAGCCAAGAGTTTTGGGGTGATGCGGGGAGGGAGGGGGGAATTGGGGTTCAAGTTGGTTGGTTCGGTCTCGTTCAACTGAAGCTGAAGATTGCGCTTTCTAACCTTCACGTTACACTTGTCTTAGGCATTTGCTTGGCTGCATCGAGTCCCATGGTTCTATTGCTCTCTCTGGTCGGGCCTGGACCCAACCTCCATGCAGCTTATCTGGTTGTTGGTTCACCGTTGCACCCACCGTGCATGTAAGACTGACGAGGTACGGTTCTGCCTCATAGATGACGGTCTATTGCTTAGGGATATATTCGGTCTGGGCAGGACATGGTTGGGCTTGGGTCTTTGGCGTACAACATCATTTGGAGTTGCGGTTTTGATACACATGCTTCGTGCCTGCGCGGGCGGTGAGGTGAGAGGCACCGTGTGACGGTTGTTATCACGGGGGCTCCTTGGGCTGAGGTGATAAGGAAGAGTGCACTGCATGCCATTTATAAGGAGCAGGACGTTCTGCAATTGGCAACTAGACAACATATCGGGATGGTTTGGCCTTGGCATAAGGTTGGCGCAGGCTTGGACTGGACTTTGGATGGTAGTCAAGACACATTTAACTGCCTGCTCGTCTGGCTCATGGCCACGAGTTGTTGGTCCTCTCGAATACCTGTTCGCTTTCAAGTGCTCGTCCTTGGGAATGCTGCGGACCCCCGGGAGGATTCTAAGATAAAGAAGGCAGTCCTTTCAGTTCAGCTACGGACATCGTTATCCACGGCGTATCGCTCCTCAGCTCAGTCCGAGTCGCACACGACCAAGCGACCCCTTAGACTGCCAAGCAAACCAGCTCACCCCCTCACTGTCTTTCCCTCACCCTCTTGGACACAAACGGGCCTCGTCACATTCCACTGGCCACCCATTGTCCGTCATGGCTGGTTCACCAACTTGTCCCTGCTCGTCTTGCTTTGCCTCGACATCCCAAGTGGTCTCGGCATCGCAAAGCCTGGGAAGCCAGCACCACCGCCAACAGACAGCCATACGACAGGTCGAAGGAAACAAGATGGGGTTCAGCCAAGCCCAAGGGAGGTTGCTGAGCCGGCTACGGCGTACTCGCAGCATTGAGAGCACGGCGTCAGATTTGGTTGGACTGAGGGGAGCCGCACAACCGATGGCGGTTGCGGAAGGAGGCAGATAAGGGGGGAAACCAGATAAAGAGCATATGAGGCGGCTTGTTTCGTCGTTCTTGTTGACTGTTTGGTGTTTGTATGGGTATTGGACGTGACACTAGAGGAACGTTAGAAGAGGCAATTCGTGGTCCGGATACTGTAGAAGGTGGACAATATGGGAAGGGACATATCAATAGGTACCTCAGGAGTTCCAGAGGACTTGTAGCAGGCCAAGGGTCAAAGGATACCATGGGAAGGATGATCTTTCAGGGCTCACATCTTCGACGACTTGACAAATGTCTCCTCCATCGACCATGCCTACTTTCCAAGTCGTCAAACAGGAGCGGTTGCAAACGTACTAGCTTAGCTTGAACCAGCAATTAGTTAATGGTTTGAAACAGAGCATGTCTGGTAGGTTAGGCCCCTTCATCTGGATGAAAGGAGTGTGTGTTCAAATACTCATAAGTGCCTGTGCACACTTGATCCTCAGATCCAGCAATGACACAGGGGGGAGCTTGTGTGCAGGGCGAAGGGAAATGACCACGTTAGGTAGTCCTTGGGCTGGTTGGGGCGATCTTACTGTGGTGGATGGGTTCCCAAGATTTTCAAACTGAATTGGGTATATAGGTCAAGTCCATCGTCCTACTTTCGACCCCCCTGGGTAGAGGTGTAGTAAATAGGTAGCCAAGTGGTACTTCCATATCTGCTGCCTGCCGCTACGCAATGCTCCGTGAGCCTGCCAATTCGAATCCACACCCGCCAACCCACCTCCCACACTGGTTTTTCTTCTTGCTGGGGGCGGGAGTGTTGGCGGCAAGGGCAGTGGTGATTGAGGGGTGTCGGCGGCCGGGATGGTGGACCCGAGGCTCATCATATCCGACATTCTTCTCCTCCCAGCAAATGAGCAAAGAATCCTCCTTCCAGCAAAGAAACTCTCTCCAGCGACCAGCAAATTCTCCTCCAAACAACCAAGAAATCCTCCTCCCAGCAATCATTCCGTCCAATCCTCCGATGTTCCACAGCAAATCCATCTCAGCTTGCAACAATTCGATCCCGATTCCCGTCATTCCTCCCATCCCAGCAAAAGCGGCAACTCAGAGGTCAGCCGCCGGCGGCTCCTCTGTAATGACAAATCGTCCTATTAAGTCCAACGTCAGTACAATACGTATAGCACCAGCCACAGCTCCTATGCAGTGCTTAGCCTGAGCGGGTTGCGCGTGGGTTGCGCGTGGGTTGCTCGTGGGTTGCTGGTGGGTTGCTCGTGGGTTGGGGCTCTGCTCGGACATTGCTTCCCGCAGTGTTACCTTCCAGTGCTCCATAGATCGTACGCCGCAACTTGATGTTGAGCTTACTCGCTAATGTCACACTGAGATTGTCAGTCCCAGCTTGTAAAATATCCGGCAAGACATGTCGAACATTGATATTGCCGTCTTCCATGTACCCAGGGCCAGCAGCTCGTTGGAGTCGTTGCTCTCTCCCACAAGAGAGCCCGAGTCCAATGAACCTTTCAAGCAGCGTAAACCCAGAAGGGGCGAATGGGGAGAGGAGGCTTCAGCGGGGCCAGGTTGGGCGGGAGTACAATGCTCAGTGAGTCTCCTAGTTTGATTTTTCCTAGCAATAACAAGTCTCCAGTCAGCAGCTAGCCCAAAGCCAGGATG